TCCCTCTTTGTATTAGAGGAAATGGAGCCAGGCCTGCAGGTGGCCAAGGCAAGAGCCAGTCCCTGCTGGCATCCCAGGCTGAAAAGGAGGCCGAGGGCAGGGCTGGGAAAGTGAATCCACCTGAATTCAGACAAGGCTAAAAGAGGGGAGAGGAGAGGGCTGGCTGTCGACGGCTCCACTGTCAAGCAAAATGCCTTTGGAAAATACCAGTGGCTGCAAATTACAGGATGGGAGAGCTGCTCTTGTGCTCGGATCCTGTTTGTTGGCGTCTGGTTGGCCCCTGTGAGAAGAGGATGCTGGACCAGATGAGCCTGGGCCTGATCCAGCAGCAGGCTCTTCTTACGCCCAGGAAGGAAGGTCAACTGAGACTGGCTGGATAATCTACTTGTGTTTCACTCCTGCGATTGGCTCTGTTTACAAACATGAACTCTGGATTTTTTTCCGCCCAAGACATTTTATTATCTTTACAGATAAAGAGTACAAATAAACACAAATCTATAAAATCAGACTGTATGTGCAGATTCTCCAAATCTAGAGACTTCCCCCCCATTCCATCCATGGAGTCTTATTTCTGAACTCTGGATTTCTGGCTGCAGCCAAAGCCTTGAGGTGATGGAGGGAGCTCCCTGGTCAGCTACCAGTTCCCAGTGGCCACCAGATAAGCTCAGTCCTAGGGAGGTGGGAGAGTCGCCCAGGGAGGCTGCCTGCCTACCGCTCAGCTGTTGTTTCCACTGCTGGGCTGCGTTTGCAGTTCTCATTCTGACTCCAGGCTGCCCGCTGCTGATGTTTGGAGCTGCTGCTGGGCTCCATGGCAAGGCCAGGAGGGGCAGAAATACTGGCAGGCGAGCAGGACCTTGGAGCGCCCCCCAGGCCCTCCTCACCTGGACTCCCTGCTGTGGCGAAGGCAGCATCCTCCTGTTTTCTCCCTTCCTCTCTCCTCTGGCTTGTTTGTTGTGAGCACTTCTGACATTTTGCCCTGGGTGGCTCTCAGGGGACCCGGCGCTCCTTCCAAGTCCTAAAATACCACCAGCCTCTGCGCCCTTTGAGGTGGAGCAGAGGGACAGAGGGCGGCTTGGAGAGAGAAGCGGGGAGCCTCTGGGCCCAGACTTCAGAGGGGAAGAAGAAGGAGGAGGGAGCCCAGAACCCGGCAGGTTCCAGGTGCTTCCCTGGATGTGAACCAAGAGGAGACCTGGCGGCAGAGAAAGGCTCCCAGGTGGGAGAGGGATGCAAGCAAGTGTCTCTTCCACCCACCCAGATAGGGGCGAGAAAGGGGGGGGGGCAGGAAGGAACGCTGCTCCTTCAGCCTCTGCAAGATCCACAATTCAATGAATGTAGAATGGATTCAGTATCGCAAAGGGACAGTTTAGACTTAATGCCTTTGAACTGAGTACATGTAAAGGTACATGTTGTTGTTGTTGTTGAGTCGTTTAGTCGTGTCCGCCTTTTCGTGACCCCCTGGACCAGAGCACGCTAGGCCCTCCTGTCTTCCACTGCCTCCCGCAGTTTGGTCAGACTCATGTTTGTAGCTTCAAGAACACTGTCCAATCATCTGGTCCTCTGTCGTCCCCTTCTCCTTGTGCCCTCCATCTTTCCCAACATCAGGGTCTTTTCCAGGGAGTCTTCTCTTCTCATGAGAAGTCTTGGAGCCTCAGCTTCAGGGTCTGTCCTTCCAGGGAGCACTCAGGGCTGATTTCCTTCCGAATGGATAGGTTTGATCTTCTTGCACTCCATGGGACTCTCAAGAGTCTCCTCCAGCACCAGAATTCAAAAGCATCAATTCTTCGGCGATCAGCCTTCTTTATAGTCCAGCTCTCACTTCCATACATCACTACTGGGAAAACCATAGCTTGAACTATACAGACATTTGTTGGCAAGGTGATGTCTCTGCTTTATCACAAAGCATTTATGGCAAAGTCAACCCATCATTTGAGTCCATCTGCATGAGTGGAGATGCATTCAGAAGCAGGAAGCCCAAGGTGTTGGGGCCCAGATGATGCCCTGGGCAGAGTGGCAGGCTGGCATCCCCAGGGCAGACCAGAGATGGTGGCCCCAGAGGAGGCGGGGGGAGCCTTCCAGGTCATCCGGAACTGCAGCTCCCATCATCCCTGGCAACTGGCCATGTTCCTGGGCTGCTGGGATTTACAGTTCAGTCACTGAGATAATGCTGATAATGTTGTTATACAAATCTATGATGAAACCGCCTTTGAATATTGTGTATAATTCTTGTTCACTCACCTAAAACAGGACATTGCGGTTAGAAAAGGTCAAGAAATGGACAACCAAAATGATCAAGGGGTTGAGCGACTCCCCTATGAAAAAAGGTTGCAGCGTTGGGGACTTTTCAGCTTAGAGAAAGGGGAGGAAGAAGAGACAGGACGGAGGTGGATAAAATCAGGCAACGCTCCCAGAAAGTGGCTGGAGAAACGTTTTCCTTCCTCTTTCAAGAGACTGGAACTTCCAGTGATGCTGAATGGTGGAACTTCCCCCCACTTGGATGATTTTAAAAGAGGATTAGACAAATGAAGCAGGAGCAGGAGAAGGCTGTCAGTGGCTGCTAGCTATGCTCTGCCTCAACAGTAGGGGGCAGCAATGCTTCTGAGTCCCAGCCGCTGGAAGCCCCAGGAGGCGAGTTCGGATCCTGATGTGGGTTTTCCTTTTTTCCCCAAATAATTTTTATTAACAAACCAATCAAATCACATTAATTCCAAATTACAAAGCCAAATTTTTAATTTTTTGTTGGGGGTACCCATGCTTCGAGCTCGGAAAGGGATCCAAACATCTCTCTTGCTGCTGCTTTAATATTCACAGTTCTGTCCAATCTTCTCTCCATTGTTTTCTTCATCTTCTTGTTGTTATCGTATATTCCGTTTTTGTGACCTCTGATAGTCTCCACAAGTGGGTTGAAAACAAACGTTGTGATGTGGGTCTTCCTTTAGGGTTTCTGGCTGGTCCCCGTGAGGACAGGATGCTGGACTAGCTAGGACCCCTTTGGCCTGATCCAGTCCCCTCTACGATCAAAAGCTCCTCACACTCTGCTCTGTGGGGCACATTTTCTCAGCTAAATGGGGGTGCTTTTTCCTACAGTAAATATTTTTTATGTCTGCTGGCTGGTTTATGTGTGTTTGGGGAGGAATTCTTTTTTGTTGACTAAAAGTTGTCAATCAGTTGAGGGAACCTATGAGAGCTGGACCATGAAGAAGGCTGATCGCCGAAGAATTGATGCTTTTGAATTATGATGCTGGAGGAGACTCTTGAGAGTCCCATGGACTGCAAGAAGATCAAACCTCTCTATTCTGAAGGAAATCAGCCCTGAGTGCTCACTGGAAGGACAGATCCTGAAGCTGAGGCTCCAAGACTTTGGCCGCCTCATGAGAAGAGAAGACTCCCTGGACAAGACCCTGATGTTGGGAAAGATGCAGGGCACAAGGAGAAGGGGACGACAGAGGGCGAGATGGTGGGACAGTGTTCTGGAAGCTACAAACATGAGTCTGACCAAACTGCGGGAGGCAGTGGAAGACAGAAGTGCCTGGCGTGCTCTGGTCCAGGGGGTCACGAAGAGGCGGACACCACTAAACGACTAAACAACAACAACAAAATTGGTTGATGCAACGGTGATTAGCTGTGACTTCCTGCCTGGCAAGTGGTTGGACTAGATGACCCCTGGGGTCCCTTCCAACTCTGCAATGCTAGGATTCTGTCAAACGCTGCAGCCCTGCGGGAAGCGCCCTTCCGAATGACGGAGGTTACCAAGTGGGGCGTGAATCCCCCCCGCCCCAAATACACCCACACCAACTGGTGAGGAGGAAAGGGTTGACCCGGCTCCCGAGGCCAGCTCCGGGAGGGGCCTCCCCCCGACCTTGGCCTTCGAGCTCCGGGGACGCCGCTTCCTCGACTTGCTTCGGAGCCCGGACAGCGCCTCGTGGGGAGCCCGCCTTCCTCCCGGGCACCGCTCGGGCTGGGACTCGGTCGGGGGACCCCCACCCAGGGACTCCGGTTGGGGGACGCCCCCTCTCAAGCGCAGAAGCACCTCCTTGAAGGGGGGGGTCTCCGAGGGAGCGGCACTCCCAGGACGCGCTGTCCGCTCCACGCCGATCTCTGCGCCCTCGCCCGCCTCCCCGCGTCTCCACGTTCCCGATAGGTTCCGGGGCTGCGCGCCCGCAGGAGCTGCTCCCGCGCAGCCCCGCTTCCCCCTCTCCCCCAGCCGCCTCTCTCTCTCCACCCTCCCCGGTCCGTCCGTCCGTCGCGGCGCTGGGCGCTTCCATTGGCTGCGCGGCGCGCTCTGGCTCCGCCTCGGCCGGGCTCTCCCTCCGCCGCCGCCGAGCCGCCGCGCATCTCTCGCCCGGCCTCGCCGCCGCCGCCGCCGCCGCGCTCGGAGCCTCGCCTGCGCGGACCAGAAGGCGGAGACGCGCCCCCGGGGCCACGCAGCAAGCCAGCCCGAGAGACCAGCGGGCGCCCGCCGCCTCCCCCCCTCGCCTGCCGTCCCCCCTCCGGTCCCTGCCGCCGCTGCCTTCGCCTTTGCCTAAATAAGGGCGCTCCTGCTGCTGCCTCCGCCGCCGCCGCCGAGCCAAGCCGGGCCCGTCCCGTCGAGCAGGAGAGGCGCGCGGGGCGCCGGGCCGGACGGCGGCTTCCCTCGGCCCCGGCCGGGCTCCCGGGCCAGCCGCTGTCGGGGCGCCCCATGGGGCTGGGCGCCGCCCGGAGACGCCCCCTGCCCGCCGCCTCCGCCGCCTAAGCCCCGACACCTGCGGGGAGCAGCGCCCGGCCGCGCCGACGCCGCCCCGGAGCCGGACTGCGCGTCGGCAGCGCGGAAGGGCCCACGTCGCCCCAGCGCGCCCCTTCGAGCCCCCGGGCGCGGCTTGGGGGGCAGCAGAGGCCGGAGAGCGCCCTCCCCTCCCCGCCGGGCGACTTGACGGGCCCCAGCGCTGGGCCGCCCCTCGCACTCCGCGGACGGCCCCGGCTGCGCGTGGGGCGGGGGAGGCCGGGCACCCCCATGGGCTGACAGCATGCCTGTCCGGCGCGGGCACGTGGCCCCCCAGAACACCTTCCTCGACACCATCATCCGCAAGTTCGAGGGGCAGAGTAAGTAGGGGTGGAGGGGGTCTTGTCCCGGAGCGGAACTGGGGGCTGCTCGGTTGGGCGGGGGTGAAGAGAGCCCTGGGGGTGGTCAGGGGGGAGGTCAGTGCTCCCGCATTATGGGGGTCATGTGGGGAGCTCAAGGCAGGTCTGTGGCGGCCCTGTGTGTTGGGTGCTCTGGAGTCAGAAGTGGGTCGTACATTTGTTTACTGTTGCATTTATTTATTTTGCACGTCTGTCCCACTGTCCCCCACTCTGTGTTCTCCGCACAACAACCCTGCGAGGTGGGCCAGGCTGGGGCTGGTGGGAGGGGGCTGGTGGTGCGCATCGCTGTGAAGGGGCGCTTGCAGGTGCAGGCTGGGCCCCCGCTCCCTTGTGCCCCCAAACTGCCCAGGGAATGGGGTCCTTGCTGCTGGGGGTGCCCACCTGCCCTGGGGACGTGGGCAGCTCCATGTTTGCGGCAGGACGCTTGCCAGCTGGGGGACTGGGGGGCCTCTGCTTGGCCACCTGGACTGGCAAGGGACCGGTCGCCCCTCTTGGAGTGGGGCCTGCCTGCCTCGCAGTCACTCCTGGGCTCAGGCCTAGTGGTCTGCTCTCCTTCCCAGGACCCCCTCCCTTCTGGGGTGGTGGGTGCATGTCCCTGGGCCCTAGGGCAGGGGGAGGAAGAGGCAGCTTCCCACTGTGGGGTCCCTCTTCCTCCTTGCTGGGGGACCCACCAAGAGCACACCCTATTGGGGAGTAAGTGCCGGCCTCCAGAGCGCCACTGCAGGCGCCCAGATTTCCATCTCTGGCCACGGGGATTTTGCACAGCAGCAGCGTGGAGCATATGGCAGAGTGTGGGCGTTTGTGTAGTGTTCGGGTGCCTGGATGTGTGCATGCCTCATGGTGTTTGTGTATCTGGAAAGGGGTTGTGTGCACGTGCAGGCGCACACACGCAGTTGTGCAGTGTTGATAACCTGGTGTGTGTCTTTGTGTCTGCTGGTGGGGAGCCGCTGGGCTGATGCCAAGGGAGTGGAAGGGGGCCACTGAGCGGCCAAACGCTTTCCCCTGCCTTCCCTCTGCTGGCTATCTTAAGGAGGACAGAGCTTGGGGGGGGGGGCGGTAAAAGATGGAGGTGATCCTGTGACCTCTCAGAATGCGCTGTCTCTCTCTGTGTGGCTATTTTCATGGTGTTCTGAAACCTTGAGCCGTCTGGCTTGTGAAGAATCACCAACACTTTCTGGTCCTCCCCAGAGTTAAGGCAACTCGGAACATTTCAGGGTGAAGAAAACTATGTGAGACTCGCCTCTCCTTTTGCACCCATCATCCCGAGCTGAGCAGGGTGAAAGAGACCAGTGGCCTGGGCTGGAGGGGCCGGCATTGGGGGTAGGCTCAGAGGTGCCTTTTTCCTTGGGGGAGGAAGAAGAAGAAAGCAATTCCATTGTGCAAGCAAAACCCCTTGTACTGACGGAGTTGGATCCTACCCGCCCATCCACATTTTGCTCGGTGCTTGTTTTTCTATTTGTGCCCAACAATAAAATAGCATCTAGATCTGCCATTCCCTTAAGAAATGAGAGAGAGTCTCCTCCTGGGCCTGGGAGGGTCTTCCTCCCCTCCCCCCACCTGTGCCCAGGGCAGAACTTCCCCACATCTCAACCCTCCTGGCAGATGCCTGGCTGCCTGCTCTTTGCAAACCTCCAGAGGAGGTTCTTTGGCTTCCCTGGACAGCCTTGCTTCCCTCCCTCTCCCCTGGTAATTTAACCCCGCTGCCTCTTGGCTCTCCGTGTGGCATCTCTGCAAAGGCTGCTGCAGTCTGTTTTCTTTCTTGGGGGCCAGCTGCCGCCGCTGCCGCCGCTGTTGCTGCCGTCCTCCTCCTTGCAAGCGGTGGTGGCAGCGGAGGGCGCCCTGCTCTCCTCCTCCGCTTAGGCCTCAGCTGCCTTTCAAGGCCAAGGCAGACAAATTGGAGAGGATTCAGGGAGGGAGAGATAAGGCACTGGAAAGCACGTTGCGTGAGGGGAGGTTAAAAGTTGGGGCACTGGGGCCTTGAGCAACCAGGAGCCTGATAACCATCTCCGAATACTTTGGGTTGTGGAAAAGCTGGATAAACATCGCAGTGTGGAAGGCAAAAGCTGGCCTGGGACATCAAAGGGGGGATTTTGAGATTTGCAGGCGGGGGAGGCAGATTAACTTGGCTGCACTGAATGAAAATGGCAAAGGGCAGATGGAAATTAAAGCTAGCAAATTTTGGGGTTCAAGGGTTGTGGCTACTCCCTTCCTCAAGTCAGGCTGGAGTTCCATGGGGTCTCAGGCATATAGCCTGTTTTCAGCCCTAGAGCATGTGAAGAAGAGGGATCTCTCGAACATTTGCAGAGTATCCTTCTGCAAGGAGCTTGCCCCTCTTTCTTGCAAAACCCTGGGCTGGAGAGGAATGTCTTCCCAGCTGGAGCTGCTAAGCAGCCTGGGCTTTGGCTGAGCTCTGAGGCTTGATCCCTGGGTTCTGCGGAGAGAGAGAGACAGGGCCACAGCCAGCTTGCACAGGATCTAGGACTGAGCCACCAGGGCCACCTGGATCCTTTTGGGAAGGCTCAGCCTCGCAGCAGAAGGAGATGCTCAGGAAGCCTGTCTCTCCTGCCCAGTGGGCTCTGCTGGGTGGCAGATGGTCTGGGAGAGCCAGAATCGTGCTTCAGCTTGGAGGCTGTGGCAAATTTCCCACACCTGTTTCTCTGCAGACAAGATGGCTATGATTCTGGCCTGCCTCCGCTCTCTCCAGGGCAGCCACCTGCGCCTGGAGCGCTGCCCGTCCCGGCTGCCAGTTGGGAGAGGCGGCTCCTTTGCTGGCGGAGCTGGGCTTGTTAATGCCCCATTTAGGGAGGGCTGGCTGCCAGGTGGCCTGCGATCTGTGGTCACTTGGCCTGCAGTCAAGCAGGCTAACCTGGAGCAGAGATGGGTTTGCAGCTGGCCGGCTACCACCTGTCCTCTTTCGTCATTACTCAAGAATATAACATGAGCTGCAAGAGTCTGGCTTCTTTGCAACGGTATATTTGAATTATGCAAACTGGATTTCCTGCGCTAACTTACTAACTTGGGGCCAGAAGCTTTGGTGTACCAGAGTGGGCTTCCCCTGGAACAAAGATGCTGGGAGGCTGCCCCCAGGGAGGAGGAGGAGGAGGAGAAGGAGACAAACCCTTGAAGAAACAAGACACAAAAAAGCAGGACAGTCAGGAGCCATGCTGTATCTCTGCAGCTACAAAAACAATTCCACACCCTCACCTCGGACACTGCTTCTCAGCCAGAGAGCAAACACAGGGGTTGCAGACTTCAGAACGTACTGAGGCGGCAGTGGAAGGGACAGTGTACAGAACAATTCCTGCCACCCCCCAGAGAAGGAAGAGATGTGTAGTGGTGATAGGTGACTATTTACTGAGGGGGACAGAGGCAGCAGCGTGCAGAGGAATGACTCGTGGTTTCAGTTGTCTCTACACGAATGCACAGAGTATAGGAAACAAGCAAGACGAACTGGAGCTTTTAGTATAGGATGGCACATATGACCTGTTAGGCATTACTGAAACCTGGTGGGATGAGACTTATGACTGGGATGTAGAAACTGAGGGGTTATGACCTGTGCAAAATGAATAGACCAAACAGGAAGGGGGGAGTAGCAGCATTATATGTAAAGGATGTATGTATACATTTGTGAAGAAATCCATGACCTGGAGCATGGAAAGCAGAATGAGAGTATAAGGGTTAAAATTGTAGGAGAGAGAAGCAACAGTGACCTTACTGTGAGGGTCTCCTATAGATCTCCAAGCCAGACTGAAGACTTGGATGATGCTTTCCGAGAGCAGATTAGCACACATTCGAAAAGGAGATATATAGTCGTGGTGGGAGACTTCAACTTCTCTGATATCTGTTGGAACTCAAACTCTGCCAAGAATGTAAGGCCTGACAAATTCCTCCATTGCCTCGCTGACAGTTTCATTTCCCAGAAGGTGGAAGAAGTAACAAGGGGATCATCTGTCTTGGACCTGGTCCTCACCAACAGGGAGGAACTGATAGATGAAGTGGAAGGACAGGGAAACTTGGGAGGAAGTGATCATGTCCTCCTGGGTTTCAGAATACAGAGGAAAGAAAGATTGATCAAGTGGTAAGTCCTCTGGAGAAGATGGGTGACAGAAGGCAGAATTATTCAACTCCTACTTTGCCTCTATCTTCACTCAAAAGGAAACCAATGCCCAACCTGGTGATAACAGAATAAGCAATGCAAGGAGGGAATTGCAACCCAAGATAGGAAAAGGGGTGGTAAGGGAACAACTAGCTACTTTAAATGAATTCATATCTGCACAGCCTGATGAGCCAAGGGTACTAAAGGAGCTTGCGGGTGTAATCTCAGAGCCCTTGTCTATTATCTTTGAGAATTATTGGAGAGGTCCCTACCGACTGGAGGCGGGCAAATGTTGTCCCCATCTGGTAAACATTGACCATGAGCTTGACATTGGTACCAGAAAAGATCCTAGAACAGATAATTCAACAGTTAGTCTGTGAGTACTTAGAAAAGGATGCTGTGATTCCTAAGACCCAGCATGGGCTTCTCAAAAGTATGTCATGACAAGACAAGCCTCATTTTTTAATGGAGTTACAAGCTTGATGGATCAGGGGAATGCTGTGGACAGAGTGTATCTTGAATTCAGTAAGGCTTTTGTCAAAGTCCCCCATGATATTCTCATGAGGAAGCTGGTAAAATGTGAGTTGAATGAAGTAAGGTAACTGTTAGGTGGATTTGTAGCAGGTTGGCTGATTGAACCCAAAGAGGACTCATGAATGGTTCTTCGTCATCCTGGAAAATAGTGACAAGTGGGTTGCCGCAGATTCTGTCCTGGGCAAGTGGTTGTTTAACATTTTTATAAACGACTTGGATGAAGGAATTGAGGGGATGCTGAACAAATTTGCAGAAGACACCAAACTGGTAGGAGTAGGTAATGCTGCAGAAGACAGAATCAGAATTCAAAATGACCGTCACAGACTGGAGAACTGGGCACAAGCTAACAAAATGAATTTCAATAGGGACAAATGTAAGGTTCTGTCTTTAGGCAGGAAGAACCACATGCAGAAATATAGGATGAGGGAAACCTGGCTTACTAGCAGTACATGTGAAAGTCCCCAGTGCCATGGGCATAGCGGGGGGCGGGTAGCTGCCCCCCCCAGATCAAGTAAAACAATAGAAATACTTAATTAACTGACCAGTCGTGTCGTTCTGTCCCCCCTAACAAAAATCCTGGTCAAGCCCATGCAAATGCTTCGCCCCTTCTTCATAAGGGAGTCCCCCCCCCCCCGGTCATTTCAGTGGCCTTTTCTGAAACTTTTCCAACTCTACAAACATCCTTCTGGAGGTGAGGCCACCAGAACTGTCCACAGTATTTCAAATGTGGTTGCACCGTAGATTTTTTATAAGGGCATTATGATAGTGGCTGTTATGTTTTCTATTTATTTCCTAACATTCCCTAGCATGGAGCTTGCCCTTCTTGTGGCTGCCACATGATGGGTCCCTTTAAAAGGTGACAATGACCTTTCTCTGCCTGGAGGGATTGTTTTGGGAGAGATCTGGGCTGGATTTCTTTTGGGATTGTTTTGCTGGTTTTGTTGTTTGCGAGTTTGCTTGTGTCCGTGAGGATAGCTCTTAATTTGTGCAGGTGAGGTTGGGGGTGTCAGGAAGCAGGTGGGAGCAAACGGAGCGGGGCCCTTTGTGGATGAGTGCCAGTGATCTAAGAGCTGCCACATGGAAGCTGAAGCAAGCTTGTCTTCTGTTCCAAGGGGAGGACCCGAAAGAGCGGATTCGAGTTGCAAGAAAGGAGCTTCCAATTAAACGTTAATTTAAGGTGGTGGAGTCTCCTCTGCTGGAGGTTGGATCTGTCAGGAATGCTTTAGCTGCAGCTCCTGCAGGGGGTGGGACTAGATGGCACCTTGGGAAGAGGGCACACAGTTGTGCCAATGGGGGAGGAGCAGCCTTGGCAGTGTGCGAAGAGGAGGCTGCAGTCTGTGGAAGGGACGACTTCCATTTCAGATAATAGCGGGCGCCTTAGGAGAAGGCGTCGTCGTGTGTGCAAAGAATACGGAGCATCGCTTGGCACAGATTAGTCATCCCTGAACTCATTTTTAATTGGCCTTTTCTCGAGTCAGGCAGCCTGGGTCATCAGCCTGCCAGCTGAGCGGATCTGGGGTGCTTTTTGTTGTATGTGCAGTGGGCCGAACACAGGAGATGAGAGCCAGTGTGAGAGCCAGGGAGTGCAGCATAGTGGTTACAGCGCCAAGGTAATCCCCTGCTCCCTCGGGGCCCGGGGGCCCTGCCTCTCAGCCTGACCTACCCTGCAGGGCTGTTGTTGTGGAGATTAGAAGAGAAGAGGGAGAACCAGGCGCACGACCCTGAGCTCCTTGGAGAAAAAAGGGGGGGTGTAAATAATAATAATAAAAAAAATTATTTATACCCCGCCCTCCCCAGTCAAGACCGGGCTCAGGGCGGCTAACACCAAATATAAAACAAATTGATTGAAATACAACTTAAAAACAAGATTAAAATACATTGAAACATTAAAATGCAGCCTTATTTCAGCAGAAACTCAAAAACGTGTTTGGGGATAAATGTAATAAACACATAAATAGCTTGTCCAGTGTGATTTGAAATAAGAGGCCATACTCCTCTGTTTGGACCTTGAGTGTAAGTGGTGCCCAGTGTGCCCCCCCTGCCCCCCCCGCCTACGCTGCTGCTGGGAGCCCTTGCTGCAAGTTGCTGTGTAGACCGTGGCTGAGCCAAGGGGGCCCAGAAGGGCTGTGGTGGAGAGGGGGCGGCTTCCTGGGAGTGCTTCATGCCCCCCCCCGTGGAGTCTGTTCCTCCTCTCCTTGTTGGCATAGCGGGGGGGGCTTCCCTCCCTCAGAAGCATTAGCTGCAGCAAAATGGAAGGCGCCATTCTGAAAAGATTAGGGGGCTGTTCCAGGTGCAGTTCCTGCCGTTAGAGATGATGGTCTCAGGGTCTGGGGCACTTCATTTGGGAAAAGGCGGTCCTTGAGGTATTGCGGTCCTGAGCCAGAATTAGGCCCAGAATCTAAGGGGCCCAGGCAGGATGAGTGTAATTGGTGCTGTTGGGCCAAGATCGGTGTAATATGCTCAAACTGTCTTGTCCCATTGAACAACCTGGCCACTGAATTCTGCACCAGCTGAAGTTTCTGGACCGCCTTCAAAGGCAGCCCCACATATAAGGTGTTGCAGTATTCTAACCTAGAAGTTACCAGAGCATAGACAACAGTAGGATGGATGGCAGCTAACAGATTGAGGTTGAATCCTGACAAGACAGAAGTACTGTTTTCGGGGGACAGGAGGTGGGCGGGTGTGGAGGACTCCCTGGTCCTGAATGGGACAACTGTGCCCCTAAAGGACCAGGTGTGCAGCCTGGGAGTCATTTTGGACTCACAGCTGTCCATGGAGGCGCAGGTCAATTCTGTGTCCAGGGCAGCTCCATCTGGTACACAGGATGAGACCCTCCCTGCCCGCAGACTGTCTCTCCAGAGTGGTGCATGCTCTGGTTATCTCTCGCTTGGACTACTGCAATGCACTCTCTGTGGGGCTCCCTTTGAAGGTGACCTGGAAACTACAACTAATCCAGAATGTGGCAGCTAGACTGGGGACTGGGGACTGGGAGCGGAGGCCGAGACCACATAACACTGGTCTTGAAAGACCTACATTGGCTCCCAGTACATTTCCGCGCACAATTCAAAGTGTTGGCGTTGACCTTTAAAGACCTAAACAGCCTCGGTCCAGTATACCTGAAGGAGCGTCTCCACCCCCATCATTCAGCCCGGACATTGAGGTCCAGCTCCAAGGGCCTTCTGGCAGTTCCCTCCCTGTGAGAAGTGAAGTTACAGGGAACCAGGTAGAGGGCCTTCTCGGTGGTGGCACCCGCCCTGTGGAACGCCCTCCCAGCAGATGTCAAAGAGAAAAACAACTACCAGACTTTTAGAAGACAACTGAAGGCAGCCCTGTTTAGGGAAGCTTTTAATGTTTGACTGACTATTGTATTTTAATATTTTGTTGGAAGCCGCCCAGAGTGGCTGGGGATACCCAGCCAGATGGGCGGGGTATGTATGTATGTATGTATGTATGTATGTATGTATAAAATATTATTATTTATTATTATTTATAGTTAGTCTGTCCCTGTCCAGAGAGGGGCGCAGCTGGGCCACCAGCCTAAGCTGATTCCTTGTCTCTTTTCCCCCCTGCAGGCCGCAAATTCATCATCGCCAATGCCCGGGTGGAGAACTGCGCCATCATCTATTGCAACGATGGCTTCTGCGACCTTTGCGGCTACACTCGCGCCGAGGTCATGCAGAAGCCTTGCACCTGCGACTTCCTCTATGGGCCGCGCACGCAGAAGACCTCAGTGGCGCAGATTGCGCAGGCCCTCCTGGGCTCCGAAGAGCGCAAGGTGGAGATCTGCTTCTACCGGAAAGACGGTAGGGACCCTGCTGGGGGGGGGGAGAGGGGGCCGAGGGGTGAATCTGTTCCCCCCCACAACCCTCCGCTGCCACCTGTGCCTCCTTAACGTGCCCACTTCCTCTTGTCAAGGAACATTAGATTCTGCATTAATGTTTCCCCAGCGCAGAGGAGCCTCGCTTTGCAACCCTGATGAATTATGCAGAAGGACGCTGTGTTTGCTGATTTCTGCATAATGTAGCCTGCCTTGGAAGCCATGGCGGGGGCACGGGGGCTGCATGGGGGCCACACAAGCTCCTTCTCTTGACCACAGGGCAGTCCTGCCCCGTCATTCTGATTTTGGAGATTCTCCCAAGTGCTTTGCAGCCTTGAAGTCCTCTGTGCAAAACAAGCAAGCTGCAGATCCGGAGAGGCTAATGTTGTGCGGCAGATGCGAATCCTGTGCTTGCTTGGCATCACGGCGGGTACATTGAGGGTCCTTGGCCTGGTATATTTCGCAGCCTGTTCCTCACCATGTTTTAGGTGTGTGCATGAAGTCTGTATGCAGTAAACTCGCAACTCATGTGCATCAACATGTGAGATTTCAGCTGGAAAAAGTAAGTGGGGGCAGGCGTCCAGGGGCTCTGTCTGCAATCCCACCGGCCATTGTGCCCACCTTGGGGGAGTATTGCAAGGGGCAGGGAGAGTGTGTTTTGAATATACGTGATTTTGGCTTTACGCGCAACCCCCGGAACACAAGCCCCGCAGAAGTTGAGAGTTGGCCGTACATAAAAGCATTTGTTTTTCTGCCAGGTGCCTTGCTCTGGCTTGGCTAAAATAAAAAAGGGGCATTTTGAAAGGGTGGGGGCAATGGTGTTGCCTTTGGGACTTTGACACTCTTGCCCACCCCCTCTGCCCTGGGCCCTTTTCGTTCAGGTTTTTGTTGAATTATTATTTATTAATTAAATGTGCATACTGCCCCATACCTGTAGATCTCAGGGCAATGTGACAGTACTAAGAAAGCACAATGCATAATAAAAATAAAAGCTAAGGCTAGCCACTGAGTTTGGGGGGGTGGAGACGGGAGAGACTCTGCCTCTCGGCTTCTTGGGCGATTTGTGTGCAGGGAGGCTGGCAGGGCTGCAGAGAGGATCTCGGGGCATCAGCAAAGCCTCAGCGCCTTTCCAGAGCCTGCCCTCTGAGGAGTGACGGGAAAAACAGCCAGAGTCTCTGTGGCCCAGTAAATGTGCAAAGGCATTTGCTCGGCAGAGATAGGAGATACAAAATTCCTGGGACTTGGCATGCGACCAGAACTCATCAAGGAGGGAGGCCCTGTCCCTGGTGCCCCGTCAGTCTCCTTCCCAGCTAGGAAAAAATATTTCAAATTCTTCTGTGTCGGCATTTGGGGCAGCTCAGAGCTCGGGCTCCGCGTGCCTGGCTTCCTGGGCGGACTGTGGGGAGGCCGGCTGGGAAGGGCCCCTTCTTGCCTGCCTGCCAGGAACCTCGGAGGGCGTGCTCTTCCTTCTTGGAGCAGCCCTGGAGGGCCAGGTGGGCCAAGCGTCTGGCTTGGGACGTCCTGGGGGAATTTAGCATTTGGGAAGCGGAACGGCCTGTTCAGCCTCTGGTCCTGTGGGAGGCTCAGAACATCTAGAACGCAGAATAAATCACGTAGGAAGCCCAATGGCCTGGGATCTTTGTCCGGGTTAATACCAGCCGTGGTGGTAAATGGGTTTTCTCCATGTTAGATGCCCAAATGACGCCTGTAGTCAGGGAGTCGCTTGCAAGACAGAGCAGTCGGCTTTGGAGATAATAATAGAGGAGTCGCCTGCAGGATCAGGCCCACGGCCCATCCAGTTCAGCGTATTGTACTCAGTGGCCAACCTAAAGTTATTAGGGGTGCTAAATTCCAGCGCCCGGTGCTCCCTCACGACAGCTGTGCCCGCCCATCAGTGGGGAAACCCAGCCTGGAAAAGGGATCCCTCGTGTCAAAGCTCCCCCCCCCATCCTCTGGCTTAATGGAACGGCTTGTTGAATGTTTTGGCAGTCCCCGTGGAGACGCCAGGGGCATCCGCGGCCCCCGCCTAGGCGTCCACAGCCCTCCCAGGAAGCAGGCGGCCGCGAGGTTTATGTCTATTTGTGCCTGTGGAGACGGGGGCATCCATCACAGGCAAGCAGGCTCTTGAGTGGAGAGGCCTGGAGGCGGGGGGGGGGGGGCACGTCGCTTGGGCAGATCTTGGCCCTCAGCTGGCAGGCGGGCAGCAAACTGGCTGGGGCCTGGAAGCTGCCTTGGCCGGGGTCTCATCCAGAGCAGGTGCTTATGCACCAGAGATGGCTGCCTGTTCTGCCATTGATGCTGCTTGGTGGTGGCTCTCTAGGGTTTCAGCGGGGCTGGGGGGGCTCTTTCCCACCTCCCCTGGAGATGGGAGCCTGAAGGTGCTCTGGCCCTTGGGTGCTGGTGGCCCTGCTGCCCTGAGGAGGGAGTTGCCCACAGGAGGGAAGTGGTTTCCCATAATGAGCATCTGGTTGGCCATCAGGAGAGCAGGATCTTGGACTCGGTGGGCCACTGGTCTGATCCAGCAGCCAGGCTCTTCGGATGCTCTTATGGAGCCTCCAGGCCAACGGCAGTCTATCTGTGTCCCTAGGTTGCTTGGGGCATTTGGCTGCCGCAAGAACGGAGGCTGGACTAGATAGGCTCTCTTGGGCTGCATCCTGCGTAGCAGTTGCTGGAAGCCACTGGAGGGGAGAGCTGCTCTCGTGTTCAGGTCCCGCTCGTGGTTTCCCACATGTGTCTGGCAGTGTTACAAACTCAGGTGTATAAGCCAGGCGCCAAGTGACTCCTTAAAGCAGGGTTACAGTCGCCAAAATGGAATGTCTACTTGCCATTTTGGGGCAAGATGGCTCTGAAGTCTTACTTTTCAACCAATGGGCTGACTGTGATGGATTATCCGTTAAACATCTGGCTAGATCAGAGGACCACCTTGAGCTCAGTTAAGAACTTTGAGAAGTTAAAGAAGAAAAGTCCCTTGATCCAAGAACAGTCCACATCTATATCAGCCTGTTCCGACTGTTTTCTGAATGGTGACCATTCATAGTGTAGGGATATTCTTCACAACTGTGAGCAGGGTGGAAGCAAAGACAACAATTAACTATAACATTCTTCACTGCTCCTGCTGCACAGAAAAAACATTTTGGTTCCTGAAATATGATCTGATTGTGCAGATTAAATATAACGGATAGAATTCTACAGGATGTGGTCTTAGTGAGTGAAAACAGTCCAGATACAAGGGTCCTCAGGTGGCAAAGATGTTTGGCCCCATCCTGGCACATGGGCATCTTCACTTGGTCGCAAGTGGCCAATAAAGGTAAAGGGGCCCCTGACCATTAGGTGCAGTCGTGGCCGACTCTGGGGTTGCGGCGCTCATCTCGCTTTATTGGCTGAGGGAGCCAACGTACAGCTTCCGGGTCATGTGGCCAGCAGGACTAAGCCACTTGTGGCGAACCAGAGCAATGCCATTTACCTTCCCGCTGGAGCGGTACCTATTTATCTACTTGCACTTTGACGTGCTTTGGAACTGCTAGGTGGGCAGGAGCAGGGACCGAGCAACGGGAGCTCACCACGTCACATGGATTTGAACCACCAACCTTCTGATCGGCAGGTCCTAGGCTCTGTGGTTTAGACCACAGCACCACCCGCGTCCCTAAGCGGCCAATAGCCAGGTGCAAAATGTCGCTTGTAAAATGTGAACACAGCTGGGGGGCCACTGTGAGAACAGGAGGCTGGATGAGGTCGGACTCTTCTTACATCCCGACGTTCTTCCAGCCTCCGTCCAGCCTGGCCCCCTGCCCTTCAGCACATGCCTGCACACTCTGCGTGTGGCTCCTGCTTCCTGCTTTTCCGCTGCTGCAGCAGTTTCTCCCCCCCCCCCACCAAAAAACCAGCCTGGCTCAACTGCTGCTTTTGTTTACATCTTCCCCCAGGGGAGCCACATCTCATCCCAAGCTGCAGCTTCTGCAGCATGGAAGCCAGAGTCCCAGGCAGGGCGGGGGGGGGGGGGGGGGGCTGTGCATGTGTCCTCAGCATCTCAAACGCCCCAAGACAGATCCAGGCAGGCTCCTCTCCCTGCCTGCTCCCTTTTTCAGCTGACAACCCCCCCCCCATCCTGGCTTTACCTCTCCCCCCCCCCCCGCCATGCACACACTTTGCTCCCCGTATTCAGGCTGTTGCAAAAGCTGTGCAGAAACCAGGCAGCTTCCGCCTCCTCTCCGTCCCCTTAGCCCAAACCCTGGTCCTTGCCCTGGGGGCCATTCCTTGCCAGGGCCACGCCCCAAATCATTTGCTGCCCCCTCTCCCCCCACCAGCCAAGGGGCACCTAATACTCCAAGGCTGGTAAAAGTATTTTAACACTTGGTACGGAGAACCCCCCAGTCAAAATGCAGCAGCGAAACGTTTGATAGCCAGCCATGGGCATCCCTTTCATGACACCCCAAATCTGCTGCCTGAGGCAGCTGTCCCCCTCTGCCTGAGGTCAGGGCTGGCCCCATCTCTGGCCGGGACTGCAGCAGCCGGCTCCAGTCTGATCTTCTGGTTCCCCAAGGCCCACGTTCCAAATTCCCCAGGCGCAGTTTGCTGCTGGTGCCGGTCCAACTGTGGCAACATGCAGATTTCTGGACCCCAGGCTGGAGACCATAATTCAAAAACCTCTGCCTTAGTCCATAGTTCATTCCATATCCATTTCCACCTCATCTGTTTTTCCTTCTTGCATGCTGGGAGGTTGAGCAAGCGGCACTCAAGCAACGAGAGTAGAATTGGAGCACTGGAAGGGACCTCAAGGGTCATCTAGTCCAACCCTCTGGCAAACAGATAATCCGTTGCAGCAACAGGGTTTGGAACAGAGCTTGGATGGCCACCCATTAGGGATCCTTCCGCTGCAATTCCTGCACTGGAGGGGGCTGGACTTGATGAGCCCCGGGGGTCCCTTCAGACCCTACAGTTCTCTGCTTCTGTGTCCTAAAGGTTCTCCCTCCTTTTCTCCCCCCCCTCCTGAGCCAAGTGCTGAACTCTGCAAGCCTCTCCGCTTCTGCTGCTGCTCCTCTTTTCCAGAGTAACTTGTCTGGGGAGCGGCTGGGGGGGGGAGCGGCTGGGGGGGGGCAGCAGCTGTTTTGTAGGACTCTAACCGTCATTCTGGTCGGGGACCTGCCTGGTTAATTATTTTGCAAATCGATAAGTGTATTTTTAGGCATAATGGCAATAACAATTTTAGAAAGCGCTGTGCGGCGGAAAACGTCTCCAAAGCCTTGTTTGCCTCAGCAGGCGGAGGATCCGCAGCTTCAGAGGGGAGGGGGTGCCCTTCAGGACCCATCCCAAGGTCACTCTTGCCACAGAAAATGAATTTGCCCTGGAGAGGGAGAGGGAAAGGTACTCTGCATGTGCTCAGAGGCACTCTCCTTCTCTTTGCTGCTCCTCCATCAGGATCCTTCCAGGCTGACCCCAGGCATTGATGGGGGGGGACAATGGAGACAATGGAGTCAGTGGGGCACGGGGGGTTGAAGAAAGGGATCAACCAGTTGGGATCCGGATGGGTGGGGTAATTATTATTAATAATAATAAGAATAATAATAATATTCCAGGCAGGTTTGCCTTCTAAACCCTGCAGCTCCTTGGCAGTGCCAGCCGTGTGGGGCTGAGCAGGAGCGCCAGGCGCAGGGAGCGCCCAAGTTCCGCCTGGGCTGCCCCCCCCCCCCGGCCCCTGCACCAGGTGTCTCTTCTCTCCCTCCGGCTCACGTCAGCCAGCCCAGTTCCGGCAAGGCGGGTAAACAAAGCCGGAGCCGCCAGCGCTGTCTCCCAGCTGCCTCTCCCTCCGCCCCCCCCCCTTGCAAGATGGCCTGCGCTGGGGGGGGGGGGAGATGCTCCCTCTTCCTTCCTCTCGGGCTTTATAAACGACCAGGATGGGGAGGCAGAGCAGAGTTATCCTGGTGAGGAACTCTCCAAAGCCCTTTTCTCCTCCTCCATGAATGTGTCTCCTCCTCTCTTAAAGCCATCTAGCATGGTGGCCATCCCTGCCTCCTGAGGCAGTGAGTTCCACAGGTTAACTCTGTGCTGCGTGAAGAAGGACTTTCTTCCCTCTGCCCTAAATTTTCCAACAAAGGGAAAGGAAGGATGCCTTGCCTGCTCTGGGGAGAGTCCCCTTCTCTCTCAAGGGAAGGCCATGGCTGTGGGACAGAGTCCCGGGTTCAGTTCCCCCGGTCATCTCCAGGTAGGGGTGGGAGAATCTCCTCTGCCTGGAATCCTGGAGAGCCATTGCTGCCAGGAGACAAGGCTGAGCTGGGGACACTCTCTGTAAGGCGGCTTCCTAAGATCCTGCCCCCCCAGCCCCCCAGGAATCAGGACGTCCCTTTACGGTCTGCCACAGTGTGTCACAGTGCTGAGCTGGGGAAGAATATCTGGGTTTGTTGGGTTCAAAGATGGGGTGCAGAAGGGGATTTGGGAGGAGCATCTGGGTCCTCTTCTTTGAGCTTTGGGACCAGAGAGAAGGTCCAGCTGTTTGGGGGCAGGAGCAGCAAACTCCTCAAGGAGCCGCAGCCGGGCAGTGAACCTGAGCAGGGCGGAGGGGGGGCGGCTGGCTTGGAAGAGAGGCTGCCGGGGCCTCCTCTCCCCCCCCCCCTTCCTTGAGGGGAACAGAAGGCAGGAGCTCTTCCCTTCTCCCCCAGGAGGCAGGGATGGAAGGAGGGGAGACAAGGCAGGGATAAGGCTAGCAAGAGCTGCTAGTCAGGGTCTCTGCCCCACCCTCCGAAGTCTGGGAACTGCAGGAGGGGAGAGGACTCGGGTTCAAATCTTCTTGAGGGCTTCCCTTTGGGGCATCTGGGTGGCTGCTGTGAAAGCAGGAGGCTGGACCAGATGGGCCCCTATAGTAAGGTTGCCAGACGTCCCCGTTTCCTGGATTTACAAATCAGTCCCCTGACAAAATCCTATCATTCCTAATGAAGTTGAAAAATGTCCCTGGATTCCTTGGGAAATATCTGGTAACCTTACCCTATGGGCCTGATCCAGCAGGACTCGCCTTATGTTCTGTACTCCTCCCCACCCCTGGCAGGGCCCTGCCCCCCTCTCCTCCTCTCTCCAAAGATGCCAGCCTTTCATTCTTATTGATCTGGACAGCCCTGCCAGGTCGGCCATCAGAAATGTCTACACAACTGGGGGCCGATTTATGCCAGGAGAGGACCCCATCCCTCTCCCACTTCCCCAGCTCTGCCCCCTTTGACCTCCCCTCCTTCCTGCTTATAGGGACACAGGTGGCGCTGCGGTCTAAACTGGGCTGGCAGATCAGAAGGTTGGCAGTTCGAATCCCCGCGACGGGTTGAGCTTCCGTTGCTCGGTCCCTGCTCCTGCCCACCTGGCAGTTCGGAAGCACCTCAAAGTGCAAGTAGATAAATAGGTACCACTCTGGCGGGAAGGTAAATGGCGTTTCTGTGCATGGCTCTGGTTCTCCAGAAGCGGCTTAGTCATGCTGGCCACATGACCCAGAAGCTGTATGCCGACTCCCTTGGCCAATAAAGCGAGATGAGCACCGCAGCCCCAGAGTCATCCGCAACCGGACCTAATGGTCAGGGGTCCCTTTACCTTTTTACCTTCCTGCTTTGCTCCTGCTGTGAGTGTCAGAGTGTGTCCACCTCTCCATTGTCTGGCTGGAGCCAGCCTTGCTTATCTCTGCCCTTTTGGTTGGTTAGTTGTTTCTTTAATTTATTACTTTATTGAATTTATATACCGCCCTTTACTTGGAGGTCTCAGGGTGGTTCACAGAATAAAATCAAAATCTAAAACCACAAAATACGCAATCAAAATAAAAACAACAGCCCAATAGCCCCCCCTGAACCCCCCACATTTTAAAGGGGCAGAGGATGTTATCTCGCCCGATGCAATTTCCCCTGCTTGCAGGGTGCCAGACAGATGGATCCCGCGGCCCCAGAGGGACAAGCACCTCCCTCCACTCATTAACTGCATTCATGATTTTAAAGAAGAAAACTTTCCTTGGGAAACAGAAGCTCTCTGGCAACCCACCCAGAATCAAGAGAATTCCCAAACTGGTTCGTGTGCCTTGCAGGGGGTTGGAGCAGCAGAACCCTGGAGGTCCCTTCCAACTCCACAATTCTGTCATTCAGTCTGCCCCCCCCCCAAAAAAAAAGATTGAGCATGGGGTGCCCTCACCCCCCCCCCATATTCAGGCCTCTGTATGAACACGAACACCCCCCATGCTGGAATAAAGAAGGCAGAAGCAGTTTGCATTGATCCAGGAAACTTTGCAAAAGGCTGGCTGGGGGGCCTGTTCTCTTCTCGCCCCCCCCCCCAAGGAGTCTGGCTCTGCTCAGCCAAGTCTCAGCTGCTCATTTATTCATTAGAGGCTGCAAGTGCCAATCTCCGCGGCTGAACGTGCTGCTGCCCCAAAAGCATTCCGGTGCATTAAAGCATTACTTCGAAATCCATTACAACAGATTTTGCATTAAAATGAAAATGGAAGGGGACCTCTGGTCCCTTGGCTAAGAAAGGCGGGGGGGGGGGCAGACCCAGCCTCTCCCGTCTTCCGGAAAGTGAGTTTGAGGGGCTTGCAGTGCGTTCAAATAGCACCCTCCTCCTCCTCCTCCTCACATCATCTCCCGCTTCGCTTGCTGGCAAAGGGGCTAATTAGGAGTTAATTGCGAGAGGGTGCCAAGCCCGAAATGTCTGACGGTGGCAGCTGTGGTGGTTGGGTTGCCGGAGGAGCAGGATCCTGCCTTGGGGGGGAAGGGGCAGAGAATGGAAAATACTGCTGTCTTTCTCTGGGGATGGGTGCTGTTCTTGGATGTGTGTGTGGGGGGGCACTTTTGCCCTGGCCTTCTCAGCTAATACAACCGAGGCCCTCAGTGTGCAAAGAATTCTCTTGTGGGAGGGGAGAGACCCCACCAGCCCAGGCACCCTTGCCACCCGTGGCATTTTGCAGCGCTGCGCTACTTTCAAGCCCTTTGAAAAGGGGGGGGGAGCATTTATCTCCAGGCTATTCCTGGCTACTGATAGCAGGGGTCAAAGGGCAGCTGGTCAGGGCTCTGCCATGTGGGAGGGGGCAAGGAGGGCACAGGAGCCCCTCCCTCAGTGCGGCCATTCTCTTGTGGTCCAGAGCCCCTTCCAGTCGCCTTCTCCAGGAGGAGACCAGCTCTTCCCCTCCACAGAGGCCAGGACTCGAATTCGGCTCCCTCACATCCAGTTCAAGGTCTGCCGGGGGCATGGCTGGTGGGTTGGCTGCTGCTGGGTGTTTGGGGCGGGAGGGGAGCACTTGGTGCTTCCTTTGGGACTGCTTGTGAGCCCCCCAGACCCGCTTGCCCCCGAGTTCCTTCCAGGCTTGTGCCGGAGCGGCCTTGGCTGAGTGTTCCTCCTCCTCCTCCTCCTTGAAGGGCTTTTGGCAGCCAGGCCCCCCTGCTGACAGCTGTGTATGCTTTGTGTCTCCGGAGCAGCCGGCCGCGTCTGGGCTGCGTCAGGGCTGGGGAGGCCGGCAGGAGGAGGGAGGCGGCCTCGCCAGGGCGGGAGGGCGCTGGCAGCTGAGATTTAGCGGGGGCGGAGAGCCACTTTTTGGGGGGTGCCAACAGGCCCAGCTGTTGTGGAAGCACCATAGGCGGCGGCATCTTTGGGGTCTATGTCTACAGCACAAGACTGCCTGCACGGACTGGCAGCCAGGAGCCTCCAGGGCTCAGGAAGGGAGACATGGCCCAGCCGTTGGAGACCGGAACTGAGACCTTCTGCATGCAGCGCAGGTGCTCTGGAGCTGAGCTGCCATGCGCACGCATTCAGGGGTTGCCAGTTTCCAAAGGTGGGGAGCGGAGGCCTCCAGAGGGGTTCCCACCCGGGTTGGGAGGAGAGGGCTATGGATGGCTCCCAGCCAGGACAACTCTGCTCTGCCCCCCCCCCCCAGAGGCAGATATGCTTCTGAATCAGTGCTAGAAACTCAGAGAGATCAGCTCTGCCCCAAATGGCCCCTTCAGCCAAGGTTGCAGTCGCCCAGAGAGAATGGAAAGTTGCCATTTTGCGGGCAAGAGGCCTCTGAAGTCTTATTTTTCAAACGATGGACTGACTGGCATTGATTCTCAGTTAAGCATCAAGGATCACCTTGAGCTCAGTTAAGAACGCTGAGAACTTCAAAAAGAAAAATTCTGTGATCAGGAATTAGATATGTTGGTCTCTTCCTGCCCTGCCTATTTTTCTGAATGGTGACACAGACCATTCATAACGTAGGAATATTCTCCACAACTGTGAGCAGGGCAGGGCGGTGCAGGAGGCGAAGATGAGCGTCAGCAATTATCTACAGCATTGTTCTCGGCTCCTGCTCAGGCTGCGCAGAAAAAGCCATTTTGGTTCCAGAAATTCATTCCGATTGTGCAGATAACTGATCGAATACTACAGAATGGAGCTTTGGTGAGTGAAAGCAGCCCAGATCCCGTGATCCTCAGGCAGGCACCTCCAGGTGGTGGAGATGTCAGGCCCCATCCTGGCACCGGGACAGCTTCTCTTGGTTGCAAGGGGCCAATAGCCACTAATTTCAAACACTCTTCTGAATCACAGTTGCTGGAAGCCCTGGGAGGAGAGAGGGCTCAGGGACTCAGATCTTGCTTGCAGGTTCCCTGTTGGGGCATCTGTATGGCTGCTGTGAGAAGAGGAGGCTGGTCTAGAGGGGCCTCTGGCCTGATCCAGCCAGCTCTTCTTCTGCATAACCTGATAGCTGTGCTGTGCAAATGTTAATGGAGAAATCTGAGGGCTCCCTTGGACAAAAAACAAGGAGACCAGCCAGGAAGACCAGAGCAAAACAGCAGCCAGTAGGCTTGGTCTTTATTGGAGCCTGTCACGACAGGACTCCCACCTGCCACCAGGTGGAACAAGATGGAAGCCTGAACAAAAGAACCCCCAAACTTTTATTAGCTGCTAATCCGCATGTTATGGGACGCGGGTGGCGCTGTGGGTTAAATCACAGAGCCTAGGACTTGCCAATCAGAAGGTCAGCGGTTTGAATCCCCGCGACGGGGTGAGCTCCCATTGCTCGGTCCCTGCTCCTGCCAGCCTAGCAGTTCGAAAGCATGTCAAAGTGCAAGTAGATAAATAGGTACTGCTCCGGCGGGAAGGTAAACGGCGTTTCCGTGCGCTGCTCTGGTTCGCCAGAGTCATGCTGGCCACATGACCCGGAAGCTGCACGCCGGCTCCCACGGCCAGTAAAGCAAGATGAGTGCCGCAACCCCAGAGTCGGCCACGACTGGACCTAATGGTCAGGGGTCCCTTTTCCTTTAATCCCCATGTTACCCCCCCCAAACTACATCACTAATATATCATGGTTACATCATGAAAGGGGAGGTCTGGTGGCAGTAATCGGAGCATCCTGGACCCTGCCCCATGGTTCCCCTTGCCCTCCACCAAACACCCATCAAGTGTAACAAACAAGATATTTACATTTCCCTGTTTCCCAGCCAAGTTAATCCCACCATTTTGTCTTCATCTGGGTTTGTTATTTCTGGAATGGCTACCTGTCTGACACAAGCTGACACAAGTTTTAATCTTTTAAAATCTATTGCTATCGAAACGTTCTTCCTACTGATAATCTTATAGTGTAATCTTTCTTTTTTGCAAACGGCTTTGAGGCTTTTCTTAAACATTCAAGCAGCGTGTAAATTTAAAGAAGTGAAATAATGATTAGCGAAGAGGGTGCTGGGAGGAGCCCTTTGTGCTGGGGACTCAGTTCTGGCAAGGGAAACTGCCAACCCTTAAAAGGGACAAGGTCCCCTGTCTGTGGGGGGGGGGGAGCTTCAGTGGTGCCTCTTAGCTGAAGAGAGAGGGGCATCTGAGTGTTGGGGTGGGGCAAGGGGTGTGTGTGAAGGAGGTGCTGTGCCAGCGGCTTGTGACCCCCCCCCAAGCACAAGGAGGGCCTGGCCGAGGGAGGGGCCTTCTGCACTCAGCGCCAGCCTGGAGGACCTGCACTTTGTCAGCCCCCCTCCCTGCCTCACCTTCTGACCTCCCCCCCCCCAGTCCTCCAGAGCAGCTGGCTCACTTCTCCAACAGGGATATTTATAGTGTCAAGAGGGCCTGTGATAGGGAGGGGGGGCAGCACTCTTTTTCTGGCACCCGTGGGGGGGGAGCAGCAGCGCTCTGGGGTGTGATGGAGAGGAGCAGGAGCTGGGGGGTTGGCAGCTGGGAGGGGACACAGCCCCTGCCCCCTCCCCTGCCCCATTTTGAGAGGCTCTCTTTGGTCCCCCTCCCCATGCTCCGCTAGCTTGTAGACTTCATGGAATGATAGAAATGTAGAGCTGGGACCCCCAGGGGTCCTCTAGTCCACCCTCCTGCCATGCAGGCATCTCAGCCCAAGCATCCAGGACAGATGGCCAGCCAACCTCTGCTTCAAAACCTCCAAGGATAGAGAGGCTACCACTTTAAGGAGTCCACTTCACCATGGAACGGCTCTTGCCATCAGAAAGTTCTTCCTGATGTTTGGTTGGAATCTCCTTCCTTTAACTTGAAGCCATTGGTTTGAGTCCTATTCTCTGGAGCAGGAGAAAACCAGCTTGCCCCATCTTCCACGTTCAGCCCTTCAGATATTTGAAGATGGCTATTATGTCTTCTGAGGGACACAGGTGGCACTGTGGGTTAAACCACAGAGCCTAGGACTCGCCAATCAGAAGGTCAGCGGTTCGAATCCCCGCAACGGGGTGAGCTCCTGTTGCTCGGTCCCTGCTCCTGCCAACCTAGCAGTTCAAAAGCATGTCAAGGTGCAAGTAGATCAATAGGTACCGCTCCAGCGGGAAGGTAAACGGCATTTCCATGCGCTGCTCTGGTTCGCCAGAAGCGGCTTAGTCATGCTGGCCACATGACCCGGAAGCTGTACACCGGCTCCCTGGGCCTATAGAGCAAGATGAGTGCTGCAACCCCAGAGTCGGTCACGACTGGATCTAATGGTCAGGGGTCCCTTTACCTTTATTGTGTCTTCTCTCCATCTTCCTTTCTCCAAGTTAAACATCCCCAGCTCCTTCAACCATTCCTCATCAGGCTTGGTTTCCAGACCTTTGATCGTCTTGGTCACCCTCCTCTGCCCACCTTCCAGCTGGTCAACATCCTTCTTCAATTGTGGCACCCAGGACTCCTGGTGTGGCCTGACCAAGGCAGAATAGAGCAGGAATATTACTTTCCTTGATCTGGACACTATATTGCTGTTGATGCAGCCCAGAATAGCGTCTGCTTTTTTTGCTGCTGCATCATACTATGGACTCCTGTTCATCTTGGTCCACTGAGACCCCTAGACCCTCTTCACACGCCCTCCTGGCAAGCCCTGTATGGCAAGACCACCCTGCCCAGGCCCACCCATCGAGTGCCCTCTTCCCCACAGAGGGACCTGCCTGTTGTCTGCTGGGAGGGATGGCTTAGTTGGTAGATCCTGAGACCCTTCATCTCAAGGTCCTGAGCCCCACTGTCACCAAGAGGATTCCTGCTTTGCAGGGAGTTGGACTAGATCAGGCATCTCCAACCTTCAGCCCTCCAGATGTTTTGGACTACAATTCCCATCATCCCTGACCAGTGGTCCTGTTAGCTAGGGATCATGGGAGTTGTAGGCCAAAACATCTGGAGGGCCGCAGGTTGGGGGTGCCTGGACTAGATGACCCTCCGGGTCCCTTCCAACTATACAGTTCTGTGAAGCCCCCTGAACAGGGCCAGAAGGCGCCAGCTCCTTCCCACTGTGGCTTCCTGGGCTTAGCGCCAAGAGTTGCTCAGCCTTCCCATCTTTCTTGCAGAAGGGAATGCAGGAACTTCTTAAGTAGCATATGTTAATTGCTTTCTGGGAGACGGAGCAAAAGACACAAGGAGCTGTGCTGTCTGCAATTGATGCTCCTCAGAAGCCTGGTCACTTGGGGCGCCCCCTGGTGGCACAGGCAGGACTCTTGCAGGGGTGGCCAGTGTGTGTGTCTTGCGCCTCTTCCAGGGGCCTGGGATGCTCAAAGAAGTGACTGCTGGTTTCTACTTATCCACAGCTCACTTCAAAGGTCCACACTCATTGTCTCTCAGATAACAGAAGGCAGCCAGATAAGCTGATATGAGACGGGCAGCAGGGCGGGGAGTGGGGACTGACGACAGACTTGCAGCCTGAATGGAGGCTTGGAGGCTGGAAGAATCGGGGGAAGCTCAGAACTCAAGATGACAAGAAATGTTAAAAAGAATGGAACATGTTTATTATGTATTTGCAAAGGTAAACAGGCTAATACATTGGCAAGATTTTAAGAACACTTGTAATTTTAGAAGTAGCACAGGAAATTTGAGGTGAAATAATAATAATTTGGAGTAGAAATGATATGCAGTTGAAAAGAAAATTTAAGGAAGGCAGGGGGAGTCCCAGGATTTGCAGAATCCCATTTTATTGATTTGATACTGTTTTTGTGTATTTTTTTCTTTTTTGTGGTTGTTGTTTGTTTTTGTTGAAAATTTAATTATTATTTTTTTTAAAAGAAGGTTGGAAGAATCAGGGCAGAATCTAAAGTCCTCCTTTATGCTGCACAGAGTAAAACAATGGATTCGACCAAGGAATGGAGGCGGCGGCTGTGAGGGGCTCCTCTCTGGCCGGAAGAAGCCTTGCTTCCAAATACCAGCTGCTGCTGGAAACCACTGGAGGGGAGAGTTGCTGCCGGACCCAGATCCTGCATGTGGGGCTCCCAAATGGGCATCTGCTTGGGCCCAGGCCTGATTCTGCAGGCTTTCTTGGGGGCTTAATTTGTCACACAATGCATGGTGAAATTATGGATTCAATGACAGGAGAGGAGATTCTGACGCAACATTAGGAAGAATTGTCGGAGAGCAAGAGCTCTTAGACGTGGAACAGATCCCCTTGGGAGGTGGTAGACTCTCCTCTACTGGAGGTTTTTAAATGGAGGTGGGGGAATGGGGGCTGGGCACTCACCTGCCCCTTCCGAGTAGACCTGGTGGCTCGGCTATGGGGGCAAGCACTGAGTCTGAATACCTGTTGGTGGCCGTCTCAGGAGGGGATTGTTGCTCTTGTGCTCGGATCCTGTTGGTTGGCTCCTGCGAGAAGAGGATGCTGGACCAGATGGGCCTGGGCCTGATCCAGCAGCCAGGCTCTTCTTACGCTCAGGAAGGAAGGTCAACTGAGACTGGCTGGATAACCTACTTGTTTTTCGCTCTTGAGATTGGCTCTGGATTTCTGGCTACAGCCAAAGCCTTGAGGTGATGGAGGGAGCTCCCTGGTCAGCTACCAGTTCCCAGTGGCCACCAGATAAGCTCAGTCCTAGGGAGGTGGGAGAGTCACCCAGGGAGGCTGCCTGCCTGCCTACTGCTCAGCTGTTGTTTCCACTGCTGGGCTGCGTTTGCAGTTCTCATTCTGACTCCAGGCTGCCCGCTGCTGATGTTTGGAGCTGCTGCTGGGCTCCATGGCAAGGCCAGGAGGGGCAGAAATACTGGCAGGCAAGCAGGACCTTGGAGCGCCCCCCAGGCCCTCCTCACCTGGACTCCCTGCTGTGGCGAAGGCAGCATCCTCCTGTTTTCTCCCTTCCTCTCTCCTCTGGCTTGTTTGTTGTGAGCACTTCTGACATTTTGCCCTGGGTGGCTCTCAGGGGACCCAGCGCTCCTTCCAAGTCCTAAAATACCACCAGCCTCTGCGCCCTTTGAGGTGGAGCAGAGGGACAGAGGGCGGCTTGGAGAGAGAAGCGGGGAGCCTCTGGGCCCAGACTTCAGAGGGGAAGGAGGAGGAGGAGGGAGCCCAGAACCCGGCAGGTTCCAGGTGCTTCCCTGGATGTGAGCCAAGAGGAGACCTGTCGGCAGAGAAAGGCTCCCAGGTGGGAGAGGGATGCAAGCAAGTGTCTCTTCCACCCACCCAGATAGGGGCAAGAAAGGGGGGGGCAGGAAGGAACGCTGCTCCATCAGCAGATCCACAATTCAGTGAACACAGAGTGGATTCAATATCGCAAAGGGACAGTTTAGACTTAATGCCTATGAATGGAGTACATGTAAAGGTACATGTTGTTGTTGTTGAGTCGTTTAGTCGTGTCCGCCTCTTCGTGACCCCCTGGACCAGAGCACGCCAGGCCCTCCTGTCTTCCACTGCCTCCCGCAGTTTGGTCAGACTCATGTTTGTAGCTTCGAGAACACTGTCCAACCATCTGGTCCTCTGTCGTCCCCTTCTCCTTGTGCCCTCCATCTTTCCCAGCATCAGGGTCTTCTCCAGGGAGTCTTCTCTTCTCATGAGAAGTCTTGGAGCCTCAGCTTCATGGTCTGTCCTTCCAGGGAGCACTCAGGGCTGATTTCCTTCCGAATGGATAGGTTTGATCTTCTTGCAGTCCATGGGACTCTCAAGGGTCTCCTCCAGCACCAGAATTCAAAAGCATCAATTCTTCGGTGATCAGCCTTCTTTATAGTCCAGCTCTCACTTCCATACATCACTACTGGGAAAACCATAGCTTGAACTATACAGACATTTGTTGGCAAGGTGATGTCTCTGCTTTATCACAAAGCATTTATGGCAAAGTCAACCCATCATTTGAGTCCATCTGCATGAGTGGAGATGCATTCAGAAGCAGGAAGCCCAAGGTGTTGGGGCCCAGATGATGCCCTGGGCAGAGTGGCAGGCTGGCATCCCCAGGGAAGACCAGAGATGGTGGCCCCAGAGGAGGCGGGGGAGCCTTCCAGGTCATCCGGAACTGCAACTCCCATCATCCCTGGCAACTGCCCCCCCCCGTTCTACTCTGTGACTGTTGCTGCCCTTGGCAAATTAGAGAAATTCATGGGGGGGGGCAGCCTTGTAGGCCATTGGAAGAGCAGGCCAAGACTGCCTGTGTTGAGTGAGCGCTGAAGAAGGCTGAGAATGGCTCCTGGCCAGTGTGGCTGCACTCTGCCTGCACCCTCTGAGGCAGCACTGCTGCTGAATCCCAGTTTCTGGAAACTTCAGGAGAGGAGAGTTGCTCTGGGGCTCCGATCCTGCTTCTGGGTTTCCCATTTGGGCATCTGGTTGGCCAAAGTGAGAACAGGGGGCTGGATCTGGTGGGAGCCCCTTTGGCCTCATCCAGCAGGCTCTTCGGATGCTCTTCAACATCTGGCGGACCAAACCTTCCCCACGGCCTGCTTTGTGGGGTACTTTTTGTAAACTCTATGGGGTTGCCTTTTCCTAAAATAAACATTTCTCAAGTCTGCTGCCTGGTTAATGGTGAAGGGGGCAAGAACTTTTCTGATGATTAAAAGTTTTCAGCCAGTTGACCAAACCAATTAGTTGATGAAACTGTGATTAGCTGTGATTTTCTGGACTAGATGACCCTTGAAGTCCCCCCTCTGACTCCCAAATTCAGGGCTGCAGCAATTCTGCTTTTCTCTGCCCTGAGCTCTCAGGGCTGCCAATGGCAACACTAAGGCAGGGGCGCCACCTTGTGGCCATAGTGCAGAACTGCACCACTGCAGTGCAGGACGGGTTTTCTATGCTATCCGTGGCTACCAGTCGGCTCACTCGCGGGATCATCACTACCTAGATTGAGGTTGAACCCTGGCAAGGCAGAAGTACTGTTTTGGGGGACAGGAGGCGGGCAGGTGTGGGGGACTCCCTGGTCCTGAATGGGGTAACTGTGCCCCTGAAGGACCAGGTGCGCAGCCTGGGAGTCATTTTGGACTCACAGCTGTCCATGGAGGCACAGGTTAAATCCGTGTCCAGGGTGGCTGTCTGCCAGCTCCATCTGGTACGCAGGATGAGACCCTCCCTGCCCCTGGACTGTCTCACCAGAGTGGTGCATGCTCTGGTTATCTCCCGCTTGGACTACTGCAATGCGCTCTACGTGGGGCTACCTTTGAAGGTGACCCGGAAACTGCAATTAATCCAGAATGCGGCAGCCAGACTGGTGACTGGGAGCGGTCTCTGGGACCACATAACACCGTTCCTGAAAGACCTACATTGGCTCCCAGTATGTTTCCGAGCACAATTCAAAGTGTTGGTGCTGACCTTTAAAGCCCTAAACGGCCTCGGTCCAGTATACCTGAAGGAGCGTCTCCACCCCCATCGTTCAGCCTGGACACTGAGGTCCAGCTCTGAGGGTCTTCTGGCGGTTGCCTCCCTGCGAGAAGCCAAGTTACAGGGTACTAGGCAGAAGGCCTTCTCGGTGGTGGCACCCTCCCTGTGGAATGCCCTCCCACCAGATGTCAAGGAAATAAATAACTACGGTATCTGACTTTTAGAAGACATCTGAAGGCAGCTCTGTTTAGGGAAGTTTTTAATGCCTAATGTTTTATTGTATTTTTAATATTTTGTTGGAAGCCACCCAGAGTGGCTGGAGAAACCCAGCCAGATAGGCATGGTATAAATAATAAATGATGGTGATGATTGTGATGATTGGGCTTGCACGTTCCTATGATCCTTGTGAGCAAAGCTGTGGAGAGTCTCGTACTCCCAGCAGGGTCACCCAAGGCGGTAAGGTCAAAGGGGAGGTCAAAGACAAAGAATGACCCAAGAAGTCCTCAGCGGCAGAACAGGCGGATGATAAGAAGTGATATGTTACAACCGCTGTGAAGGTCATTGTGATACTCATGCCATCAGAACAGAGCCTTACTGCGAAGACTGTGTGTTAGTCAGAGTGCCCTGATCTCCACACATAAAGCAAATTCACGCACAGGCATCTTCCAGAAATCTATTTATTATTTTCATCGCCACAATCCTACACATTGTTGAAGGGAAACTCCCTGCTGGGGTAGAAATCTTAGACTTCAAACTCCGCTGTGGACTTTTCATGTGAAAAGTTACTTTTTAAATATACCAGGAAAGGTTCCCACTTCTCCTTGACAGAGTCTTGATTTGTGTTTCTTTTCGGTGCCCTCAGTTTTGGCCTCTCCGTCTCTCATGATTTCCACCAGCCCTTCTCCCTTTGAGGGGATTCTCTCATCCCTCCCCTTCTGCACAGATTCCCTGCTGCTGTGGTTACATGCATAAATAGAGTGTGCGCTTTCTTTGGGATTTCACTGCCCGGTATCCCCAGCAGGAAGGCTTCTGACCTCTTGGGAAAAGCCACTTAATTTCCCCCCTTCATTTCATTATATATCATGTCCCAATAGGCCATGAGGGATGGCCACCAACTCTGATGCTTTTAAAAGAGCATTGGGCAAACCCATGGAAAAGACGGCTGCACCGCGTTTTTAATATTCTGTTGGGAGATAATAATATTATTATATTGCCTGGGGTTGGTTTGGATGACCCTTGGGGTCCCTTCCAGCTCTGCACTTCTGACTCTGGGGCTGAGCTGCTCTGCCTGGCCTCCTCCGCTCTGCCGTCTCCTTGGGCGGGGAGGGGGGGTTGGGCTCGGAGTGTCTTTAAGCAGATTCCCAGAAGATTGCAAGATTCCAAATCCCTTGAAAATGAGGTCAGTACAACTGTCCTCCCCCCCCCCGCCTGCCATGCCTGTGGAGGCCTCTGCCCTCCCCTGGAGGGGCAGGATTGAGCCCTGCATTCTCCCACCCCCACAGAAGAAGAACCCCACCTTTCCTCTCCGCTTGGGACCACGTTTTGCGGCAGGAACGTCGCAAGTCTGCTGCCACGTAAGGGGCAGGGGAGGGTATCTGGGCAGCAAGACCTGGGCTTTGAAGAGGGCCTGGCACCCCCTCTGCCCGCTTCCCCCAGCCGCTGGGTGACGAGAGTGTGAGATAATCCCCCTGCAGCCAGCGGAGGAGTGGGGAGGGGGCTCCCTGTGCCCAGAACCTCACGCCTGCCTGCGGGATTAGTGCTGCAGCTGTTAAGAGCTGTGCCTGGATTAGGGCTTGCCCAGCCCACTCGCTGGGTTCCTGGCGCTGCCACCCCGCGGGCACATTCCTCGCGTCTGATGCTGCCAAGTCGGTGGTGGCCCCTCTTCCTCCCGCAGTGAGGTTTGGTGCCAGGAGCGAACGGCATTCCATAGAGTTTGTGGGTATCAGCTTGGAATTGCAGACAGACAGGCCGTCATCCGACCTCTGCTAAAGGACCTCCAGCGAATCACAGAATCACCGGCTTTTAGGGTTGGAAGGGGCCTTCGGGGGTCATCTAGCCCAACCCCCTGAAATGCAGAAATCACAGCAAAAGCTCTCCTTTCTGGTCACTCAGGTCCTCCCCTCCAGAGCAATGCAAAGCAAGTTTTCTCCCTCTTCCTCTACACAAGACATGAGAAGCTGCCAGCATCAGTCAGGGGGATCCAGAAATAAGGATCATCAGTCAGTTATTTCCCTTTAGAGGCAAAATTAAAGAAAATGGACAGACTCCCCTCCTCAAACAGCTCCCTCTTAAACTGGAGATTTAATAATATTCTCTGCAATTAATTTCCAGTGTGTTCAAAATAGTTCTTTGTTTTCTGTATTTCCTCTCCCTTATCCTCTAGTAGCTGGCTGCTTTTATTGCTCCTTTTAAAAAAATAAAAAAATGGTTTCATTACATTTCAAGCAATTACTATAAATATTTAAATTTTAATCCTTTTTTTTAAAAAAAAAATGACACATGTCTATTTGGGAGGGTGTTTGGATTGTGGCAATTGATTCTTGTTGTTTTAATAGATTTTGTGGGTTTTTGTGGATTCTTAATCACTTGTCAAGCACCCTGTGACAAAGGGCTGATTGCAGATGAATAATCTGGATAAATAGGTAAATTGGAAGAAAGGGGAAAGTTGCATTTAAAGCCCACCCACCCAAGAATTTGGGAACCTGAATTTGTCTAATCCCCTTTTCAAGCCTTCCAGGTTGGTGACCGTTAGGGCTGGGCAATATATCAAGATATCATCTAAAACCAGCTTGAAGTCCATATCATGATATCAGTCTCTTAATGGCCTCTCCAAGGCAGTGCTAGAAGCTGAGATATAAAAGCTAGGAGCCAAACGGCACCTTAAACTTGGGTTTCGGTTGCTACAACTGAATGCCCAGGCACCCTGCCGACCAGTTGATTCACCAAGCAGTGCAACACCCATAGATGCGTTTCTTTGGGTGCCATGCTGCCCCCCAAGCCAGCCGACTGGCACGGCGGCATCACCAGCCAGCCAGATGGAGATGGTAGTCGCCAAACGTGGCAAGCAGACATCGCGGCTTCCTCACAAAAGGCTGCTTGCCTGTTGCAAAATCAATGTGACTGGCGCCCAGTTACCGTATTTTTCGCTCCGTAAGACGCACCCTTTTCTTCCTAAAAAGTAAGGGGAAATGTCTGTGCATCGTATGGAGCGAATGTGTGGTCCCTGGAGCCGAACTGCTCAGGGGCAAAAAGCAGATTGTGCGCTTTTTGGGGGAAAGAGGGAAGGGGGTGTTGAAACAAAGCTGCTGATCGTTTGCCGATCGGGGAGAGAGATAAGGGATGCTAGAGATAAAGGAGGCTGCCTGGGAGGGGGCCACAGTGGTGCAAAAATGTGGTTACAGAGCACGGATCCACATGGATCCTCAAGATTTTTGCATTGGGTCACCCCAAATTCACCATCGGATCACATGTCTGTGGCCACAGCATGAACCACAAAAATCATACATCCACTGTTTCATTCAGAGTATTTTTTTTTCTTGTTTTCCTCTTCTAAAAACTAGGTACGTCTTATTGTCAGGTGCGTCTTATGGGGCGAAAGATATGAGTAGTTCTGAATGTTGCTCCAGGGACATAAGGGACCGGGGGGGGGGATGCCAAGGATGCCAGGGGGTCCTAAGTCTGCCTCTGCTTCTCGTGTCAAGGGAGAGGGAGGGAGAAGAGCTGCTCTCTCTTTGCTTTCTCGGTGCTGAGAGCATTTTACAAACTTCCCTCCTCTTGCCTCTTCCTTCCTGAAACCTAACCCCCCCTTTCTCTTCTGCTCCTTTGCCCCCCCCCCCCCAGGGAGCTGCTTCCTGTGCCTGGTGGACGTGGTCCCCGTCAAGAATGAGGATGGCTCCGTCATCATGTTCATCCTCAACTTTGAGGTGGTGATGGAGAGGGACCTTCTGACCAGCCCAGTCAAGAACACCAACCACTGGGTCTCCCCAGCCGCCTGGCTGCCCACAGGTAGGGGGGCCCCTATGTGTGGGTGGGGGGTCACCCTCCTGCAACCCCCATCCCACCCCGGAAGGCTCTAAGGCAACCCACACACAGGTGGAACATGGGGTGGCCTCAGGGCCAGACGGAGGTTTGAGGAGGCCCTCAGCTCCTGAAGGGAATGGGGCCCTTTCTATGTCCAGCTGTCCTTTGTCCACAACAAATTGCCGCTGTTTTTTGTGTTGAATATATGCTATATGGCAGGGGTAGGCAACCTAAGGCCTGGGGGCCAGATCTTGCCCAATCGCCTTCTCAATCCGGCCCACAGACAGTCCAGGAATCAGCGTGTTTTTACATGAGTAGAATGTGTCCTTTTATTTAAAATGCATCTCTGGGTTATTTGTGGGGCATAGGAATTCATTCATTCCCCCCCCCAAAAAAAATATAGTCCTGCCCACCACATGGTCTGAGGGATGGTGGACTGGCCCACGGCTGAAAAAATTGCTGACCCTTGCTATATGGTAATTTATGGACCTAATAGGTATCTAAAGCCATTTGCACATCACAAAATATGTATTTTATCAAAGCAATTGTTGAACTGAAATACAATTAAGAAGAAGTATATTAATAGTGAAATACAATTAAGAAGAAGTATATTAATTGTGAAATAATTACCAGTGATGTTTTAGGGAGCAGGCTAGCAGGTGTGGCCCCTGACTTACATCGTAGGAGCCCACACAACACAAAGCACGGTTGCTGCATGTAGGTTTTATTTTATTTGTTTTTTATCTTATTTTTTGAAAATGCACATCCAATGTGTTTTTCCCCTTTAATTTTTTTTGGGGGCCCCCAAGAGAGCGGGGCCCTAAGCTAGAGCTTGTGGAGCTTATACGTCAATCCAGCCCTGGGTGGTCTGGAGGAGCCACCCCCCCACTGGGGCTCCTGCCCACCCTGGGCTGCCCAATTCCTCCAGGGATGCTGTCTCAACCTGCCTGCCCCCTTCCTCGCCCTCGGCTTCAGAGGGGCTGCCCACCCTTGGCGGCTTCTCTGCTGGAAAGTGACATTTATTTGGTCAGGTGAAAAAAAAGCAGAGGTGGAGCCAGTGTGGTGTAGTGGTTCAGAGCGGTAGTCTCGTAATCTGGGGAACCGGGTTCACGTCTCCGCTCCTCCACCTGCAGCTGCTGGGTGACCTTGGGCCAGTCACACTTCTCTGAAGTCTCTCAGCCTCACTCACCTCACAGAGTGTTTGTTGTGGGGCAGGAAGGGAAAGGAGAATGTCAGCCGCTTTGAGACTCCTTCGGGTAGTGATAAAGTGGGATATCAAATCCAAACTCCTCCTTTTCATCTTCTTCTTCTTCTTCTTCTGGGGAGGGGAAGGGTTAGTGACTTCACAGCACCAGCCAATCCGTCCTGTGCCCAGCTGGTTCCTCCTGCAAATGGGCAGAGCTGGTTTCTCTGGAGTTTGGTCCTGGGGAGGTGGCAGTGAGGGGGCTTCTTCCAGAGCAGGCTTTCGCCTTCATGCACCTGAGGATGCGGGGGGGGGGGCGGGGGCGAGTCCGAGGCACATTCCTACCTGGATGTAAATCAGCAGGAAGATCTGAAAAGCAGCCCTGAGAGCTAGAACTGCCCACAAAGGTTCACAAAGAGCAAATTTCTTTCTTTCTTTTTAAAATATTTTTATTCATTTTTATCATTGCACATTTGCACTCAAACAATTTATATAATCATTTCATGAGATTCTCTGAATCTCGTGACTCCCCCTCCCCCCATCCCCTACATGGGTCCTTGTAACAGAAATCTACATATCCGTATGTTCTCCACAATTTTCATTTCCCAAATTATTCATAATCTTCGTCACTTTACAAGTGCTTCTTAGAGTCCAACTAAACTTTTGATTTGCTTACAATGGTCTCCTAAGTAAATTACATCCCCCCCCCATTCTTTTCAAGTCCTTCTTGATTCCTGCGTCTCCCGGTCAGTTTTGCCGTTTCGGCCAAGTCCAGCCGCTAGGCTTGCCATTATTTCTTCCTTGCATCTCTGAGCTAGTAGCATCCATGCAGCTGTTGTCGCAGACGTAAACAGTCTTTTCTGGTCTTTTGGAATCTCTGTACCTATAATTCTTAATAGGAAAGCTTCTGGTTTTTAAACAAATGTTTCCTTTTTTTACATATAAATTTTTATTAGTTTTTTAACATATCATTTTCAACAGTAATTAAACATACTTTTACATCTTATTCAATTTTTTTGAATTCCATCAATCCTATCTGAAAATTTTCCAATCTAGTCTCTTAGTATGCATTTCTTATTTTCCCTGTTACATTTCAAACTCATAACCAATATCTCTATCTTTTCCTACTTTGAAACGTTTCATGTATTTCTCCTTCCAAAACTTCTTGTAGTCCTACTAGCGTAATTTGTGGATTACAGTTGCTCTTCAAATAATTCATATACTTCTTCCAATCTTCTGTAAATCTCTGGTCCCGCAGGTTTCAAATCCTTCCTGTCATTTTGTCCAATTCTGCATAGTCCATTAATTTCGTCTGCCATTCTTCTTTCGTCAGAATTTCTTCTTGTTTCCATTTCTGGGCTAGCAATACTCTTGCCGCAGTTGTTGCATATAAAAACAAATTAACATTTTGCCTATTAATGTCCTGACCTATAATACCAAGTAAAAATGCTTCTGGTTTTTTAAAAAATGTATATTTCAACATCTTATTCATCTCATTATATATCATTCCCCAGAAGCTCTTTACTTTTTTACATTCCCACCACATATGATAAAATGTTCCTTTTTTTCTTTATATTTCCAACATTTATTATTTGTCTCATATAATGTTAACTTTCTTTTTTCATTTCATTATATATCATTTCCCAAAATGATTTTGTTACCTTACACGTCCACCACATATGATAGAAATCTCAGAACCCTACAGAGGACAAAGAGCGTTCAGTGGTGAGGACTAGAATCTAGAATGGTTGAGTCAAAGGGACCCCCAGAGAACATCTAGTCCAACCCAGGGCAAGACCTGAATCCCAGCCGAAGTATCTCTTGATGGGGAATTTCTCAGGCGCCCTCTGGGAGGTGTTGCAATGGGGCCTCATCCAGGGTGAGTTGGGAGGGGGCCTCCCTTTCTCCCTGGGAGGGGGCAGCCCCTAACACCTTCCTCCAACTTTTAACCCTTTCCAGGTCGGGGCAAGTCCTTCCGCCTGAAGCTCCCGGCGCTGCTGGCGCTGGCGGGCAGCAAGCAGTCTCTCCCGCAGGATGACCCAGACGAGGCGGTGGTGGTGGTGGACTTCTGCAAGCAGAGCAGCGAGTCGGTGGCGCTGGACGAGGTCACCTCCTCGCTGGACAACAACTGCCTGGGGTGCGGGGAGCCAGAGGACCGGCAGGCGCTGATGGAGCGCCAGGGGGGCGGGGCCTCGGAGCCGCCCGTCACCCACTCCTCCCCCCGGGCCGAGAAGACCCGCCTCAACCTGGACGCCTCCTTCTCCAACTGCAGCCTGACTCGCACCCGCTCCCGGGAGAGCTTCTACAGCGTGCGCAGAGCCTCCTCCGTGGACGACATCGAGGCCATGAAGGGCGAGGGGGAGAAGGGCCGCGGGCACAGCCGCCACGCCAGCACAGGTAGGGAGAAGAGGGGCTGGGGGGGCTCAGGGTCTTCCCTGCCCTTCGGTCCCACGGCAGAGTCAGGGCGCTCCAGTCTCTCCGACTGTGTGGGTCCTTCGGCACACCCGGCATGGACTCTCCCTAGCGCAAATTAAAGCGCTCACAATAGGTTCCACATACACAATCCACCGGTGCCAACTCCAGGCGGCCCTGGGGGACCCAAAAAAATTGTCGTGGGTGCTCAGCACCCATCTGCGGGGCCTTGGGCATTGCTTCCCGTCCGAGGCCTCGGGGGGCCTTGGAAGCAGCGCCTGAGGCCTCGCAGGGCCCCCACTTCCAGGGGCCACGAGGTCACGTGACATCAGCATCACTGGGCACCCATGATCTGGGGCCCAAGTTGGCGCCCCAACGCAATCAATAGATTTAATTAAATATATATACTGTATTTTTTGCTCTATAAGACTCACTTTTTCCCTCCTAAAAAGTAAGGGGAAATGTGTGTGCGTCTTATGGAGCGAATGCAGGCTGCGCAGCTATCCCAGAAGCCAGAACAGCAAGAGGATTGCTGCTTTCGCTGCGCAGCGATCCCTCTTGCTCTTCTGGCTTCTGAGATTCAGAATATTTTTTTTTCTTGTTTTCCTCCTCCAAAAACTAGGTGCGTCTTGTGGTCTGGTGCGTCTTATAGAGCGAAAAATACGGTACTTTAATGGACAAGTAGTAGAATCCTAGAGCTGTAGCGTTGGAAAGGACTAAAAGGGTAATCTAATCCACCCCCCTGCAAGGCAGGAATTTAGATTGATGATGATGATGATAATAATAATAATTTTATTATTTATATCCCACCCATCTGGCTGGGTTTCCCCTGCCACTCTGGGCAGCTCCCAAAAGAACACTAAAAACAGAATACAACTTCAAACATTAAAAACTTCCCTAAACAGGGCTGCCTTCAGATGTCTTCTAAAAGTCAGAGAGTTGTTTATTTCCTTGACATCTGATGGGAGGGTGTTCCACAGGGCGGGTGCCACCACCGAGAAGGCCCCTGCCTGGTTCCCTGTATCCTCACTTCTCGCAGGGAGGGAACTGCCAGAAGGCCCTTGGAGCTGGACCTCAGTGTCCGGGTAGAACAATGGGGGTGGAGACACCCCTTCAGATTTAATGCACCAACAGTTGTTTGTGCTTTCGCTAGCAGTGCATGGCACAAAAAGTAAATTGCAAAGAGTTGAAGATGTTTTTCTCAAATGTTGCCAAGGGTCAAGAAAGGCATTGTGGGCCAAGGGTTGGAGCACCCCGGCACAGTTAACCTCTGGAACTCCCTGCCACAGGAGCTGGGGTGGCTTTGAAGGAGGGTTGGGCAGAGGAGGAGAGGGCTGCTGGCGGCTCCTGTCCAGGATTGTTAGACCCTGAATGGCAGTTTCTGTAAACCGCAGGAGGGGAGAGTGTCGCTCTGGTGCTCAAATCCTGCTTGTGGGTTTCCCATGGGGGCAACTGAGTGACCCCTCTGAGAGCAGGAGGCTGCACTCGGTGGGTCCCCTTGGGCCTGATCCAGCCCCTTCTAGTCCGTCTCCCTGGAGGCTCAGCTGAGCCTGGGACTCGGATCTGAGGCTCCACTGTGTGTTGGGGGGCAGAGAGGGGTCCCGAGGGACGGAGAAGGAGGCCGGCAAGCTCTCTGGGGGTATCCCACCTGGCCTCTGTGTCCCCGGCAGGCGCCATGAACAACGTCCGCAGCCACCTGCTGAACTCCACCTCCGACTCGGACCTGATCCGCTACCGGGCCATCAGCAAGATCCCCCAGATCACCCTCAACTTTGTGGACTTCAAGGCGGAGGCCTTCCTGACCTCGCCCTCCAACGAGAAGGAGATCATTGCCTCCAGCAAGCTCAAGGATCGCACCCACAACGTCACTGAGAAGGTCACCCAGGTAGGCTGGCCGAGCGGGACCTGGAGGTGGTGGTCAGGTGTGGGCAGAGACACCCAGGGGTGACCTGGCATGGGCTGGCAGAGGTGCCCAGAGGCCCCAGCCGCTGTCTCTGAGAAGGGACAGGGACCCTTCCAGCTATTTATTCCATTTGATTTTGATTTAATAGTTCTGCATTGCAGGCAGTTGGACTTGATGGCCCTTTCGGGGGGTCTCTCTATGATTTTTGATTCTGTAGCTAAGTTAGGGTCCCATAGAGGCTGCGGAGGAAGAGATGAAGGCATCGTTAGTCTTTATTACGTTTTATCTTGATTTAATATTGCTGCACTCCTGGGGGCTGCCCTAGATGACGCTTGGGATCCCTTCCGACTCTGCTAGTCGACGATTCTAGGATTTGTATTCTGCTTTTCCAGCAACAAACGTCGATCTCGCAATAATCACAACAGCAAAGGGCCGGGGGAATGTAAGCACCGGAATGTCAAAGGCAGTAAAACAAAGCAAACAGCTGCAACAAATTATTAATCAAAACAATTAATGCAGATAAGTAAAATCATAATTCAAAATGAATGCGGGCCCTGCCTGCGCTGAGGTCTCCATGGCACCTCAGTGGATTGGGCCCCTGCGTCCCAAGCGCTGACACTTCCCTCGGGCTCAAAGTAATCCTTGGGGGTCTGGAAGGGAGATGGGATGCGCTCTGCATATGCTTGTGTATCCTCTATGAGAAAAGGCGTTCCAAGCACTGAAGGGTTTCTCTCCCAGGTTCTGCTCTTCCTTTCTGCCTCTGTGTTAACCTGTGGAACTCCCTGCCACATGAGGCAGCGATGGCCAGCAACTGGACGACTTGGAAAAGAGCATTCACTAAATCCATGGGGGGGGCTATGGGGGGCTCCTACCCAGGAGCGGAGAGTTGTTCTTGTGCGTGAATCCTGCGGCCAGATTCCCGGCGGGAACATCTGGTTGGCCACTGTGAAAACAGGACTAGATGGACCCCCTTTGCCTTCAGCCAGGCTCGTTTGATGTTCTTGTGGAACCTCCAGACCCAGAGGCAGTCTATCTCTAGACCATGGGTAGGCAAACTAAGGCCCAGGGGCCAGATCCGGCCCAATCGCCTTCTAAATCTGGCCCATGGACGGTCCGGGAATCAGCGTGTTTTTATATGAGTAGAATGTGTACTTTTATTTAAAATGCATCTCTGGGTTATTTGTGGGGCATAGGAATTCATTCATTTCCCCCCCCCAAAAAAATATAGTCCGGCCCCCCACATGGTCTGAGGGACAGTGGACCGGCCCCTGGCTGAAAAAGTTTGCTAACCCCTGATCTAGACTGAGGTTCTTAGTCTATTTGACCACAGTGAGAACAGGATCCAGGACTGGGTGAGCCACTGGCCTGATCCGGCAGGCTGGGAAATAGGAAGGGGGGACAAAATGCCCCTCTGCTTCTCCCCCCCCCCCCGTTTTTCCTGACTTCTGCAAGCCCACCTGCCCCTCCCTCTGCATCCTTCTCTTCTGCTGCCGTCTTGGGGGTGTCAAAGTTGGCTTGGCTACAGGCAGGGGTGTTGTGTGTGAGTGTGATGAGGGGGTCCTCCCCCCTTCCTGCAGTGGGGGTCTCTGCTCCCCCCCCCAAAAAAAATCTCTGGGTGCCTCCGCTGCCCTTGCAGCTCATGCTCTGGCAGTCTGGATCAGGGACGATGTGGAGAGCAGCTGGGAGACAAAGTCTGGAGAAGAGGAGAGATGAGAGCCACCTTCAAATATCTGAAGGGCGGAGTTCGCCTCTTTTCTGCTGCCCTTTCCAGAGGGCGGGATCTGAACCCATGGCTCCAAGGTGCAAGAAAAGAGATTCCGACTCAACATCAGGAAGGACTTTCTGACAGCAAGAGCCATTCGACGGAAGAGCAGACTCCCTCAGAAGGGGGCAGACTCTCCTCCATTTGACATGGCCAGGAAAAGGTCCGGTGGCTAATAATAATAATAGTAATAATAATAATTTATTTATACCCCCCCCCACTGTGGGCAGCTCCCAACAGATTGAAAACAGAATAAAACATCAAACATTTAAAACTTCCCTAAACAGGGCTGCTTTCAGATGTCTTCTAAAAGTCAGGTAGTTGTTTATTTCTTTGATATCTGATGGGAGGGCGTTCCACACGGCAGGCACCACCACCGAGAAGGCCCTCTACCTGGTTCTCTGTAACCTCACTTCTCGCAGGGAGGGAACCACCAGAAGGCCCTCGGAGCTGGACCTCAGTGTCTGGGCAGAACGATGGGGGTGGAGATGCTCCTTCAGGTCCACTGGGCCGATCTCTCACGGATGCTGTAGTTGGGATTCCTGCCTTGCAGAGGGTTGGACTAGATGACCCTGGGGTTCCCTTCCAACTCTACAGTTCTGTGATTTCCTTCCTGCCTCTCTCTGGTTAAGGGAGCTGGGTGTGGCGGAATTGGGAAGAGCCCGGTGGAGCCCCCACGCCTGCCTCTTCCTTGCGCCACTGCCGTCCACCCCACCCTCCTGCATGAGTTTTTGCAGACCTTCTGCCAGGGGTGAGCTCATCGCACGCTCCTTTTGCCCGGGGGTGAGATGTCTCCTGTCCCAGGTTCAAAGCCAGGGCTCGGCCTGGGTGTCTGCTTCCCGGGCCGAGAACACAGGGGTGTCTCTGGGCCACGTGCAGAGTGCCTCTCTTGCCGCTGCTTTTCCGTGGGATGAGGGAAATTAGAGTGTCCTTCAGAGAAAGTGCACTTCTCTCCTTCCAGGAAATTGATGGAGGGAAGATCTGCAGCCAGAGAGGGGGAACCATATTAAAATGCTTGGCGGGATTTATAGATGTTTTCTCCCTCCGTCTCGCTTGCAAGAACCTTCCCCGTAAAATATGACCCTCCCTCTCCCCGCACATCCTTCGCGCGGCTGCCAGGCTCCTCGTGAGAATCTCCAGGCCGCAAGGAGGGCGGAAGGAGGGACAGCAGGTCTTGCTGCTCTTCTGCCATCTTAGTGGAGAGACGGGGAGCTCAATCTGAAATAAAAGGAATCCGCTTGAAGCAAGTGACCCAGAGAGCCGGACCGAGCTTTGCTCAAGCTTGTCTGCAGAAGGGGCTCCTCCTCCTCTAGACTGTGAATCGGCGCACGGATCCTGGCTGGATCGGAGGTGCTAGGAAGCAGGTGGGGGCAGTTTCTGCTCTGGGGGGTGGGGTGGGGAATTTAGTCCCATTCAGACTCAAAGTTTCGTTGTTGTTTAGTCATTTAGTCACGTCCACCTCTTCGTGACCCCCTGGACCAGAGCACGCCAGGCACTCCTGTCTTCCACTGCCTCCCACAGTTTGGTCAAACTCATGCTGGTAGCTTCGAGAACACTGTCCAACTATCTCATCCTTCTCCTTGTGCCCTCCATCTTTCCCAACATCAGGGTCTTTTCCAGTGAGTCTTCTCTTCTCATAAGGTGGCCAAAGTATTGGAGCCTCAGCTTCAGGATCTGTCCTTCCAGTGAGCACTCAGGGCTGATTTCCTTCAGAATGGAGAGGTTTGATCTTCTTGCAGTCCATGGGACTCTCAAGAGTCTCCTCCAGCACCATAATTCAAAAGCATCAATTCTTCGGCGATCAGCCTTCTTTATGGTCCAGCTCTCACTTCCATACATTACTACTGGGAAAACCATGGCTTTAAATATACGGACATTTGTTGGAAGGTGATGTCTCTGCTTTTTAAGATGCTGTCTAGGTTTGGACTCAAAGTTACGATCCTCTTTTCCATCCTTACCTGAAGATGCCATAATATTAGAGGCTACCATCCACACACTTTCTCTGCGCAGATACTGGTGGTTAGGTAAACTTCTTTCTAAACGAAAAAAAAATTTAAAAAAATGTCCTGTAGCACCTTATAGACCAACTAAGTTCTGGGTATGTGCTTTTGTGTGCATGCACACTTCTTCGGATACACGGAAGCAGAAGTCCCCAGACCCTTATATATAGTGGGAGAGCGGGGGGGTATTACTTAGAAGGGTAGCAGGAGATGGGCAATTGGCTCAATGGATCTGGTCAACCTGTTAACGACTGCAATTAGTCCTGAATTTAATGAGACAACTGTTTAGCAGAGTTTCTCTTTCTTTCTCTCCTGGAAGTGGTGAAGGTGTTTTAAAGATGGCTCACCAAACTGTAAAGTCTCAGTCAAAAGGTTTTATTCCCAGAGCAGCATTAAGGTTGCAAAAGAAATGGGTTGACTGTTAACATGAGCCAAGACTATCAAACAAAAGCCTTATCTCCTCCAGCACATTGTGAATCACAGCAACAGGCCTCACAGGCCAGACTCTTCAGACAGACATTTTGCTATGGGGCATCTGCAAACAGAGTGGTCTTCTTTTTATTAGCACTTCCAGCTGACACCAATTATGGTCACAGTGCCACTCCCAAATGTAAAGGAAAAAACTCTGGAACCTTTCAGAAACTTCAACTTGTTTCTTTGCAGAATGATTCCCTAACACAGGGGTCTGCAACCTGCGGCCCATGGGCCGGATGCGGCCCACAAAGACCGTTTTAATAGCCCCTGAGCTGCCCCCGAACTGAGCCAGCCGATTAGTGACTCCTCCGCATGCTGCGCTAAACCGGGGCAGCACGGGGACTCACCGAGCAGGGCCGAAAATCGCGTCTGCGCACACACAGATACCGGAAATCGCTTCTGTGCATGCTCAGACGCCGAAAATCGCTTCTGCACAGGTGCGAGTTTCGGCATCTGGGCATGCGCACAAGTGATTTCTGGCGCTGCGGACATACGCAGACACAATTTCCAGTGTCGTGCTGTGCCGGTCTGGCCCACGGACGATCTCCATGGGAGTGATCCAGCCCACAGCCGGTAAGCCTTGCCGACCCCTGCCCTGAGACATAAGGAGTCACACCCAAGATCTTGCATGCAAAGGAGACGCTCTAACCACTGATCTCCGGGCCCCTAGAGCTTGTGTTGCCCTCATTCTGCCTGCCATTTGAAACCCTTTTTAATGCTGGAACCTGGCCTGGGACCTAGGGCAGGGAATGAATAAATACAATAATAGTTGTAATTAATCAACAATGAAAACACTTAGGGGAAAGTTGCTCACCTCACACTATTATTATTATTATTATTATTATTATTATTATTATTATTTTATACCCCACCCATCTGGCTGGATTGGCCCAACCACTTCCACACTGATAAGAGGAGGAGGAAGATGCCCCCCCCAAAATAGGGCTGTGAGTGAGAGGATGCAAAATCCCATCAGAAGCTCCATCGCCATCTCTCTTCCTCACCCCCCCTTGCTGCCCCCTTCCTCTGGCCCTTCCCAGGGTCCTGGCTCCCTCCCCCCGCAGAACTTGTCCAGACAGAATGAGGCCACTTCCTTGCGCCCTGTGGTGGGGAGGGGCTGTGGTGCGCTTGCCAAAGTGTGTGTCCGCCGCCCCCCCCTCGCGGCAGCCAGCGATGGGTCCATCAAGAGCGGTGTGCACATTGGCCTGATGAGGCTGGCATCCTGCCAGCGCCTGGCGGGCTCAGCTCCCCTGAGTACCTGCACTCAGGATGGGCAGAGAGAAAGAAACAAGCTGGTAATTAAAGCATCTCCCCTCCGAAGAAAGATTGGCACATCTGGGGAAAGGTGATTAAGGGGGATTTGATGGAGGGGTTTTCAGATTAGGCCTGGCATAGAGGAAGCAGAGAGAGAAGCGTTTCCCTCCCTCTCTCCAAAGTCCTGAACATCCTGTGAAGCTGAATGCCAGGAGATCCAGGACAGAGGAAAGGAAGACGTACTGTATTTTTTGCTCTATAAGACACACCAGACCACAAGACGCACCTCGTTTTTGGAGGAGGAAAACAAGAAAAAAAATATTCTGAATCCCAGAAGCCAGAACAGCAATCCCTCTTGCTGTTCTGGCTTCTGGGATAGCTGCGCAGCCTGCATTCGCTCCATAAGACACACACACATTTCCCCTTACTTTTTAGGAGGGAAAAAGTGAGTCTTATAGAGCAAAAAATACGGTACTTCATGCAACACGGAGTTAAACCGTGGAACTCCCCCCCCCCACAGTTGCTGGAAGCCACAGGAAGGGAGATGATGGTCCTGTGTTCAAATCCTGCTTGAGGGTGGCCCACAATGGGCACCTGCTTGGCGTCGGTGACAAGAGAAGGCTGGACTGGGCAGGCCATTGGCCCTCCTTAGGCTCTTATGGAGCCTCCAGGCCCCTGCCCCCGGAGGCACGCCTGGCCCCGAGGCTCTTCCCTGATTCTGAAGGGTCTCCGGCCTGGTTCCAGGTGGGGGGCGGCTGAGATGGGAAAGGCACCATGTCATTCCTTGTGGCTGTAATGCCTGCGCTGCAGGGGGTTGGACTAGATGGCCTTTGGGGTGCCCTTCTGAGTCTACGGTTCTACAACGAGAAGGTTCATTGGAGGTTTTTAAGCAGAGGTTGGGTGGCCAGAGCTTTGTCAGGAATTATTCAGCTGTGGCCCGTGACTCCTGCATGCTGGTCTAGATGGCCTTTGGGGTGTCCTATGATTTTGTGCCGCTTCAGGGTGGAGCAGTGGCAATGAGGACAGCAAGTTGTAGGGGAGAGGGAAGGGGAGAGGGGCTTAACAAGCCCCCTCCTCGTCTCCCCAGCTCCAGGGCGTCTCTCCAGGCTCCTAATCCCCTCCAGACAGCCTTTGCCTCCCTCTGTCCTTGCTTAATCGAAGTGCATATGGTGGGTGGGTGGGAGCCGGGGGGGGGGGCATCCCGGGGCCTGACATGCAGAAGGTTCCCCCCCAAAAAAGAGCCCCCACTGGCATCTCCAGACTTCAGGGAAGGCTGGGAAAGTCCAGTTTCTGACTCCCCCTAAGAGCCCCTGAACACCGGCTCAGTTGTTTAAACAGGAACAAGGAGGGCTGGAACCTTCCTTTATTTCTTTGGCGGCTGCAGAGCCCCTGCTCCGCGGGACGAAGGGGGCAGCTTCAGCCCCCCCCCGGCCCGGCGTCTCCGGAGAGGGTGGAGGCAGAGCGACGCCCGACCCAGGGGAGAACGGCGGGCAGCTGCCGGCCCGTGTGCGGACAATGCAGAGCAACTTGGTGCTCTGAGGCTGCTTCCTCCGACGGGGCTGCGCTATGGTCCAGCTGGGGCTGAGGCGAGCCTGGCCCCAGATGTGGGGCTGCTGGTGCGCGCCCCCTGGGGATGTGGCGAGGCCGTGCGGATGATGGATGGATGGTCTTCTTCCTGCCTCCCTTTGTCAGGAGAAGACCCCGAAGGGCTGGAGCGAAGCCCCTCTTCCGTGGGGCGGGGCGGGGGCTGCTTGCGCACGCGCCCTCTCCGACTTTATGGCCCCATAAGTCCCGGCTGGCTGGCGGGCGGGCGGAGAGCGAGCGAGGGAGAGTTGGGGGCTGGGGGGGTCTCCGCCAAGCAGCCGCATCGGAAGCCCGCAGCGCCTCTGTCTCCCGGCGCGCTCCAAGGTGACCCCCGTGCCGCAAGGTGCGGCCCCCCCCGGCCAGGGACTGGACCGCGCAGCGGGAGCGGGGAAGGATCTCGGGGGCCGGAGGTGCCTCTGGAGAATAGGGGAGGGCGGTGTGCTCCTGCCTTGTGCCTCAGTTTCCCCGGCCGCACTCGGGGGAGGAGGAGAACCCCGGGAGCCAGTCAGGGCTGCGGAGCGGACTGATTCAGGAGCCGGGGGATAAAGAGGAGGGATGGGGAGGGTATACATTCAGGAGCCCCCTCCCCAGGACAGATCTCCCCCGTTTGGGGGTGGGGAGTGGGGCTGGGTGCGCGCTCGCTCTCGCTCCGTCTCCCTCTCCAAATGCCCATTGCCGCCAGAGCAGATGGACTCTCTCCTCCTCGGAGCAGAGCTGGGGGTGAGGATGCTCTGCGAGCAAGGAGGAGCCGGGGGCGGGGGGGGGAGGCTGGCAGCGAGTGGGCGGAGGCCAGCCGGGGCCACCCCGTGGGTGGGCCAAGGAGGGAGGGAGGGAGCGAGCGAGAAAGACCCTGGCATCTGTTCCCATCTGCCCAGCCTCCGCTGGTGAGGTGCCTGGCTGCCTCCCTCTCGCCCTCCTCGCCACCCCCCACGGCGGCGGGGGGGCGCTGCGCCGGCGGCCAGGGCCCCCCCCCCCTGAGCCCCATGCCCTGAGCCAGGATCGTCGCTGCAGCGGGCATGTCTCAGGGCAGGAAGGACAGCGGCGTCGGGCAGCCGGAGGGCAAGAACGCCCGAGTGCGCCGGGCGGTGCGCATCTCCAGCCTGGTGGCGCAGGAGGTAGGGGGCTGTGGGGGGCGGGGCGGGCAGCCCGCCAGGGGGCTTTCCAGAGGGGAGGGGCTCTGGTTCTTCGAGGATGGGGTAGGGCGGGAAGAGCACTCTGCATGCGCTCAGAGGCTGGGGGCGGGGGGAGGTGTGGGGCTCATGAAGTTCTGTCGAGTTCTGGGTTGGGAGGGAGGGGAGCCCCTTGTGCTGTTCTGTGCCCCAACCCCTGCACTTGGGGGGGGCACCCAGAACTAGGCTCTTCAGGGTACCAGGAGCGAATTCTGCCGGGTCTTCTGCAGACACCCTGGCCCTGGCCTGCCCTTTCCTGACCTTGTTTCCTGATCTGCATCCAACTGTTGCTCCCAAATATTTATGTGACACCAGCTGGACACTCAGTGATGCCTGACCCAGCCGGCCGATGCCACAGGGAGCCATAGATCCCTATGCGCGTGGAGGGGGCTGGGTGAGGGGACCCCTGCTGCCCCCCCAGGCAGAAGAAGTGCTTTGGGGGTTGCGGAGGAAAGGGGGAGTGAAGAGTTTGGGGGTTCAGGATGAAGGCTTTCTGGGGAGGGGGCAGCTGGGCAGGTCATTCTCTGGAGCAGAGAGTCTTATTACTATCTCATCATTACTGATTGGTATTATTTATTATTGCCTTGTTATTATTCGTGTCTTATTAGTGGACATGCCATGAGGGTGGGGAGGGGGCTTCAAATACCGTTCCCCCCATGAAAAACAGAGAAGGGACGTTGGCGCTGTTTTGTTGCTGAGGTGAGGCACGTATTCTGATACCATCCCTGATTCTTTGGGTGCTGTTCAGCTACATCCTACTCAGTGTAGGTGCATTGAAACCAATGGGCCTCTCTTCATCATGGTCATTAATTCAAATGGGTCTACTCTGAGCAGAGATTTGCTGAATGTCGCCTTTAGCGTCAGTGCGTGCAGACTGGAAGGGGAAGCTGAGAGAATGTGCATTAAAGTTCCTTTTAGCCCCCCATGGCGGGCGATGGATCCCCCACACACATCACCATGCAGTCCAAAAGTGTTGCTAAACCAATTTTTTTTTGGGGGGGGGGGAGTCTTGGTTCCCCTCCTCCTTAGTGTCTCTCTTCCTTTCCCTGATGTAGCCCTTCCAGCCACCCGGCTCTTTGGATCTCCGCTTGCAATCAGAACCTGCCCCCTGGTTCTCCAGAGTCCCCCCCCTCGATTAATGGGCAACTCCAGCAGACTGTGCCTTGTGCCGGGGGCTACGATCTTGCAGGGAGGCCAACATTCATCTTTTGGACATGACCAAGCAGCTGGTTTAGTGGGGAACGGCGGGAGCAATTACTGGGGAGGGGGCTGAAAAAAGTGCCCCCTCCCACCTTCGCTCTATCTACATTGCTGTATTGTGATACATTTTGTGGAGGGAGGGAGACTGATGGTGTTAGGACTACGTGATGCTTATGCTGCTCCTAATACAGCTCTGTTAAGCTTTAGATCACAGGGGGTTGGACTAGATGGCCCTTGGGGGTCCTTTCCAAACCTACAATTCTAAGATTTTTTTAAAATAAAAAATATGTATTTAATTTGTGTGCTGCCAGTAGTCTCGGCATTTTGCTGTGGGGGTTTGATAGTAGCCGCCCCCCACCTGGTGGCTTCCAGATGTTTTGGGCAACAGTTTCCGCCCGTCCCGGCCAGGTCCACATCTGGAGCACAGCTGTTGCAAGTGGTGGCCCCAGACGTCTGGAGAGGCAGGACACTTGTCCTTGCGGTTTGGGGACCCTTTGACTGGGAGCCACTTCGGAACTAACTGGTTTGGGAACATCGTAATAGCAAAAAATCGCCGTGAAAATGTCTGCTCAGAATTAGGGGCGCAGGAAGCTGCCTTCTCCCGAGTCCGGCTCTGGGGCCAGTCCACTTCAGCATTCCCTACACTGACCGGCAGCAATGGCTCTCCTGGGTTTTGGACAGGGGTCTGTCTCCCAGCCCTACCTGGGTTGAACCAGGGCCCTTCTGCATGCCAAGCAGGTGTTCTGACACGGAGCTCTGGCCCTTCAGCTCTTTCCAGAGATTTCTTTGCTTGCTTGCTTGTGACCCGGAAACTACAACTAATCCAGAATGTGGCAGCCAGATTGGTGCCTGGGGGCGGCCGCCGAGACCACAAAAACACCGGTCTTGAAAGACCTACACTGGCTCCCAGGACGTTTCCGAGCACAATTCAAAGTGTTGGTGCTGACCTTTAAAGCCCCAAACGGCCTCAAAGGCCCAGTATCCCTGAAGGAGCGTCTCCACCCCCATCGTTCTGCCCGGACACTGAGGTCCAGCTCCGAGGGTCTTCTGGAGGTTCCCTCGCTGCGAGAAGGCAAGTTACAGGGAACCAGGCAGAGGGCCTTCTCAGTAGTGGCGCCCGCCCTGTGGAACGCCCTCCCGTCAGATGTCAACGAGAACAACTACCAGAATTTTAGAAGACATCTGAAGGCAGCCCTGTTCAGGGAAGCTTTTAATGTTTGATGTATTACCGTACAGTGGTACCTTGGGTTACATATGCTTCAGGTTACATATGCTTCAGGTTAAAGACTCCGCTAACCCAGAAATAGGACCTCGGGTTAAGAACTTTGCTTCAGGATGAGAACAGAAATCGTGCTCTGGCGGCGCAGCGGCAGCAGGAGGCCCCATTAGCTAAAGTGGTGCTTCAGGTCAAGAACAGTTTCAGGTTAAGAACGGACCTCCGGAACGAATTAAGTAGTTAACCCGAGCTATCACTGTATTTTAATATTTTGTTGGAAGCCGCCCAGAGTGGCTGGGGAAGCCCAGCCAGATGGGCGGGGTATAAATAATAAATTATTATTATTATTATTATTTGTTGTTGTTGTTGGGGTCCCAGCTGGACCCGCTGCTCTTATGGTCATCTCTCCTCCCTTGGAGGTTTCCAAGCAGAGCCTGGGATGCTTTCGCTGCGATTCCTGCCTTGTGGGAGCTCGGACTCGGTGGCCCTTGGCATCCCTTCCATTTCCAGGGGTCTCTCAGTGGAGTCTCCTTCGCGGGAGAGCTTTAAGCAGAGGGCCATTGGCCACCGGTCAGGGATTTGCCAACTGCGATTCCTGCCTTGCTGGGTCTAGATGGCCGCTTGGGGTCCCTCCCAAGTCTATGCTTCTGTCTTTCTGCAAGGGGTGGGGAGGGTCTGGGTCTGGTCTGCTCCCATGTGGACTCTGCCCCCTGGGCCAGGAGCAGGACAGAGGGGCTGGTGAGAAGGGACGGTGTTGCCCCCAGCCCTCCGTCTCCCACCTTGAAGTTGGAACCAGTTCAAGCTCTTCAAGATGCCCCCCACTTAGGATTTGGCACATTGCACAAGGCAAAGACCCCCCCCCCCCCCGGTCCAAAAAGGGCTCCCAGAGAAGCAATTTCATTTCCTTTTTAAAAAAATAATATGTCCAGTTCCTGTGTCTCCCACTTTGTTCTGCAAGGAGTTCAAGGAGGTCTCTCCCCCCCCCCCCCATTTAACTCCCCACAATTTATTATGGGTGTTATTTATTAAATTTTCACCCGGAGTTTTCAGGGTGCTCCACAGCACAAAAACACAGAATGAAACCACAAAGGACACGATAAAAACAAGAACAAAACAAATCCATACAGTAATTTCCCCCCTCCCACAAAGACATTGAAAAGGACATAGACTGTTGATCAGCCAAAGGTCTGGCTGAAGAGGAACATTTTCGCACAGAAACCCTGTGGGGTAGGCTAAAATAATAATAATAATAATAATAATAATAATAATAATAATAATGGTCTGAGAGGCAGTGACTGGCTCCAGGTCACACCCAGGGATCTTCATGGCTGAGAGGCGGAATTCGAACCCTGGTCTCCCAGGACCTAGTCCATGACTCTAACCCCTACACCACACTGTCTCTCTCGCTGGTTTCCTCAGAGCTCAGCCCTCGGCCTCCCCTCTGTTCTCTCGCTCCAGTCAAGGTGCTTCGTCTCCCCTGGGGAGCCCTGCGGCCAAAGTCCTCCTTGGGGGGCGCTGGGAGTGTGGGGTGCTGCCCCCCAGCCTAGCCAGGTAGCCCTCCAGCCCCTTAGGAAACGCCCCATCTGTCACCCACAGGCTCTGGGTTCGAGAAAGGCTCCAGCACGCCCCCTGCTGCTGCTTTGCCTGAACTGTGAATCCTGGAAGGAAAGGTGCAAGCAGAAGGAAGCACTTTGCACGGCCGGCCCGTCTTCCAGGATTTTGCCCAGTCCTTTTTTAAAGCCAGCCAGCTTGGTTGCCATCACTGTCTCCTGTGGCAAGGAGTTCCGTAGTTTAACTCTGTGCCCTGGGATGGGCAGGCAGAGACAGTCCTCTGTTCCCTTTCTCCACCAACCATTGCAGCTGAATTCAAGAGGCCTCATTGGGGTGCAGGTCTAGGCTTTCTCAATGTTGCCATAAATCCACTCTGCTCGCACTCAGAGGCACTCTCTTCTTCCCGAGTCAAGCCCTTGCATGGAAAGCGGGTTCCGGAGCTGAGCCCTGTGCCACCCCCAACGTTACGAAGAGGGCAAAGGCCCCACTTGACCAGCCCTGTGAGGCCAGGGGCGCAGGATGGGGGGCAAGAAATGGGGGGCAGCTTGGGGTGGGAGGGGACTCTGGGAAAGACCACGCTGTGCCCCTGCACTTGCCCTGCCTCTTCCCTTCCTTCCTATGTCCAGCTGTGGGGCAATTCAACAGAGATGCAGTGTCGCCTAGTGGTTAGAGCACTAGGCTCGTCCCCACTCAGCCATGGGTGACCTTGGCGGGGGCAGTCGCTGCCTCACGGCCTAGCCTACCTCGCAGGGTTGTTGTAAGGATAAGGGAGGAAGCAGGAACACACTGGCCACCTTGAGCTCCCTGCAGGGACCCCCAGGGGCTATCTAGTCCAACCCCCTTGTGAAATGTAAGAAATAAAGTTTTGCTGTGCCCACAGCAGACAAGGAGCAACAGAAGCAGGCAGTAAGAGGGCAGAGGATGCCAGGGGGCTTGTTCAGAGGAGCCCCCCCCCCAAGTGTGGGTCATTTTGACTGCCCTCAGTTTCCAAACCAGGCCAAGTGAAGTGTGTGTGTGTGTGTGTGTGTGTGTGTGTGTGTGTGTGTAATCAGGTGCTAAAGGTCAGGTACAGACTGTGGGTTTTTCCTGGGGGGGACTCTGGGGTACTCATACCCCTAGATATTTTATGAATCTAAGTTTGGCCTTACTGAGGGGCAGTATTTCAATATGAGTAGGAAAAGGAGAGCACCTCTCAACATTTTTTAAAGAAGCAATGCAGTGGAAGTGAACGATGCCCTGGGGGGGGGATCCCACGGAGATTGGCCCCTGCCAGGCCACCACCCAGGGGTCAGTGGAACCCCCAAGAAGGACCCAGCCCCACGGATCAAGAGGGTCTGTCAGGAAGGCTTGAGCACAGCCAAATGGTCTGGTGAGCTGCCGACAGGCCTGCCTGTTCAGGAAGCAGGTGAATGAGCGCCCTGGAGATCCCGCCACGGAAGTCCGTTCCCCTGGCGCAAGCCATGCCAAGGACCCCCCTGAACCCCCCTGGGCAAGGCAGCCGCCCTCAGTCTCCACTTCTGTAAAATGGGAAGAGGAGCCCCGTGTCGCCAGGGGGAGCCTGACCAAGGCTGCAGGTTCAAGGGGTACAAGAGGATGGCTGCCATTCCAATCCTCATATTCTCAGGGAGGGCTAGATCGGGTTAGTGCCAATTTTGCGCCACCCACAAGTGCGTTTTGCAACTCCTGCATTCCTCCATCTTCCTGCCATCTCCCTGGCTCAGGCACTCAGGAAATCAGCCGTAGAGTTGTAGAGGGACTGGCAAGGGTCATCTAGCCCAGCCCCCCGGACAGAGAGACAGCCTTCCCAGGGCGCCCCTTCGACTGTCCAAAGGCTCCCCGCCCCCCCATCAAGATATTCCTAATTAATTGATCAGGAATTCTGCAGCAAGAATGCCCAACGGTGCCTTGGGGTCTGGAAATGTGCATTTTTAATCAAATACAGCTGGCGCTTTTTCCCAGGCTGCTGAATCCTGTCGAATGGCAGATCCCCCTGTCAGGGATTCTTCAGCTGCAATTCCTGCGCTGCAGGGGTTGGGATGGATGAGCCCTGGGGGGCCCTTCCAACTTGACAAACCTGTGCTTCTTTGGTTGTATTGGGGGGGAGACTCTGGAGTGGGCAACCTGAGTCTGCGGGGGGGGGGGATGTCTCTAAGCCATGGAGAAAGAGACCTGGTGAACTGGACTCTGCCAGGTTGTTTGGGGGGGGGGTAAGGGGGGTGTCCTGCAAACCTTCCGTGAGTGAGTTTGATTCAGAGAACTTGCTTTCAAGGAACATGCCCCCCCCCCAAAATACATCCAGCCATAGCCAAGCCCCCTGCTAAGACGCCTGGAGGTGCTGACCCCACTTTGAGCTGCCTTCCAGTCTGGAGGGGGCTCTGGAGGGACCCCCCCCCAAAAAGGCCATTTCCAAAAATGAGTTAGGTGGAAGACCTGGGGAAAGAGATGCAACACACACACACAGTCATGGCTCCCCCCTCCCTTTGTCTCCCTTGTGGGGAGGAGAGATTGCTCCTTCCTCCCCCCTCACCCCCCCCCCACATTCCCCCTGTCCAGCTTTGCCTCACTTTCCCAGCAAAGGCCAATATTTTGTCCCAATTTGGTGCCCAAAGGAGGCCAGTTAATTTTAGCGCATCTCTCCTCAGCCTGGGTGCCCCCCTCCCCCTTGGACCTCTGCCCCCTCCCTCGCTAAAAATGGAACTGGAGCAGACAGGGAACATTTTGCCAGCCCTTCAAGAGGCAGCTCAGCCCAGGAAAGGGCCCCCCCACCAACAGGGGCCCCCAGCTTCATCCTACAAGTGGGCCCCACACCCCTGAGAAAAGATCTGGGTGACCCCCCCCTGCCTGAAACCCTGGAAAGCCAAGGGGGCCTCGCTCCACACCCCATGCCTGCCCCCCATGTTCCTACATCCTTTTAGACCAGCGGTTCTCCACCTCTGGGTCCCCAGATGTTGTTGGACTACAACTCCCATCATCCCTGAGCTCTGGCCTTGCTAGCTAGGGGTGATGGGAGTTGTAGTCCAACAACATTTGGGACCCACAGGTTGAGAAAGGCTGTTTTAGACTGACTGGAGGGGGGGCACCATATCACTGAATGTGCCAAGCCCACCCCCTCCCTCATAAGACCACATTTTGTGGACACCCCATGAAACTGAACGTGAGAAAATTCAGCACCAATAAAAGAAAGCCCTTCTTCCGTCTGAGTTTAACTATGGAACTCCCTGCCACAGGAGGCAGTGAGGGCCACCAACCTGCATGGATTGGAAAGAGGGTTCAAGAAGATTCCTGAATTGCAGGGGGTTGGGCTGGATGACCTTTGGGGTCCTTCCCAACGCTATAATTCCATGATTTTGAGTTCATGGACGAGGAGGCAGCTTTCAAGGCCTGCTAGCCAGGATGGCCCTTCTCTGCTTCTAGGTGGTGGTGGCTGGAAACCGCAGGAGGGGAGAGCATGGCTCTCACGCTTGGATCCTGCTCAGAGGCTTCTCAAAAGGATCCGCTTGGCCGCTGTGAGAACAGGATGCCGGACTAAAAGGACCCACTGCTGACCCCATCCAGCTGGTTCTTCAGGGGTACAGTCATACCTCGGGTTACAGACGCTTCAGGTTGTGTTTTTTGGGGTTGCGGACTGCCGAAACCCGGAAGTACTGGAACAGGTTACTTCCGGGTTTCAGCAATTGCGCATGCGCAGAAGCGCCAAATCGCAACCCGAGTGTCCACTGTACTTAGGCTCTTATGGAAACCGCAGGAGGGGAGGCTTGTTCTTGTGGCTGCTTCCCGGACGGGGCATCTAGTTGGCCTCTGCAAGAACAGGATGATGGGCTTGGGGAGCCATTAAGAACCTCGGAAGAACCACCGGTGAGCCGTTGAGAACATCGGGAAGAGGTTTCAGGCCGCAAGAGCTGTTCCAGTGCAGGATGGACGGGGTGGACGCTCCTTCCTTGCGGTTTTTGAGCAGAGGCTGGATGGCCATGGGCCCTGGACGCCTTGCAGGGGGTTGGTCTGGATGACCCCTGGGATCCCTTCCAGCTCTATGGTTCTGTAGGAGTCTGTTGCGTTGAGCCCAGGGCCCAGCTGTGAGACTGAGCCAGCCGGGCTCTCCTTAGTCTTACCTGCCCCCTCTGTGGCTCTCAGCCAGCCGCTTGGAGGGCCGGGATGAGGGGAAGGTGGCTCTGGGGGTCGGATCCTGCTTGTGGGTTTCTTTGTAATGGGCCAGCCCTGAAGAGCAGGCAGGACCAGATGGGCCAGTTTCACCATTTCTGCGCCAGCTGTTCCTCGCACACTCAGGAACACTTATTTATTCATGGGAGGCTTTCGAAAGTGCCCTCTTGGAAAAGTATCACGTCCGCATCAGACGATTTGAACGCAATCCCATTGGATTTGGAATATAAGCCGTGGGTTTTCGAAAGAACTAATGACAGCGAAGTTCAGATAATAAAAGCATATGTGCTGTAAGGCAGCTCATAAAAAGAAGTTTAAAATAAACATCAGGAAAGGAGGTCTGGGAAGTCAAGAAGAAGGAACATTGTACACGACAATGTTTTGGAATCTTTTTGGAGATTTGATAAAAATGATAGGTCTAGAAAGCAACCCACGGGGTCTGCAGCGTGGCAGGGGGGCTGAGACCCACAGGACCCCCCCTCGGCCGAGCCCACAGGCCAGTCTCCCCCAGCCAGGCACTGCCAGGGGGGCCTAATGGTTAGAGCGCTGGGCTGGGACCTGGGAGAGGAGGGTTCGAATCCCCCCGGGGTGACCTTGGAGTCAGTTGTCATCTCTTAGGGATGTTGTGAGGGTGGAATGGGGAGGAGGGGAGCCATGTGCCCCCCCCCCGGAGATCCTTTGAAGATAAAGGTGGTATATAAAGATAAATAACAACAACAACAAGGCACCCTTCCACATCCTCCTTCTTGGCACCTGCCGCCCCTCCTGCCTCAGTTTCCCTGCTGCTGAAAGCAGACCTGAGCTTGCGGAAGCAGGAACCACGATGTTCCACCCATCCGTTCCTCTATTTGTTGTTGTTGTTTAGTGGTGTCCGCCTCTTCGTGACCCCCTGGACCAGAGCACGCCTGGCACTCCTGTCTTCCACTGCCTCCCGCAGTTTGATCAAACTCATGCTGGTAGCTTCGAGAACACTGTCCCACCATCTCGTCCTCTGTCGTCCCCTTCTCCTTGTGCCCTCCATCTTTCCCAACATCAGGGTCTTTTCCAGGGAGTCTTCTCTTCTCATGAGGTGGCCAAAGTCTTGGAGCCTCAGCTTCAGGATCTGTCCTTCCAGTGAGCACTCAGGGCTGATTTCCTTCCAGAATGGAGAGGTTTGATCTTCTAGCAGTCCATGGGACTCTCCAGAGTCTCCTCCAGCACCAGAATTCAAAAGCATCCATTCTTCGGCGATCAGCCTTCTTGAGGGTCCAGCTCTCACTTCCATACATCACTACTGGGAAAAGCATGGCTTTAACTGTACGGACCTTTTTCGGCAAGGTGATGTCTCTGCTTTTTAAGATGCTATCCTCTATTTATTATTTGCTTATTAAAACCATTTAGGGGTCACTTTCTGTCCAAGGATTCCAAAGTGTTTTGCAGAATAAAGTAACAACACTAAACTGTTAACTACTTATAAACTCAAGTGTTAAAATATCAGGGGCAGGTGGGAAGGGAGCCCATCTCAGAGAAGGAAAACTCTGATCCTGAATCTCCACTGTCCTGCGGGGAGAAGAGAAGGCTCACGAGAAAACCCTACAGAAATCCAGAATCCCACGTCTGGCTCGGCGTTCCTTTGGGCCACATCAGTGAGGCTGAGAAAGGGGGTCTTGTCGTCTGGGCAGCCGGGGACCCCCACGCACACGGCGCAGCCTTGCGCCCAGGGAGGTCACTCTGGGCTGCTCACACAGCGGTTTGGCTTCACCCCTGGAAGCGCACTCCATTGTCTCTGGAGGCAGATGGTTCATAGAATGGTAGAGTTGGATGGGACCCCTGGTGGCCATCCAATCCAACCCTCTCAGTGCAGGAATCTCATCGAAAGCATCCCTGACAGGCTGCCATCCACCTTCCATCCCACCGTTGAGCAGCTCTTCCTGCCGTCAAGTCCTTCCTGAGGTTGAGTCAGAATGCCAGCAACAACAACAATGTTCTTAAAATATACATGAAAGCTAAAGAAGCAGCAACAAGCATGTGCAGAGTGCAAAGTGCCTTTGGGGTGGAGAGGTTTCCCTGTACATCCTGCCTGCCAGGTAGGCCAGCTGCAGATCCTGTTTCTGGTGGGAAGAGCAGTTTGACTCCCTTGGGAAGGGGGAGATTGTGTGTCTGTCTGTCTGATTCTTTAGCTGCAGTTCCTGCATTGGGGGGACACACGACTAGATGGCCCCTGGGGGAACCTTCCCAGTCAACAGTTATATCATTTGATCCGTCTCTCTTTCCAGAAGGCGGTGGAGTCTCCTTCATTAGGTCAGTTGGGATTCTTCCGCTGCGATTCCTGCCCTTCAGGGGGTTGGGCTAGATGACCCCCAGGTCCGCTTCCCACAACTCTTATGATTCTATAGTTAGGAGGGACTTTCCCCCCAGGAGGTGGGGAGGCAAATTCCTTCCCCTGCAGGATATACCTTGACTCGCTTGCTTGAGCGATCAAACGGCATCACATTTCTGCAGGGGGGGGGGGCTCTTTGTGGCCTGCTCAGCTCCTGAAAGCCCTGCTGAAAAATCTTTTTTGTGTCCCCCCCCCCCTTAGCATTAGAACTCTTTCACACACACGCCAGCCTGTCTGGTACCAAAATAACTGTGCGCAAACACACGCAAGGTGGGTGGGGAGCGAGGCTTGGCATGTCTTGCCTGGCGGGGAGGGCTTTCTCCTGCCCCGCCAAGGGGGCCTGTTTTGGGGAAGAGGGAGAGGATGCCCACGCAGCTGCCAGGGCTGCCACCCTCCTCCTCCTCTCCCCCAGGGGCCAGGCTTCTCCGGTGCCTTGGCAGTGCCAGGGGGGCATCTACCAACCCGTCCGCCCTGGCGAAGGGTTAACGGCTGGGGAGGCTGACCAGCCTGGCTCCTTCTGGCGCTGGGAGACAGAGAGCAGGGCAGGCTGGGTAAAATTTCCGCCCCAATAATTTTCCAGCCTGCCTCTCTCTCTCGCTGCCGCCTCCCCAACATCCGAGCCTGGCAGCCGCTCTGGGTGGCTGCTCTGCCCGCTCCCTGCGCCCCCTCCGCAAGGGGCTCCCCCTCCACCTCAGGCCAGCAGCATGCCCAGCGCCCCAGGCACCAGAGGGTCGCCCGCCCCCTGCCCTCTGGGTGCCCCCCACCGGGCACGCAGCTGGGGCTGAGCGCCATGCGGGCGGCAGCGCCTTCGCAAGAGGATGCTAGCTTCCCTCCTGCAGCTGCTCCAGGATTTCTCGGGCACCCCTGCCGCTGCCACCGCTGCCCCCCAGCCCGGAGCGCCCCCCATGCCTGGGGCTTCCCTGTGTGGCACCTGCCTGTGCCTGGACAGCGGCAGCGGCGCCCATGCCAGAGCCAGGGCCCAGGATGGCGAGCAGGGAGACAAGGTAGGCGCTTTTCCCAGGGGGTGGGAGGAGGGGAGGGTCTCCATTTGTCCTCCGTGGGGCAGAAGCAGGAGGGTGGGGTCCGCTCTCTGGTTTATTTATGGAAGGAATAGGTGCTGGGGGGCTGAGTTATCACTAAACTGGGATGAATGGGGCAGGACTTCTTCAGGCAGCAAATAGTTAAACGGTGGAACTCCCTCCCACAAGAAGGGTGGGTGGCTTTGGAGCCATAGAGTTGGAAGGGACCCCTGAGGGTCCTCTAGTCCACCCCCTGCAAGGCAGGAATCTCAAGTAAAGCATACAGATTAGAGGGTTGGACGGATCCAGCCAGGATGGCGTCTGCATCCCAGCTGCCGGAAGGGGAGAGGGCTCTGGGCTTGGATCCTGCTTGCTGTTTTCCCATTGGGGCATCTGGTGGGCCCCTGGGAGGGCATGAGGCTGGGCTGAATGGTCCCCCACTGGCCTGATCCAGCAGGCTCATAGCTGTCATCTTTTCCCTTTTCTTGCGAGGAATCCTATTCAGAATAAGGGAATTTCCCTTTGAAACAGGGAAACGTTGACAGCTATGAGCAGTCTCTTTTGTAGTTCTTACGGCTGCATAGAGGGATGCTCACTCTTTATATGCTCAGAGGCACTCTTGGCTGCGCTGTGGACTCAGCTTTGGGGCTGAGCTAGGGGAGAGTGAGGTGGCCAGACGCCAAGGGATCCGAGTTCGAAAGCCGCTTGGAGCTGCTGTTCAGGAAGGTGGATTTGCGAGGGTCCCCCAACATCCCACTGCGCCTCTCAGGGTTCGCTGGGGAGAGGGGCTTGGGTGTGGGCCTGAGGATGAAAGGGAGCAGAGTGACACACACACACACACACACACACACACACACCCCGCCTCCAGCCCTTCCTCGTTCCTGGTGGTTGGGGGGGCCGGGGGGGCACCCGCTCTGGCGCTTCGTGGAGCAGAGGGTCAGGTGGGGCAAAGCTGTTTGGTTGCACATCCTTCCTCCGGGGAGCTTTGAGCTTACGTAAGTCTTCCGAGGTTGCACCGTCACGTGGGAAAGGCGCTCTGTGTGTGCTCAGAGGCACTTGCTTGATTTTTTTTGTTATTTTTTAAATGTCACTGTGGTTTAGGTCTCTGCTGTGGCCCTGAGGACATCTCTGGGCTGGGATCCCATCCTGATGGGGGTGCAGGTGCTGCCTTGTGGGTGGGGAGGGGGAGGCAGCGGAGGAGAACAGACCAGCACCCAGCAGCTGATGGGCTGGAGAGACACCTGGGGTCTTAGCAGTTCCCCACCAGAGAGGTTAGGGGGCTTCTGGGCTGCTTTGATGTCTCCCTGAACAAGGGCTCCTCCCTGCTCCTAGCAGAGTGGGGGGCGCTGTTGTGCTTGATGGATTGCACTGCAGAGAGAGGAGGACACTCTGCCTGTGCTCAGAGGCACTCTTGCTGTGTCCCATGTTCCAGCTCTGACTGGGAGCATTGCAAGGAGGGTGTCTTTGGGGTGTCTTGGGCTCACCTGAAGTGACAGAGCAATGCAGGGAAAAGGTCTCCCCAGAGCAGAAATTGTGGAGGGGCTCCTTGCAAGAACCCAGCCAGTCTCCACATGCCAGTGACCCAGTTTGAACTGGGTGGCAAGTTGTCTGCCCATTTCGTGAGCCAAAGCCCGGCCAGGGAGTGGGGGAGTGCAGTGGCGGAACCGATTTTTGAATTTTGGGCAGCGACCCCAAAGGCTCCTGCTCATGATTTCCAGTGGGTCTACTCTGAGTAGGACACCCACCCATGTCAAGGCAGCCATACTGAATTTGTAGGTTCCCCTGAGGATGTGCAGAGTGCTTCGTTGTCACCATGCCGTGACCAGAGCCAAATTCAACCTTGCCCCCCCCCCCCAGAGGGTGGTGCTCAGCACCCTTTAGCTAAGCAGCATGATCTGGAGTCTTTTGTGGGGAGTCTGCCAGGGTCAGGGGAGGTGCCCCTGGGGGTGGCAGCTTGAGGGGCGGGGGGCAAGAGGCCCGTTTTCAGGACGCTCCATTCCTGGGACTTTTGGCAGAGGGGCCAGAGGTGGCTGTGCAGCTGCTGCCCCCCCTCCAGCTGCTGAAATCCCCCCCCTTCAGAGCCAGGAGGAATTAGCTGCCCGTCTGGAGGGCACCCTGGCATGGGATGGCCAGGAAGGTTATAAATAGAAGGTGCTCCTGGGGCAGCCGGCTGGGGAATCGGAGGCAGCAGCAGCAGCAGGGAAGGGGGGCGCAGCAAAGCATGCTGGGAACAAATAGCTCAGGGTCTCCCTGGGTGGGGGAGCAAGCAGCTGGCTCTCCCCCCCCCCCCCGTTTGTGGTGTGTGTCTCCCCACCTTAGCCTGAGACAGCTGGCAGGAGGAGGAGGAAAGAGGCGCTGAATCTGCCAGCGATGCTTCAGCTCCCGGGTTGGACTAGATGGCCCTTAGGGGTCCCTTGCAAAGCCTGCCATTCCTTGAATGGGGACTGAGGCCCACGGCTGCATCGCCCACGGAGACTGGGTGTGGGGACCCCCCTTCTTTTTCCACAGAGGCCATCCTGGGGTGAGGAGAAGGGATGGCAAAATCGTAGAGCTTTGAGGGAACCCCAGGGGCCATCCAGCCCAACCCCCGGGCAGAGCAGGAATCTCAGCTCAAGGATCCCTGGCATGAGGCTGCCCAACCAGCCAAGCCATGGTCGCTTTACTGAGCTGGTGACTTTTCTCCTTCAGCTTCTCAGTGTGTGTGACAGGGGGGTGCTGTTCCGGCCTCCCGGGGCCTGGATCCATCACTACTGCGGTCCCTCCCCTGCAGCCAGGCCACGGCCTCTTGTCACATCTTATCGTGAGAGCAGGGCCTGATGGGAGAATCACATAGGGTTGGAAGGGTCCCCCAAAGGTCATCCAGTCCAACCCCCTGCGGCGCATGAATGGCAACCGAAGCGTTCCTGACAGATGGGCATGGAAGCTGACTCTGCTGGGGTCACTGGGGGGCACCTTTCCCGGGGGGTGTGATTCTGCCTCTCTCTCTGATGGCCCCCGTGTCCCTTCCCTCCATCCCCAGGTCCTGTCTCTGGGCGCTGACGTCCTCCCGGAGTACAAGCTGCAGGCGCCCCGCATCCACAAGTGGACCATCCTGCACTACAGCCCCTTCAAGGCGGTCTGGGATTGGCTGATCCTGCTGCTGGTCATCTACACGGCCATCTTCACGCCCTACTCGGCCGCCTTCCTGCTGCACGACCGGGAGGAGCAGGCGCGGCGCTTCTGCGGCTACTCCTGCAGCCCCCTCAACGTGGTCGACCTCATCGTGGACATCATGTTCATCATCGACATCCTCATCAACTTCCGCACCACCTACGTCAACTGCAACGAGGAGGTGGTCAGCCACCCGGCCAAGATCGCCATCCACTACTTCAAGGGCTGGTTCCTCATCGACATGGTGGCCGCCATCCCCTTCGACCTGCTCATCTTCGGCTCCGGCTCCGAAGAGGTAGAGTCGCAAGAAGCCCGGCGTTTCGGTGCCGCTCCCGTTTGCAAGGGCCCTTTGAGCTGCCGCCAGGTCACGGAATGTCCCCAAACACTCTTCCTGCTCCGGGGCAAGGCGAGGGCAATAGAAAGCGGAGGGTTTGGGTTTTGTGAAAAGGATGGGCAGTGCCTTCGGTGGCTGCAGGACAGGCAGGAATTCAACAGATGCAGACTTTCCCAATTGTGTAGACATCCAACTGTCAGATCTCTGTCATGGAAAGGTCCTGAACTCTTGTGTACATAGAAAGTTTGGAAGTGGGGGCTGCAGAGGGTGGGGGGCAGATGGCAGGTAGCCCCTCCAGGTAGCTGTGGATGGAGAAGGAGAGAAGGACAAGTCCCAGGCTCAGTCCCCAATGGCTTCAGGGTTCATGGCAGATGCAGTGTAAACTATGGAACTCTCTGCCACTGGAGACAGGGATGGCCACCAGTGTGGATGGCTTTAAAAAAGGATTGGACAAATTCATGGAGGAGGAGAGGGTCGTCAATGGCTACCAGCCATCATGGCTGGAGGCCCCAGTGCTTCTGAATCCTAGTTGCTGGAAACCACCGGGGGGAAGAGGGCTCTGGGGCTCAGATCCTGCTTGTGGGTTTCTGGCTGACCGCTGTGAGAACAGGGTGCTGGACCTGATGGGCAGTTGGCCGGATCCAGCAGGCTCTTCTCAGGTTCTTATTATCTCCGTCCAGGGCTGGGGGGGTCTCCCCTGCCTAAACCCTGGAGAGGCATTGCTGGCAGTCAGTGCAGGCGACCCGGAGCAGCCGGATGGGCTGTGTGGTAGGATGCAGTTTTGAGACACGTCCTTCAGTCCTGGTGTTCCGCGTTTGAAACTGACTGGGCGCCAGTCACATTTTGCGACAGGGAACCGGCCTTTTGCGAGAGATGTCTGGTCACCAGGTTTGGCCACTAACATCTCCATCTGGCCGGCTGGCGCTGCTGCCGTGCCGTGCCAGTCAGCTGGCTTGTGGGGTCTCACGGCACCAAACGCCTCTTTTGCTGCTGCGCTGCCCCGTGATCAGCTACTCCACGGGGCTTCTAGGCATTCAGTTGTGGCGAACAAAAAGGGTCATTGTGCCGTTTGGCCGTTAGGTTTCCTATCTCAGCTTCGAAGTGGGAGACCCAGGAGTCAGGGAAGTGGTGGCCACAGGAGCCTAAGGAAGGGGGGGCTGGAGGGGGGTGTCTGTCCTTTTCACCCCCTGCCATCTCAGCTCAACCCGTCTCCCCCGTCCCCGTCTGTGTGGGGAGTTCATGGCCTCCATCGGCCAGGACCGGGAAGGATTTTGCTTCGGATGCGAGGCTGCAATCTTGGCACCCCAAAAAACGTCTCTTGCCCCCTCCCCACGGTTCCTGCACATGCTCACAGGGCAGCTGGAGAGGCAGGAGCCGGCGAGGAAACTGGGTCTGGCCCCCAGGGAGGCCCCCCCATCCTGTGCGCCAGGTGCATGGGGGGGAGGCGGAGGAGAATTTGTGAGGCTCAGGTGCGCCAGCCGAGATGGCGGCTGCCTCAGAGGATCAGGCCCAAGGGGGCACCCGTCTGCTCCTGGCTGCGGAGAGCAGGCTGGGAGGTGGGGGGGGGTCTCTGGACCCAGGGAGAAGCGCACCTGGGGGGTCTGCTCTTTCCGCTCCGGGGGGGGGGGGAGACTCAGAGCAGCCGGGGCTGTGAGTCCTCCGAACGGGGCTGGATCACATTTGGACCCAGGGTGGGTCACCATCCAGGATTCCCCGTGGAGCATCCCGTTGGCCACAGAGAGAACAGGACCCTGGACTAGGTGGGCCATTAAAGGGTAAAGGTAAAGGGACCCCTGACCATTAGGTCCAGTCGCAGACGACTCTGGGGTTGTGGCACTCATCTGGCTTTACTGGCCGAGGAAGCCTGCATACAGCCTCCGGGTCGTGTGGCCAGCATGATTAAGCCGCTTCTGGTGAACCAGAGCAGCGCACGGAAATGCCGTTTACCTTCCCACCAGAGCAGTACCTATATATCTACTTGCACTTTGATGTGCTTCCGAACTACTAGGTTGGCAGGAGCAGGGACCGAGCAACGGGAGCTCACCCCGTTACGGGGATTCGAACCGCCGACCTTCTGATCGGCAAGTCCTAGGCTCTGTGGTTTAGACCAAAGCGCCACCTGCGTCCCTAGGTGGGACATTGGAGCGGGCTAAATGGAGCCTCCATGGACAGAGTCAGTCTACCTGAGGATAGTAACCACCAAGAGTGGGAGACGGCTGTTGCTCTGCCATCCCGCTTGGGCCTCCCCTTGGCTGGCCACTGTGGGGGGCAGGAGGCTGGACTGGTGGGCCCCCTTGGGCCTGATCCTGCTGCTGCTCTTCTGAGGTTCTTATGGGAGCTCATGACTCTGAGGGAGCAAGTGAAGAGGAAGAAATGGACGGGTGGGAGATGGGGAGCCCCTTTCGCCCCGAAGTCTCCTAAGGGAAGTTTGCAAGATCCCTTGGGCATCTTGGAATAACAAGAGGGATGGGGGTGGCAGTTATTTATACAGTCAAACCTCGGTTTTCACACGTCTCAGCTGCCGAACGTTTTGGAAGCTGAATGCTGAAAAACCGGAAGTGAATGCTTCTGTTTTCGAACGTGCCTCAGAAGTCGAACGGCTTCCTAGGCGTGTTTCTTATTTTTCCCCATTGAACTTGCTGACAGCCCTTTGAACCCTGGTTTTCGAACGTTTCGGAAGTCAAACAAACCTCCAGAACAGATTATCTTTGAAAACTGAGGTTCCACTGTATATTGCTTTCTGGACCCCCAAGAAACCGGCATATGAAAGCAACCCAATTTGCAACAGAGTACAGTACAGTGGTACCTCGGGTTAAGTACTTAATTCATTCTGGAGGTCCGTTCTTAACCTGAAACTGTTCTTAACCTGAAGCACCACTTTAGCTAATGGGGCCTCCTGCTGCTGCCGCTGCATGGTTTCTGTTCTCATCCTGAAGCAAGTTTCTTAATCTGAAGCACTATTTCTGGGTTAGTGGAGTCTGTAACCTGAAGCGTCTGTAACCTGAAGCGTCTGTAACCTGAAGTGTCTGTAACCCGAGGTACCACTGTATTAAGGAATCAGCGAACCAAAATTTCTAAGGCAGTGGAATCAAAGCCCATGTGTGGGTTTTTTTGCAGGGGAGGGGGGTCCAAAGGGGCATTTTGCCCCACAGGATCTGAATCCTGCATTCGGTCAGGCAGAGAGGTTGATGCAGATCGTCCCCCTTGTGTCTCTTCTCACTCACATAACTGTCGGGTTGGAAGGGGCCCCCAAAGGCCATCTATTCCAACCCCCTGCAACACAGGGATCACAGTGACATCGTTTGACAGTTCTGTGACACGTAACCCAATTTGGAGTGGCGGTGGGGGGTTGTTGTTGCTCCTGCCCTCACAGCCCCTCTCCTCCCCCCCCCCAGACCACCACCCTGATTGGGCTGCTGAAGACGGCGCGGCTGCTGCGCCTGGTGCGAGTGGCGCGCAAGCTGGACCGCTACTCGGAGTACGGGGCGGCCGTCCTCTTCCTGCTGATGTGCACCTTTGCCCTGATTGCGCACTGGCTGGCCTGCATCTGGTACGCCATTGGCAACATGGAGGACAAGACCATCGGCTGGCTCCACTCGCTGGGCAGCCAGATCGGCAAGCCCTACAACGAGAGCACCCCCCACAAGGGGCCCACCATCAAGGACAAGTACATCACCGCCCTCTACTTCACCTTCAGCAGCCTCACCAGCGTGGGCTTCGGGAACGTCTCCCCCAACACCAACCCCGAGAAGATCTTCTCCATCTGCGTCATGCTCATCGGATGTGAGTGTGGGGCGCCAGGGCCGTGGGGCAGGGCGGGGGCAGGCGATGGAGGCCAGGCGCAGTTTGGCTCGGCCATTCTCCACCCCCCAAACACACTCAGGGCGTCCCGTCCCCCCACTCTGCCGCTAGATGGGCTCCCCGGCAGAGGACGCCCAGTCATTGGGATTGTCAAGTGGCAGAGAGTTCCAGAGGTTCCCTGCCATTCTGGGCCAGAAAGCACCTCTGCAAGCAGCCTCTGCTCAGACACACAAGGCTGGTGGACTGAGAGAAGCTCTTTGAGGGAGGAGATTGAAATTATTATTATTATTAATTTGACTTCTACACCACCCTATACCTGGAGGTCTCAGGGCGGGTCACAACAAGACCACAACATATAAAATCAACTCAAGAGCAATAACCCAATAACACCCCCCCCCAAAAGCCACATTTTAAAAGGGTATGGGATGTCAATAAGATCAACCAAAGGCCGGGTTAAAAAGGACGGCTTTTGCCTGGCGCCTAAAGGTGTGTAATGAAGGCGCCAGGCGAACTTCCCTGGGGATAGCATTCCGCAGACAGGGAGCCACTGCAGAGAAGGCCCCGTTCTTGTGTTGCCACCCTCCGGACCTGGTCCTTGAGGTATTGAGGGAGGGGCAGATGATGTTTCAGGAGAGGCTGAAGGCCTTGCTGGGCAGATATTTCCACCTTGCATGTGGGAAGAGTTGGGGTGGAGACAGACCCTCACGCAGCGCCCCCTCTTCTCCGCAGCCCTGATGTACGCCAGCATCTTTGGGAACGTGTCGGCCATCATCCAGCGCCTCTACTCGGGAACGGCCCGCTACCACACCCAGATGCTCCGGGTGCGAGAGTTCATCCGCTTCCACCAGATCCCCAACCCGCTTCGCCAGCGCCTGGAGGAGTACTTCCAGCACGCCTGGTCCTACACCAACGGCATCGACATGAACGCGGTGAGTGGGCCGGGCCTCTCCATGCGCAACGCCAGCTGGGGGCGGGGAGAGCATTGGGATCATGAGAGCAGCCAAGTTTCCTTGCTCCCTACGACCTGCGAGATCACCTTGCCCCACATGCGCCCCCTTGACGCTTCGATCAGTGGAGTGGGCACGGCTGTGAGTGCCACAAAACACCCGTTTTCCGCATTTGTATGCTTTCAGTTGTTTAGTGTGGCAGCACCTGCCCTTGGGAACTCCCTGCCTCTTGACCCCAAGCAGGCGCCTTCCCTGTGTTCTTTTTGGCACTTGCTAAAAACATTCTTGCTTCAACAAACCTGTAGGGACGCTTAGAAAGGTGGTGAGAGTTTTAACCTGTCTTAGTATTTTAACTTTTTGTATGTTTTAAACTATGGTTGTCTGCTTTCTTGATTTTATTATCTTTTTTTGCAAACCACCTTGTGGGGTTTTTTATTTTATTTTTACAATCAAGAGGTATATCAATTTTACTAAATAAGTAAAACAGTAAATATTTGGGGCGAGCACTTATTTATTTCTAAAAATGTTTGTACACCTCTGTGTCACTGAAATTATATCAAAGTGGTTTGCAATGAATTTTTTTTTTTAAACTATATACAATAAAAAGTTATGAGCAGGCATTGGTCAGCTGCTGGGGAAGAATGCCTTCTTAACTGCCTGCATACGTCTGGCAGAATAGAAAAAGTTTCAGCAGGAGTTTATAAATTGGCACAGAAGGCGCCTGCTGGATCTCCAGTGGCAGGGAGTCCCACAGGACTGAAGGCTCCATTTCAAATGAGCCTCACCGACTTGGGGAATGCCCAGCAATGCTCCTGTGGATGATCTCAGTGATATTAGAAGGGTCCAGGCAGTTCTTGAGGTTCCCTGGACCCAAGTTGGAACAGAACAGCGGATGTTTGGCCTGGCTGGGCCGGGCCTGGACATATGCGTGTTTGTCTTTTGCCTGGTACAGAGGTCCAATAGGCCCCATTTTTTTTGCCTCTAGCCCCACCCACCACCGTCACACAGCTCCCAGAATGCTTCCCACGATCAAATGCGGACCTCAGCTGGCAAAGGTCCCTCCCTCTCCAACACCGTCCTGGAGCCCAGGGTTGTTTTTGCGGAGAGGCTCCTTCCTCTGCTGATTCGAACCCGCCTCTCTCTCCCCCTGCAGGTGCTGAAAGGATTCCCCGAGTGCCTGCAGGCGGACATCTGCCTGCACCTGAACCGCAGCCTCCTGCAGAACTGCCGCCCTTTCAAGGGAGCCACCAAGGGGTGCCTGCGGGCGCTGGCCATGAAGTTCAAGACCACCCACGCCCCCCCGGGAGACACGCTGGTCCACGCCGGAGACGTCCTCACCGCCCTCTACTTCATCTCCCGAGGCTCCATTGAGATCCTGCGGGGGGACGTGGTCGTGGCCATCCTAGGTGAGGGGGCGCGGAGGGGGTCCTATGGCAGATATTAATGTCACACAGCAATCGGATGAAGGAAAACCGACTCCGCTTAGGCGAAAATATGCTCCCAAAGCTTTGCTTATGGAACTTTCTTCAAACAGACACAGAAACAAAGGGTGCTACAAGCTACATGCTTCTCCAGGCATAGGCTCAACTTACAAATATAAAACTACTTCAAACACACCAGGAATTGCAGGTCTGTCTCACCCCTGGAGCTGCTTTCTCTTCAGGCGGGGGTGGGGGTTGGACTAGATGACCCTTGGGGTCCCTTCCAACTCTACAATTCTATTCAAGACTCATTTGCTTGCCTTTCTTCTATGGTGGCTTGAGAACAAAGACAACTCCCTCAAAATGGAGATTTGTAACTGAATAACCCTCCCAGGTGATCTGAGGTTAAACACCTCCTGCAAGAGCTAGCAGAGGTACATCAGCAATTGATTATCAACTTGTTAGGCACCATGCAAGCTCCAATGGAAATTTCCATGTTCCCTTCAGCAATACACATACAGAGCTATTTTCCATTTCAATGTTCAATTAAACAGTTATACTTAACATGACAGGAGAGATTGGAAGGCTCAAGGAGCAGAAGACCCACTGAATTTTGCTGCGTTTTATCTGGCTTATCTTGAGTCAGAATGCCCCCACCTCATGTTTCCAGCAGGATTTTTCAGGCCCTCATTAAGTCAGAACGTGAGGGGCTCATAGAATCAGAGGGGAGGAAGGGACCCCCAAGGATCATCTGGTCCAGCCCCTGCAATGCAGGAATGAGAGCCAAGGAACCCCTGGCCTCCAGCTTGAAACCTCCAAGGAAGAAGAGTGAAGCATCTTCTGAGGTCGCCTGTTCCACGGTCAAACGACTCTCCCCATCTGAAAGATCTTTCCCATGAAGAATTCTTTACAATTTTGTGATTTGGCAATTCTTTGGATCTCCAGGCAGGGCTCAAAGAAAAGGCAGTCTCTGAATCCCTGGAGAGCCATGGCTGCCGGTCAGTGAAGACCACACTGAGCGAAACAGACCAGCAGCTTCTGACTCCCCGGTGATGATGATGATGGTGGTGATGAGGATGATTTTATTATTTTATTTTTATTATTTATACCTCTCCCATCTGGCTGGGTTTCCCCAGCCACTCTGGGCAGCTCCCAACAGAATTAATGATGATGATGATAATAATAATAATAATAATAATAATAATAATAATAAGCGAGAAAACATTGGACATTAAAAACGTCCCTAAACAGGGTTGCCTTCAGATGTCTTCTAAAAGTCAGATACAGTGGACGCTCGGGTCGCGATTCAGCGCTTCTGCACACGCGCAACCACCAAAACCCGGAAGTAACCTGTTCTGGTACTTCCGGGTTCAGTGCGGTGTGCAACCTGAAATCATGCAACCCAAAGCGTCTTTACCCTGAGGTATGACTGTAGTTGTTTATTTCCTTGGCATCTGATGAGAGGGCGTTGCACAGGGCGGGCGCCACCACTGAGAAGGCCCTCTGCCTGAAGAAAGGTTGCAATGATAGAAGTTTAAGGAAGGATGCCTGGCGTGGGGAAGGCGGACAGAGAGACTGTTTTCTCCCCCTCTTGTAACACTCAAACTCCTGGGCATCCAAGGAAGATGAAAGCTGGAATATTCAGGACAGATCCTGCAGCCTCTTCTGATGCTCTTCTGCAAGGGGACGGGCACCTGAGCAGAGCTTGCTTCCGTGAGAAGCCTTGGCAGAAGACTCTCCTGGCGGGTCTCTCTGCCCGGTTTCCTCCAGAGGAAACCAGGCCTCCCGGTGACCTCTCCTTCCTCTGGCTCCTGCTTCCAAGGTGGCCAGAGCCCAGGAGGAAGAAGCCGCCCTCAAATAAATCGGGCCTCCTGTTCGCCCTGCAGAGACGAAATCCGGCTTAATGAGTCTCTGCTGTTCCTTCTGAGACGCAGCTGCCTCACCTGGGACCGAAGCAGAGCATCCCAGGATATTTATAGGCAGCTCTTCTCAGCTCCCTGAACCCGCCTTGCTCAAAGCTGCCCATTTCTCCCCACCTCGTTCCTGCCCCCCTGCGACCTTCCTGAGACTCAGCAGCACCCAGAACTGCCTGCCGCCCTCAGCATCTAGGCTGCTACGAATAGGTTTGCTGGCAAGGAGGGAGGTCCCTGCTGCCTGGTGGAGATCGCCAGACACACGCCCCACTCCTCAGTCTGCTGTCACTTTGCAGAGGGTTGGACTGGATGACCCCTGGGGTCCCTTCCAACTGTACAATCCTAGGATTTCGTGACTTGCTGGGCCAACTCCCCGACCCCAAACAGCTCCTTTCCTGCACGAGCCGTGTGGTCGCCAGGGCACAGGAAGGTTGGGACTGTGGCCCCAGCCAGTAACAGCAGCAAGAAAGCTTGCCAGGAGCAGTGACGGGCAGAGAAGGAGCCCAAACACAGCTGCCCCAGAACTGTAGAATTGGAAGGGACCCCCAGGGGGTTCTCCAGACCAACTCCCTCCAATGCTCAGTGACCCTCAGGGTCCCTTCCAGCCCCACAAGAAGCCTCTGCAATGCTGGAATCCCAAGCAAAGCTACCACAACTAATGACCATCCGATCATAATGACCTCCAACGGATCATAAAATTATAGGAGGGGACCCTCAGGGGTCATCTATCCCAACCCCCTGCAATGCAGGAATCTCAGCTCAAGCACCTCTGGGAGAGGGACATCCAACCTCTGCTCCAAAGCCTCCAACTAAGGAGAGGAACGTTTTCGCCTGGAGCCTGAAGATTTATAATGAAGGCACCAGGCAAGCCTCCCTGGGGAGAGCATTCCACAAAGAGGGAGCCACTGCAGAGAAGGCCCTGTTCTTGTGTTGCCACCCTGCGGACTTCACAAGGAGGAGACACATGAAGAAGGGCCACAGAATGTGATCTCAGGGTCTGGGTAGGTTAATATGGGAAGAGGCGGTCCTTGAGGTATTGCGGTCCTGAGCCATTTAAGGCTTTATACGGAGGGTCAGCAAGGTATATCTTGCCTGGGCCGGATCATTCCCACAGAGATCCCGAGGCACAATTTTTGGCGTCTGCGCAGACACAATTGTCAGCGCCGCGGAAGCGAGTCGCCGCGCTGTGCTGGTTTAGCACAGCACGCAAGTGGGCAGCTCAGTTTGGGGACAGCTTGTGGGCCGGTCAAACGACCTCCGTGGGCCGCTTCTGGCCCATAGGCCTTAGGTTGCTGACCCCTGGCTTTATTTTTATTTTTTCTGACCCCTGGCTTTATAGGTCAAAACCAGCACTTTGAATTGGGCCCAAAAACTAATCGGTAGCCAGTGCAGTTGGACCAGGATCGGTGTAAGATGCTCAGACCGTCTTGCTCCGGTGAGCAACCTGGCCGCTGAATTCTGCACCAGCTGAAGTTTCCGAACCGTCTTCAGAGGCAGCCCTACGTAGAACACAATCTAACCTTGAGGATACCAGAGCATAGACAACAGTGGTTAGGCTCTCCCTGTCCATATAGGGGCCTAGCTGGGCCACCAGCTGAAGATGATGGAAGGCACTCTGGGCCACTGAGGAGCCACTGAAGCTGAGCCTGGGATCGTGGCCACAGAGGGAGAAGTGGGTGGAGGAGGGGCAGAGGGGGTTTTCTGGAGGAACAGCAGAGCCAGCTCTGGGTGTGAGAGGATGACGAGGAGGGCAGTCTCCTGTGTGGCCTTCTATGCGCCTCTCCCGGCTGCGCAAGGGCTCAGTCCCCCCCCCCTTCTCTTCCTCCCTCCCAGGGAAGAACGACATCTTTGGGGAGCCCCTCAACCTGTACGCCCGGCCCGGCAAGTCCAACGCAGACGTGCGCGCCCTGACCTACTGCGACCTGCACAAGATTCACCGCGAGGACCTCCTGGAGGTGCTGGACATGTACCCCGAGTTCTCTGACCACTTCTGGTCCAACCTAGAGATCACCTTCAACCTGCGCGATGTGAGTTGTCGTCTCTGGGAGACCCGAGGGGGGTGGGCTTCTGTGGCCGGCCAGCTCAGGGCCAGAAAGGTGGGGGTCCTGGGAGACACACACCCCCCCCGGTACGCTTCTCACGGCCACCCCTTCTCTTCCAGACCAACATGATTCCGGGGTCGCCCAGCAGCGACGAGATGAACGGCGGCTTCAACCGCCTGCGGCGCCGCAAGCTCTCCTTCCGCCGCCGCACCGAGAAAGGTAAGTAGGTGGGGGTTGGATTGGATGACCTCAAGGGGTCTCCCAACACCCGCTGTGCTCCCTTTCCCATGGGTGCTCCTGTAACGGCTACTTCTGGGTCTCTCAGCTGGGAGGAGCTTTCTCCCCCTCCTCATTTAAACCCCACAACGACCCTGCGAGGCTGAGAGGAGGCTGTGACTGGCCCCCAGGTAGGTGGATCTGAACCCTGGCCTTCCCCAGGTCCTGGTGCCTAACGCTCTAACCACTGCACTGCACTGCCACTCACTGGATCTGGCCGGCCAATATCCTTTTCTCCTTCTCCGCACAGATGAGGAGATTCCGGGGGAAGGCAAAGGCCAGCCCAAAGTGCTGGACGTCGGCCAGAACTGCCAAGCTCCGGGGGCTCCCCGCGGACCCCCCAAATGGGACCCCTGCCTCAGCAGCTCCGTGGCGTCCAGCCCGCCCTCCAGTGACGAGGAGGAGACCCCCGTCCCCGTCTCCAGCGCCCCAGAGCTGTCGCCTTTCCACCCCACGGACCTTGCCGGCCAGCCCCCCTCCCCTGCAGCCGCGGACCCCAAACGCAGCGACGTCTGCAACCCACTCTCAGGTAGGACAGGATCAGAGCCGGAGCCGCGTGATCTTGCGCCCCTGGCAGAACGGTCCAGATTGCGCCCCCTCCTCCAACCCCCCCATTCAATTCACCCTCTTTTAAAAACCTTTTCTTATGAGGCAATAATCAATATTTATATTTATGGACATATTTTTAGCTGATTTTGCACACACACACACCCCATCGCCTGCAACCCTGGCGGGGGCCCACCTCACCACCCCCATCTACAGCCCTGGACAGGATGAAGCCAGGGGGGCAGGGGAAGTCCTGTTGCCACAACCCCCAAATTAGCAGCCTAGAGGTTGTGATTCCCACCTGCCTTCTCCTGGTCTGAGATGATCAAAGCAGCTGGCTTGTTTCCCTGGCAGAGCCCCTCCCCCCCCAACTTCCTAATCCCAGGAACTCGTGAGACCAATGCAGCCCACATTTCCCAGGCAGTTTCCGTATGAGTTACTCTGAGTGTAAAGAGATGCTCCCTGAATCTCTCCCAGATCCCTGAGGAGGGTGCTGGTCTCTCACAGCTCTGGTCCTAAATTCCCAGTAGCATTGATACAGGTATCCTAAAACCCTGAGGCTGGCAATCCCACACACCTCATGGATTTTATTCAGTAGGAGAGGAGATTCAAAGTACCGTATTTTTCGCTCCATAAGACGCACCTAGTTTTTAGAGGAGGAAAAGAAGGAAAAAAATATTCTGAAAGAAACAATGGATGTATGATTTTTGTGGTTCATGCTGTGGCCACAGACCTGTGATCTGATGGTGAATTTGGGGTGACCCAATGCAAAAATCCTGAGGGTCCATGTGGATCCATGCTTTGTAACCACATTTTTGCGCCATTGCGGCCCCACGCAACAGTGGGTGTGTGATTTTCTTGGTGCAGGCTTTAGCCATGGACATGTTATGTGATCTGATGGTGAATTTGGGGTGAAATTGGGGTGACCCAATGTAAAAATCCTTAGGATCCATGGGCTTTTACCTCCCCACTCCTAGGGTCCCTTATCTCTCTTCTGATCCCACCAATCAGCTGTTTCCTTTCAACACTCCCTTCCCTCTTGTTTGCCTTAGTGTCTTTTCCTTAGCTGGAGAAGTTTTTTGCTCCTCCTTTTCTTCTAATTTCTCTCCTTATTGCTTTAGTCTTCCTGTCTCCTCTCTTTGCAAGTTTGCTGTCCTTACCTCCCCCCTCCCAGGCAGCCTCCTTTATCTCTAGCATCCCTTATCTCTCTCCTGATCAGCGGCTTTGTTTCAACACCCCCTTCCCTCTTTCAAAAAAAAAAAAAAAAGCATGATCTGCTTTTTGCCCCTGGGCAATTCGGCTCCAGGGACCACACATTCACTCCATAAGATGCACAGACATTTCCCCTTACTTTTTAGGGGAAAAAAGTGCATCTTATGGAGTGAAAAATACGGTATTGGTTTTGCAGAGCTAAAAATATACCACCCTTCACAGCATTTAAACTAGAAGTAAGGAACTAAGGCTGTGTAATCTTAGCCAGAGCTAGACATAGACATAAATAAGGCATGAAAAATATAATGTTTACTTACCTGAAAGTCTTGCACAGGATTCAGCAGAGAGCAATAAGTTATTAAAAATACATGGTTGAGATAAAAGATGGTGCCTGTGCTTGGGAGATCAGACTTTGCATCTGATCCCAGGCTACATGACGACAAATAGAGTGTTCTTCAGGCGGAAGTACAAAAGGTTAAGAGCCCTTGTCTTTTCCCTGCCTGTGCAAACAAAGGATGTCACTTCACAGAACGCCCTCTAGGAATTAAAGGACTCTCATGTGCCTGTTTAGCAAACATAATTGTCAATTATTTTTCCAGTATAAACCCAATTACACAAATTAGTTCCAAATTAATACACAATTAATGCACAAGCGCCGAAAACCGGAAGTAACCAGTTCCGGTACTTCCGGGTTCCGTGCGGTGTGCAACCTGAAATCACACAACCCGAAGCGTCTGTAACCTGAGGTATGACTGTACAGAGGAAAAGCCGGAAGAAGGTTAAAGCAGAACACAAAATAATACCAGAGCACCGCAACTCTCAAACCAAACTGTAAAATTTCTGGCTGGAGATGTTAGTTGCCAAACCTGACGACTAGACATCTCCACTTCCTTGCAAACAGCCGGTTGCCTGGCGCCAAATGCGCCCGGCGCCCGGCTAGTTTTGAATGCTGTTGGTGGCCCCCTGCCAGGGATTCTTCCGATGACTCTTTGGGATCCTTCCAGCCCCCCCACTCTCTGGCTTCTCTCCCTCCTCCTCTCCGCAGGGGCCTTTTCAGGCGTGTCCAATATCTTCAGCTTCTGGGGAGAGAGCCGTGGGCACCAGTACCAAGAGCTGCCCCGCTGCCCCGCCCCTGCCCACACCGCCCTCAACATCCCGCTGGGCAGCAGCGTCCCCCTCGGCCGGAGGCAGCGCTGCGAGCTGGAGGCTCGCCTGGACCTGCTCCAGAAGCAGCTCAACAGGTATTGGAGGGGGGGCAGGGGGAGCACCCATCAGGGCTCCCTCGGGGGAGGGGCAGAGGTTTTCCCCTGCCACTCTGGGCAGCTCCCAACAGATTAAAAACAGAAGAAAACATCAAACATTAAAAGCTTCCCTAACAAGGCTGCCTTCAGATGTCTTCTAAAAGTCATATAGTCGTTAATCTCCTTGACATCTGGTGGGAGGGAGTTCCACAGGGAGGGCGCCACCACCAAGAAGGCCCTCTGCCTGGTTCCCTGTAACCTCACATCTCGCAGGGAGGAAACCGCCAGGAGGCCTTCAGAGCTGGACCTCAGTGTCCGGGCTGAACAATGGGAATGGAGACGCTCCTTCAGGTCTACTGGGCTGAGGCCATTTAGGGCTTTCAAGTTCAGCACCAACACTTTGAATTGTGCTCAGAAACTTCTTGGGAGCCAATGTAGGTCTTTCAGGACCGGTGTTATGTGGCGTCCGCAACCGCTTCCAGTCACCAGAACCTGGTGTGCCTTAAAAATAGAAGAGCAAAGAGCTTGAAGACGGGGGGCACGTAGCAGCACCCATAAAGGAGGTGATGATGATGATGAATGAGGAAGTGGGAGAGATTGGGGAGATGGAGATCCAAGAGGCTGGGTTCTATAGCCTCTCTCTGTAAAGTTTGAAATAAAAAAGGACAGTAAGAAACTTTTCCTTGTCTTTATACTTTCCTGGGCAACCAGCTGGGAGCCGCTGACAGCTGTGGTTCCAGCCCTGCAAAGGGGTTAGACTAGATGTCCCTTGGGGGTCCCTTCCAACTCTACAGTTCTGTGTTTCTCTTCTCCCTCCAGGCTGGAGAGCCGCCTCACCGCGGACGTGTCGGCCATCCTGCAGCTTCTCCAGCGCCAGGCTCTGCTGGTGCCTCCTGCCTACAGCGCTGTCTCCTCTCCGCTGCCTCCAGTGGCCCCGGGCCCTGGGCCGGCCCCAGGGGAGCCCCCCCTGCCCATCAGCCCCACCCGGCCTCAGGCGCTCCACACCCCAGCTCAGGTGAGGGGAGGGAGGCAGCCAGGCAGGCAAAAGACTGGTATTTGCAGCCTGACCAGCTCCAGGGATTTGGGCAAGGCTGGAGCAAGCAGAGACATGTCTGCCTCCAACGCTGGTCAGAGAGGAGGGGAAATGATGTCACGCAAAGCCCTCTCTACCAGTTGCCTTTCTATGGTCTCAGGCTCTGCCTAAGCCATACAGCTCAAATGACTTAGGACTCAGCTAGTCAAAAAACAGTGTTTTTAATGCGTTATACATGCAACACCAGATGGCGCTGTAGAGCACAAAACCTTTCTATGCAATTTCACATAGCGTTTTTTTTTCCTTTTGTTATAACTGTAGCCTTATTAGACTTTACCGATTGGTGGGCTCTGCATTGCTCCTGGACGGGAGGAAGGAAGTCAAATGACACCGAGGGTTGCTTCAGAGAAAGAGTTCTTTATTCCTGCTCTCCGGAGCAGCAGAAAGGCACTTGCGTGGTCAGTCCACAGCAAGTCCAAAGAAATGAGAGATTTCATGCAGTATATATATCCTCCAGGCACCCTCTCCCCCTTCCCCAGGAATCCAGCCACATCAGCTTATACACGCAGGTTGACATCACAGATGTTCCTGCTCCGGTACTTTTAACCATAAAAGGGTGTTCCTTCCTGTACTCTTGACCATATAAGGGTATTTCTGTTCCTATGCTCTTATCTTGGAGCAAGAGGTCACCAACTCCAAGAACACACTCTGGCGCTGTTCCTGGACTAGGTCTGTGCGTCAGAGTGTGGTAAGGTAAGACTCAGACATGTCATCCCTATTCCAGTGGAACAGCCAAGGTCACCCTTTGCCGTGACTGATAAAGGAGAGAGCTTTGTTTATACAGCTGTCTTCTTGTTATGCATTTGCTCAACAGCTCGAGTTAATGCATTTTATAAATGTTCTTTTGAGAAAGAAGAAAAAGGGGGGTTTTGAGTCAGTTTCAAACTAACTGCGCTGCAACCCATTCCTTCATAACAATTAGTTATTTATAGCGGGGTTTTCCTGTGTGTAGATCCAGCCGTAGCCGCTTCTCGTGGGAACTAGCAAGAAGATGCATTACTTAGGTTAGGCTTCTAATCTCCCACAGGGGAACAAGATGCTGGACTAGGCGGGATCCTGGTCGGATCCAGCAGGCTCTCCTGACGTTCTGAAGTGGATTCCCCAGGAATTTGCAGTGCAGCTGTTGGCTCCAAAAAGACACCAAAATATGTTGGGGGGGGATTTTAGGATAAACTATGGTTAGAAAAAAGTGAATGGAGATAAAAATTGAATTAAGTGCAGGATGATCACATCTTACGTGGGACTTTGGTTCCAGGGGTCTTGTGTATGTGCCCCCAACCCCTTGGAGCCCCCCTGACAGCTATTGGGGGAGGGGGAGATAGGATCCTACCCCCAGGGGTCCCTCCTCCTCCTCCTCTTCCTCCTGGACTGACTCTGTCTCCTCTTTTTCTCTCCCCCCCCCCTTCAGGTTTCCCATTTCCCGGGACCCTGCGTGGACTCAGCCCAGCCCCGGGACGTGGTGCTGCTGGTGGACCCGCTGCCCCCCGCCCCCCCTCGGCGCCTTTCGCTCCCAGGGCAGCTGCCCGCCCCCCCTCGGCCACCGGCCCCTCCGGACCTCTCCGCGGACTTGCACAGACACTGCTCGGACCCCGGCAGTTAATGGACTTTGCAGAGGCGGCCCCGGCGGAGGGCCTTTTTGGGAGTTGGAAGCGGCCCCCCACCCGTCACGGTCGGAGAGGGGGGCGCACCATGAGCCTCAAGGATGGTGGTGATTGGCTGCCCAGGGGGCGTGGCCAGAGGAGGGGCAACCCCCCCACCCACTGTGATGTTAGCTGGCCTAACAGGGGTGGGCCAGTCGCCGTGGTGACCGCCAGGCGATTGGCTGGTGCGGATGGCGGCGAGCGGACTGGTTGCTTGCAGGAGTAGCGGTTGTAATAATGACTCATAACAACTATTATTAATAATACTGATAAGGGTTAGAATCCCCTCCCTTGTGATCCCCAAACATATCAGTCCAGCAGGACAAGCAGAGCCACCCGTGGGTCCAAGGAGGGGTTGGGGGGGAAGCGGGGGGTCACCCAAGGGGTCCAGGGAGAAGGTGGGGCTGCAGTGGGGGGCCAGGAGAGGGAGGCTCCCCCTGTTTGGCCCAGGTGGGTCCTTCTGGGGTCTCTCTTAGCTTAGAAGCACAGAACAGGAGGGTCAGGAAGGATCCCCCAGGGTCATCTAATAAAAAAATAAAAAAAAAGTATTTATATCCCGCCCTCCCCAGCCAAAGCCAGGCTCAGAGCGGCTAACAACAATAAAAGTAACACAGCATTCTAAAATCAATTCATTTTAAAATCAATTCAAAATCAAATTAATGGCAACCATTGGGCTAGAGTTCTGTGAGGATTACAGGAGAGAGAGGGTCAGGCTGTGCCTGGTGGAACAGCTCTGTCTTGCAGGCCCTGTAGAAAGATGTCAAGTCCCGCAGGACCCTAGTCTCTTCTGACAGAGCGTTCCACCAGATCGGAGCCACAGCCGAAAAGGCCCTGGCTCTGGTTGAGGCCAGCCTAACCTCCCTGTGGCCCGGGACCTCCAAGATGCTTTTGTTTGAAGACCGTAAGGTCCTCTGTGGGGCATACCAGGAGAGGCGGTCCCCTAGGTACGAGGGTCCTAGGCCATATAGGGCTTTAAAGGTTAAAACCAGCACCTTAAACCTGATCCTGTACTCCACCGGGAGCCAGTGCAGCTGGTATAGCACCGGGTGAATGTGATCTCGCAGCGAGGACCCCGTAAGGAGTCTCGCTGCGGCATTCTGCACCCGCTGGAGTTTCTAGGTCAGTCTCAAGGGCAGCCCCACGTAGAGCGAGTTACAATAATCCAGTCTGGAGGTGACCGTCGCGTGGATCACAGTGGCCAGATCAGGGCGAGAGAGATAAGGGGCCAACTGCTAGTCCAACCCCTTGCAATAATGGGGAGGGGGGTCTGCCCCACTCCCAGCCCCCATCTGCCTCTGTGGGTGCCCACTCATAGCCATTGACCCTTGGTGTGGGGGAACGACACCTAGAGCCAGCCCTCTGGAGGCGGGGGTGGTGGTGGTCATGAAGCCCCACTTCAGATGCCAGCCCTTCCCATTGACCCCAGTCTCTCCAGTCATCCCGGTGGGTCCATCTTCTGTGGGGGGCGATGGGGAGGAGGCAGGTTTTGGGCTGTGGGCTCTCACCAGCCTCTCTCCCAGTGCAGTGTGGGGCTGCAGGGGGGCCCACAGAGCTAGGAAGGAGATGAGGTGGGGGGGCAGGAGAGAGGGAGAGGCTGGGGGAGGACCTGGAAGAGAAAGTGACCCCCCCTACCTGACAGGAGTCAAAGGAAAGTGAGTAGTCCTCCCCCCATAGGCTCCCCACCAGAGGTGAGATCCCCACAGGAGAAGCTTAAGCTGTGGGGCAGCCCCTCTCTAAAGGCAAGTGGGGGCTTGTGCACAGTTCCCAGGTTTGGTTGTCTGAAAGGGCTTCTCCCCGCCCCCGCCCCCCCCCCCCGGCTGAATTCCTCTCCCTCCCCCCTGATCTTCCTGTCCTTTCATTTCACTGCATATAGGGAGCAGGGCTGCATCTCATCTGAGTGACCCCTACTTTTCTCTCTGCCCCCCCATAAGATCCACAGCCCCCAGAGATAGGAGTTGGGGCAAGGAGGTTGTGCTGGCTGCATCTCCCGCTTGACTCCGACGAGAGGGGGAAGCATTGGTTAAACTCTTCCCCCACAAACAAGACACTTTCTTCCAAAGTGGGGCAAAGGCGTTTCTTTTTCCATCAGTGGGGGGCCCATTTCCTTGAACACCACGGGTGCTCCCAAGGGCCTTGCGCCCTCCTGCCCTCCTGGACCCTCCTGTCTACATGCACGTGACACCCCCATCTCCCCCCCCCCGCATGCTGTACTCAGCATTAGGAAACGATGCCCAATAAACTTTGAGTTGGATGCCTGCCCTGCCACGCTTTCTGTGTGTTTGATCCACCTGCATAGGGAGGGGGCAGGGGGGGCTTGGGATTTGGCAGCCTCAAAGAGGAGGGGGGTTGGGGGGGTAGGACCAGCCATGAAATGCAAACTCCAAGTGCTTCCTTTGAGACCAGATTTGTTTCATGCTAAGCAGGAACGCAAGGGACGCAGGTGGCGCTGGGGGTTAAACCACAGAGCCTAGGGCTTGCTGATCAGAAGGTCGGTGGTAAGCTGTATGCCGGCTCCCCAGGAACGCTAGGAAAGGGTTAAAAGAGAATTTGTGGAGGGAGGGGCTAGGGAGGGCTAACAGCCCAATGCTCTGCCCTCCATCCTGGAAAAAGTGACAAATTGGGGGGGGGTGAAAGTTCTGTCCTGGGTCCATTGTTGTTCAACGTCTTTATAAATGATTTGGATGAAGGAATTGAGGAGATGCTCATCAAATTTGCCAAAAAAAGGTGAATGCTTTTCTCTGCTGCATCAACAGAGGTCTTGTGTCCAGGTCAAGCGAGGTCATAGTCCGTCCTCCCTCTTCTGCCCTGGTCAGAACACGCCTGGAATCCTGTGTCCAGTTCTGGGCACCACAATTTAAGAAGGAAGTTGACAAGCTGGAAGGTGGGTGAGGGAGGACAACCAAGATGATGAAGGGTCTGGAAACTAAGCCTGATGAGGAACGGTTGAAGGAGCTGAGGATGTTTAGCCTGGAAAAGAGGAGACTGAGAGGAGACATGAGAGCCACCTTCCCATATCTCAAGGGCTGCCACATGGCAGATGGAGCAAGCTTGTTTTCTGCTCCAGAGGGTAGGACTCGAACCCATGGCTTCAAGTTACAAGAAAGGAGATTCCGACTCAACACCAGTAAGAACGGTCTCCCTTGGCAGGGGGTGGACCCTCCTCCCTCGAGGGTTTTTAAGCAGAGGTTGGATTCCTTTCACGCAGATTCCTGCTTTCCAGGGAGTTGGGATAGCAATAAGTAACCAAACAAACCCCTGTGTTGCAAAGAGAATGCCAGCAACGTCTATGCAACACAATGACCATGTACATACGCAATAGAGAATCTTTATAGAATTCCTTCAAACCATAAATTCCTTCAAACCAGTAAATTCCTTCAAACGGGGGGTTGGGCTAGATGATCCTTGGAGTCCCTTCCAGCTCTACAATTCCACTCCCACAAAAGGTGTGACAGACGCCCCCTCAGAAGGCTTTGCCTGAAGGGGCCAAGGGCTTTGCGCTAAAGTGTGTCACTTGTCACGTATTTGATTGATGGGTTGCATTTATATCTCGCTTTTCCTCCAAGGAGCATACCTAGTTTTCCTCCTCCCCATCTTATCCCACAACAACTCCATGAAAGAGGCAAGGCTGAGGCCTTACTGGCCCCCAAGGCCACCCACTGATCTTCATGGCTGAGCGGGAGGATTTGAACCTTGCCCTCCCAGGTCCTGGCCTGACTCTCCAACCACTACACCCCATAAAATTGCATTTGCCCTTTGGGTGACCATTCGCTCGGTTTGGAGAGGTCTCTTGGGAGCTCCCCACAGACCCTCTTAGTTTTGCACCCCACCCCAAATAGTTTGGCATTGTCAGGAAACCCCCGCCTTAAAAGGGGGTCCCCATATCAGGGGTGAATCTACTCTGAAATAAATGGAGCTTCAGCTTCAGGGCTCCAGAAGCAACTTGAGTCCATGTTTCTCAACAATTTGGGATCAGGAAGACCCAGTTGGAGTCACACAACTCAAAGTTTGAGAGTCAGTTCAAGCTTCAGGGGCCCCCTACCTACAGCACAGCCTCTCCTGTGCTCCTTAAGGTCCACAAATAACAACAGTTTGGAGGTCCCAAGTCACAAGGTGATTAGGTTGGTCTCAACCAGAGCCAGGGCCTTTTCAGTACTGGCCCCGACTTGGTGGAACGCTCTGTCCCAAGAGACTAGGGCCCTGCGAGACAGAGCTGTTCTGCCTGGCCTTTGGTTTGGACTCAGTCTGACCCTTATGTTTCCCTCCCCTTATGGTTTTGATATATGGGCCACTTTTAAAATGAGGCTGCATATAAAATTGCATTTTAACTTGTATTTTAAATTGGTCCCCCCCCCTTATGTTTTTACTGTAATTTTATTGGTGTTAGCCGCCCTGAGCCCAGCTCTGGCCGGGGAGGGTGGGGTATAAATAAAATTTATTATTATTATTATTATTATTATTAAAATGTAGATCAGCCACTGCCCCATAGGGATTCTTCTGGGAGATTATTGAGCGCCCCCTGGAGTCTGATGTAGGGGCTGCCCAGATGGATTGCAAGACTCTCTTCTGAGAGTTAAAATCCATCGTCTGCTTGGGAAAGACTCTGAGGTGGACTCTTCTGCGAACTTGGCAAACAGGAGGAGGAGGAGACAGGAAAGGGATTTCGCTCCCCCCTTCCAGATGTGTGAAGCTGGTGAAGAAAACCACTGGAGTCACCGTGAGACTTTTAATTAAATAGTTATCAGGATGGATCCAAGAAGTTAAACCGTGGGACTCCCTGCGGCAGGAGACTGTGGGGGCTGGATGGCTTTAAAAGGGGGTCAGACCAATTCATGGAGGGCTCTGCTCTGCCCTGCACACTCAGAGGCAGCAACGCTTCTGAACAGCAGTCACCGGAAGCCACAAGAGGGGAGAGGGTCTTGAGTTCGAAACCTGCTAGTGGGCTTCCTATTGACCTGGTTGGCCACTGGGAGAACAAGATGCAGGACCAGATGGGCCACGGGCCTCATCCAGCAGATGCTCTTCTCATGCTCTTAGTCAACTAGTTATTTTATGACCTTTACATATAACTAAGTGGACATTTGGAGCAGGAAAACTCACTTGAGTCCAGCGCCCAGTGCTCTGGGGAGCCCCACAAGCTGGGCCTGTGGGCATCAGGCCCTCCTCCCTGCTGTGTCCCCAGAGGACAGTGCTCAGTGGTAGACCCTCTTGGCACATGGAGGTTCTACTTAGCTCCTGTGAGTAACAGCTGCTGGCACACCTGCCCCCCTCCTCCTCTCTAGCAGTTTGCTCAAGCCACTGACACACACGGTATTGCCAACTGTTAATGGAAAATCCGAGGGCTCCCTTGGACAAAAACAAAGACACCAACCAGGATTACTTGGAGCAAAACAGCAGCCTGTAGGCTTGGCCTTTATTGAACTCTTGCAACAGGGTGCTCACTCACTTGCAGGAGAGAGGAAAGACACAGAAAAATGGTGTGCAAGACCTTATAAAGACACTTGAAATTCCCATCCTGTAGATCAAACCCACCCCCAGAAACATCATGCATACATCACAGAAAGGAGGGGTTGAGGGAGGAGTTGTGGTGGTAACCTGAGTGTCCTGTCACCTGGCTGGTTCCCCCTTTCCCTCTCCCCATGAATACTTTCCAGGTGACAGAGGGGAGTTTGCAGTTTCCTGCCCCCAGAGGGAAGATCTGATTATTGTCCTTTGTTCCAGTCCGTGCTGAATCCACTCCCATATGCAAGTTCTTTGTGATCTTGATGGTCTTCTGTCTAGGACCATCAGGTTTGGCATAGCAACTGGGCAGGGCTCCTGTGTATGTGCTGGTATGCTCAAGGGATTATGGCTGCCCTGTATCAAACCTTCCCGATTTTGTAGTCCTTCCTTCACGGAGTAAATAAAAGTGGAACTGTGCAAATCCGATGTATGGTTGATTTTCTATGAATTTATAGCAGAAGGGTAGCGCGTGTAGTGTGTGAGTGTGAGTGTGTGTGAAGTTTGTACAAACTGAATTATTGGGGGGGAGGTTCCTGCTACACCACGTCCCGTGGCAGCAAAATCCATGGCATGGGTGCATCTGGTCAGGGCCTGTGAGGACAAGGTGCCTGGCTAGATGAGCCTGATCCAGCACATGCCCTTCCTGCATCCTTCTCATCTGGAGAAGTCCCTCCTGCTGGCTGTCTTTACTCTCAAACAGGTGTGTGGTGGGGGAGGATGACACACACCCCCCAGAAAATCTGCTAATATGAAACTGATTTTGTGCCCCAGGAAATCAGTTGCCTCATGTTGGAGGGGCAGCCCCCCTCCTTCACCCAGGTGCCCCCTGCCTGGGTCTGAGGTGCACAGGAAGCCTGAAGTTGGGGGGGGGTGGATCTGGGAGGTGGGCTTTGGTGCAAGCCAGGAGTGCCAAGGAGGAGAGGTCAACGTCTGGGGTTGGGGTTTGAGGGGTGGAGAGGAAGAAGATGGGGCCAATCCTGCCTGGGGCTGGGCTACACCTGCCAGTAGGTGCCATTGTAGCTGAAGGGCTCCTGGGAGACGCAGGGCATGGGGTCGGCCGGGGTCCAGCGCTGGACATGCACCCCAGACCTGCCCCCAGGCTCAGAGGGGCGCACGATGACGGTGCGAAGCGAGGCCACAGAGGGGTCTTCGTCAAAGAAGTTGAAGGGTCGCAGGTAGAAGCCCACCACGTTGCCTGGTGTGGACGTGTTGGGGATGTCCTCCGAGTGGGGGATGTGGAGGAAGCCCACCGTCACCCAGGCCACCAGGTCCTGCCGGAGGGAGAATCATAATCGTAATAATTTATTATTTATACCCTGCCCATCTGGCTGGGCTTCCCCAGACACTCTGGGTGGCTTCCAACAAAATATTAGAATACAGTAATGCATCAAACATTAAAAGCTTCCCTAAACAGGGCTGCCTTCAGATGTCTTCTAAAAGATAGTTGTTTTTCTTGAGATCTGGTGGGAGGGTGTTCCACAGGGCGGGTGCCACCACCGAGAAGGCCCTCTGCCTGGTTCCCTGTAACTTGGCTTCTCGCAGTGAGGGAACCGTCAGAAGACCCTCAGAGCTGGACGGGGGTGGTGGAGACGCTTGTTCAAGTATACTGGACCGAGGCCGTTTAGGACCATTTAGAGCATGAATCTGCCTGCCCTGGCCTGGATCTCCATGTGTGCTACCCCCAAAACCCCAAGTGAGCCGCCCTGCTGCTCCTCTTCCTGCCCCCCACGCCCAGGCCGCCCTCACCTGGTTCTCCAGGCTCTCGTCGTTCTTGAGGAAGTTCTCAAAGCTGACCGTGGGGCTCCAGGGGTCGTTCTGGATGTAGAGGCTGCTGCTGGTGTCCTCGTTGTCATGATGCTGGGTCACTGCTAAGGGGTACCTGCCAGAGGGATACGACCCCTCAGTCCCGGGGCATGGGTGCCCTGAGCCCACCCCATCAAAGAGAGGCCAACCCACACCCAGGCGCCCAACACCTCCTGCCCGCTGGATCAGGGGTCAGCAAACTTTTCCAGCAGGGGGCCGGTCCACTGTTCCTCAGATCTTGTGGGGGGCTGGACTATACTGGGGGGGGGGAGGAATTCCTATGCCCCACAAATAACCCAGAGGTGCATTTTAAATGCAAGGACACATTCTACTCATGTAAAAACACGCTGATTCCTGGACCTTCCGTGGGCCGGATCAAGGAGGCTCCCTTCTCCCCATCTGTTCCACAGGGGGGCAGGCTCCCTCGAAAGTGGGGGGCTCTCCTTCCTTGGAGGATTTGAAGCAGATATTTAATCAGGGATCCTTGAGCTCATGGAGGAGAGATCTAGTGCTGGCTCCTCTGCCCTCCACACTCAGAGGCAGAGACGGTTCTGAAGGCCAGGAGGGGAGAGAGGCTCTCTGCAGGTTCCCCATTGGGGTATCTGGCCGGTGACAGTGAGAACAGGGGGCTGGAGCGGATGGGCCCCCCATGGCCTCATCCCGCAGGCTCTCCTTAGGTTCTTAAACCCACAGGCAAGCAGCAACTTCAGGAAATGTAACCTGATTTGGGGGAATCAGACCACGCTGGATTTGGGGGGTGTTAACCTGGAAGCCCCCGTTGGCTATGTTAATTACTCAGTTTGGGGGGGGGAGTACAAAATGCAGAATTTCTGGTCCAAATGGGCACAAAACGAATACATACCTTTGGCACCAGTTTGGAGGAGATCCTAAATTTTGGGGTTACAGGTTAATGAAGCTCAATCCTGAATAGCTCCCTTGGTTAGAGAGAGGGGCTGATATTTCCAAGGTTGCAGGTTCCATCCTGATGTGGGGCAGCTGCCTATTCCTGCCTTGCTGGGGGTTGGACTAGTTGACCCTCGGGGTCCCTTCCAACGCTAGAGTTCCATGATTCCATGAAGCAGGAGCCCAGCGCCAGAGCAGCACCGTCCCCACGGGGCTGTCCAGCAGCGGCTCCTCGCGAGCAATCCCTGCCTCCCACCTGCCACCAGTTTCCAGCCTTCTTTCTGGCCAGACCCCGACGGCGAGGGAGTGAAACCGCCCCGTCCACTCCGGAGAATCTCCAGGCGTGGGCGACCGCCGCTCCCTTCGGCTGGGAAGTGGGGTGGGGGCTGCCCTCCCGCTCGGCGTCCCAGCTCACCTGCCTGCCTGCCGGGCTCACCTGCTCCAGGTGATGCCGCGCTCCTCCTGCCAGCCGCGGGGCAGGACGCGGTCGGCGTGCGAGCTGAGCTGCAGGCGGTAGCTGCGCCGGTGGCCCCAGCGGTTGGGCTTCGCCGGGTTGCCGAAGAGCAGGTAGCGGGGCAGCGGCTTGCCGAAGGGGAAGGCGGCCTGGCGCTCGCGGAGCCGCGGCTGAGGCTCCAGGCGCGGCTGCACCAGCGGCTGGCTCGGCTCCCAGGGCAGAGAGATGTTCTCCAGAGCCACGTCCAGCGTCTCGAAGCTGTTCTCCAGGCCTGCAGGGGGGAGAGCCGGGGGGACGGGGGTCAGGAGAACCGGCAGGGGAGGGGAGGTTCGCTAAGGCCAAGGAGGGCGCCTGGCACGGCAAAAGGGGCCAGCCCCAGGGTTCCTCCTCTGCCCCGAGGGGCATGCAGTTTGCAGCGGGCCAGGAGAGCCGGCGGGGGCAGCTCCAGCAGCAGGAGGGAGGAAAAGGTTCCTCTCTCACAACAAGGGTTCCCCAAGGGGGAAGCGGGAATCCTCGGGGGCGCTACGGGGCAGGGGGCGCTGCAGGTGCAAACGACCGGGCTTGGAAAAGCTGCAGTCGCTGAATGAAGCGCACCAATTTTGTTGAGTTAGTTAAACTAATCAGTTTTTATCGGAGTTTGCGTAAATGTGCAATGAATTGTCCCTGTTTGAATTTTATTACGTTGTGCCTTGCAGGGGGTTGGACTAGATGACCGTCGGGGTCCCTTCCAACTCTATCATTCCCTGATTCTATGCTTATCTTCCTGAGATGGTTGCGCAGGCCAATATTCTGAGTATAATGCTTTTTGTAGGGTAGGGGGCACGGGGAGTAAGTTGATGGCACCAAGCGGGCGCCCCCCCCAAATGGTAACTGCTGCCCTACAAATTCAAGAAGCAGAGTTGGGGGGCGGGGAGACCCCTAGCTCTGTTCTGCAGACCTTGCGATGGAGCCTCCAGAGTGACTGGGAGGCGGGGGGGGGGGGCAGCTCGCTCTGGCGCTTGGAGGCAGAGGCTGGGACCTCCCCCTTGCCTGCCTGCCTTCGAGCTCCTCTGCCGGGGGTCAAGGACGGGGCTTGGCCGCAGAGCCCCCTCCCCTCCCCGCTTGGCCTTCGAGAGTCCGGCGTTATCTCCCGGGGTCGCCTGAGGACAGAACGAGGCGCCTCTTGCCCCCTGAGACTCTGGACTGGGCGAGGGGCGAGGAGAGCGGCTTGCGAGAACATCACAGCCGCCCCCTCCCTTTCCCTGACGGGGGGGCCCGCCTGGCTCTTCTTCAGACGTGACCCTGATGGCAAGGGACACCCTTGGGAGGCGGCGGGCTCTCCTTCGTGGGAGACTACCTGCGGAGGGTTCTGTGATTCCTGCATTGCAGGGGGTCGGACTACATGACCCTGGGGTCCCTTTCGCCTCTACGATGCTATAAAAGCAGCCACAGCTGCAAACAGGGGCAATTCCTCGGAGCTCGGCCGGTTCCGTAACTGGAAAGGGGAAGGGGGGAGACTGAGGATGGACTGGGCTTAGGGCCTCCCCGACTGCCCCCGCGCCCCTTCCCGCGAGCGAGCGAGCGAGGGCCCCACCTGCGACGTCCAGGTCGACCTTGTAGTGCACCAGGTGCGTGTGGATGTTGCCCAGCAGGTGTTCGTGCAGGCGGTTCCCGTAGCGGAGCCCCTCGGGCGTGTAGAAGGAGGCGTGCACGTAGCCCGTGGCGTGCACCTTGGTCTCCAGCACCCCGTTGGGGTAGAGCAGGAAGTCCCAGATGTAGTCGTAGTTGTAGACGGTGGAGGTGGTGCGCAGGACCAGCGCGGCGCCCTCGAGGCCCGCGTAGAAGTGGGAGCCGCCGCGGAAGTCGCTGTCGAAGTGGCGGCGCAGAGGGACCCCCGTGGGCAGCTCGAAGACGCAGAGGGCGCGCGGGAAGCGCACGGGGCCCGGGGCGTCGTACAGGTGGTGGGCGTCCAGGAAGGTGGCCCCCTCGGGGCAGTCGACGCCGGGCGCCAGCTCGTGCGTCACGGAGCCCATGCCCCAGCCCACGTCGATGTACTTGGTCTGCATGGCGGCCGGCGTGTTCCCCCCGTAGATGGCGATGGCTTCCTGCACGCTCACCTCGTAGGCCACGCGCTCCCCGTTGAAGCGCACGTCGAAGAGCTGCAGCCCCGTGGACGTGCGCAGGCGGAAGGCCAGGCTCCAGCCGCTGTACTCCACCAGGTTGCCTTCCACCCAGTAGCGGCGGCCCTGCGGCTCGCACACCTTGGCGCCGTGCGCGTCCGTCGGGGGCCCCGCCGAGAAGCGCCCCCGCGGCACGAAGGTGGAGAAGAGGCTCTCGTCCGGGTGCGGCGGCAGAGGCACGACGGGCACGGCGCCCGAGGCGTGGAGCTGGGCCAGCTCCTCGGCGCTGCTGAAGTAGCGCCCGTTGTACCACAGCTTCTGCACCTGCCAGAGGCTCGGGTCCAGCTCCCGGTGGTCGAGCAGGACCTCCAGCCCCACCGGGTGCAGGAAGAAGCCCTCCACGAAGCGCTGGAGCATCAGCCAGGTGCGGCGCTCGCCCGAGGCCAGGCCCCGCGGGGCCACCTCCGTCAGGGTCAGGCACCGGTCGCCGCAGTTCCCGAAGCCGAAGCCCGAGGCGTCCAGCAGGAACTGCTGCAGCGGAGCCAAGCTCTCCGCCAGCCGCTGCGAGAGCAGCCCGAACTCCAGCTGCGACATCGGCCGCGCCGCGAAGCGCGCCGCCTTCCCCCAGGGCCGGTAGGAGGTGGGCGTGGGCAGGGGCCACACCACGTACTCGGTGACATTGGGCTGCGCCTCGGCCCCGAAGAAGACCACGGCTCTGGCCCGGCGTCGGGGGCGGCGCTCCCCGGACTCCAGGTACTGCAAGGCGCGCCCTTTCTTCGGGGTCAAGAGCTCCACCAGGAACAGGCTGTTCTTGGCCAGGGAGGGTTCTGGATCCGCCTGGAGGCCCAGCTCGGGCCGGCTCAGCAGAAAGTCGCGGACGGCCCGCAGCTCCGCCGGAGTCAAGTCGGAGAAGATGGAGACCCCCTCGTGGCGCTGCGGGGGTTGGCCGGAGGCGGCCGCGGCCAGGAGGCCGAAGACGGCCAAAGCAGAGGACCACATCTCGCCCTGCGGGAGAAAGAGGGAGGCGTCAGAAAGGGGGGTCGGGGCAGGATCCGGGGCCCCAGTCTTTCTCCAGAGTCTGACCCCGGAGTGTGGTGTAGAGGTTCAGAGCGGTAGCCTCGTAATCTGGGGAATCGGGTTCGCTTCCCCGCTCCTCCACCTGCAGCTGCTGGGTGACCTTGGGCCAGTCACACTTCTCTGAAGTCTCTCAGCCCCACTCACCCCACAGAGTGCTTGTTGTGGGGGAGGAAGGGAAAGGAGAATGTGAGCCGCTTTGAGACTCCTTAAGGGGAGTGAAAGGCGGGATATCAAATCCAAACTCTTCTTCTTCTTAGTCTTGGCTACACTGAGTGGCAGCCGCAGCTCTCGGGGTCTCAAGTGTGGGAGATGGCAGTCCAGCAAGGATGTTCTTGCTACTTAGCAAAGACTCAGACCACAGAAAATGTAATTGGTAGAGTCGGGTACAGGAAAAGGGAGAGCCAGCTCGCATCCTCGCCGGCTAAATAGACGGCTCCACAACCTTCTTCAATTCTGCTGCTAAGGGGGGGGGGGGTGTTTAACGCTACTCAGCCCACAAATGTGGGTGCCTGGAGGGATAAATCGAATTTGTATATCGTCTCCTACCTATTAAAACCTGCCCCGCATCAAGGAAGGGTCTTGCTCATCCCAAGTTGGAGATGCCCTTGCCGAGTGAACCCGGGATCTTCTTTCCGCGTGGAAGGCAGGGCCCTGTCCCACGCGAAGTCCTCATGAGCCAGCAGAAAACTCTGGTTTTAATTAAGGGTGAAGTCTCCGATCCAGTTTGGACATGGAAACCTCCCTACAAGTAGCTATCGTACGAATGGGGGGTTTTTTTGGCGGGGGGGGGGGGAAGCAGCGCCCACAAAGGGAGGGCTAGAGAGTCTTTAACCCTTCCCTGCCTTGCATGCTGCCATCCCAAGTCTGGATCAGCCCCACCCCCGCTACTTGCGGTGGGAGAAATTCTCCCACTGGTGGCACCGCGAAGCAGAGCTGAGCAGTTCGGACAGGCGCTTTGCTCGACAGGGAAGCTCAGCTTTGGGGCCGCCCCTTTTAGCAACCACAACCCACCCGACGGAACCGAGCGCAAGGCTTTGCAAGACCTCCTCTCCCGCTTTGCTGAATGTGAACTGCCTGGCAGCGCCGCCTGATCAGAGCTGAGCCGCTGCGGCCGGAATCTCCCGGGGCAAAAGTCTGTGGACTTCAATCTGCTGTAAAGCGCAGAACGAGGGTTTTGTTTTCATCTTTTAGACAACTTATCTGAATTCAGATATTGCAACATCTCCCTTGTTTTCTTGCTTTACTTTGATAGCGGGTGAAACGGAGTTCTTGGGGAGGGTCGTAATGGGAAGAGGAGGCCTGGAGGGGCTCAGGGAATCATAGAGTCGGAAGGGACCCCAAGGGCCATCTAGCTCACCCCCCGGCCACGCAATGCCTCGCCTCTCCCTCTTCCAGCCTCGTAGAGCGGCTGCCAAGAATCCGCTCTGACGGCAGGGTCGCCACTTTGCAACGGGCCACGAGATATTTTTGGAGGGCCTGCCTGGCTCTTCGCTTTTTGCGGAACTCTGAAGTGCTATAGAAATAACAAATATATCCAGGAAGGGGTGTCCCCCCCCCCAGCACGTGCAGAGTGCATTTTTCTAAGCCCTGAGTAATAGCTGGAAGTCTTTGAACCAGAAAGCGTGACTCCGAAGCAAGTGGGATCCCCAGACCATGTCCCCCTCAGATGCCTCCCGGGTCAGAGCAGCAGCGGGGGGAGAGAAACGGGGTGACAGCAGAGGGAGGACAAAGGTGGGAGGGGGAGGCCCAGCTGGGTTTTGGGAGGGCCTGCAAATCCCAGTGTTAACAGGGCAGCACTAGCATATTAGAGAAAACCCGTCTGCTTGCATCTCAGGAATGAGCCCCCTCTGGGACAGAAAACCACAAACTCCCGTGCCATGTGGGGCATCGCGGGCTTGGCAGGAGGGAAGGTGCCCTCGTTCCTGGTCTCCTTCCTGAGGAAACCAGGCAAATGCCCTCCCTGGAGCTTTGACCCTCCTTGCCCCTCTGTGCTGCCCAGGGTGGGGGCACCTCTGGAGCTGGGGTGCAGCCCTGGCTCTGAGTTGGATCCCTGGCGCCCCCTCCCTAGAGGTGCCCCTTACCTGTCCAGCTCCTGGGCTCTGCTCTCCTCTCAGGGCTGCTTAGGCTGGGTGCTCCTGCGGGCAGCCCTGAGTTCTCATACCTGGGAGAAGGAGGGAGGGGCGGGGAGGGCTGGCCGAGAGAGGCAGCGATTGGCTGCTGCTGGGCAGTGGGTGGGGCTGAGTAGCAGGTGCCTGGAGGTCGGGGGGGGGCTGCTCCCAGAGCTCCTGGGAGCTGGCAGGGTGCAGGGCGGGCACCCAGGCCTGGCAAAAAGGCTGCTCAAAAGTTCTTTTCAATGCCTCCTGTGATCCAGGGCTCAGGATCTACCCTGGAAAAATGTTTGGGACCTGAAGGTGGGTCAGCAGCGGTGGCAGCAGCAGCAAGAGGGTTGCCTCCCAGGGCAGCTGGGTCTCCTCTCTCCCACGATTTGGATCTTCCCCAGGACGGTGGAGGGTCCCCTTCCCCAGGGGGCTCCTAGGAAAGGGCAGACCCCAGGGAATAAGAGCATCATAGGGTCATAGTACCAAAGGGTCATCTATTATTATTTTTTAAATGATATTTATTAAAGTTACAAAAAATAGAAGAAATACAAAATACAGAAAAAAGAGTAAAATTTTTAAAAATATAACAAAAAAATTAAAGGATAAAAAAGAAACATACAAAATAAAACAGTTAAAAAGACATTAATTTTCCAAACCTATCTTCTCTAAACTTATTTCCCCGGACCTCCTCATACCTCCCTTTTTTGTATTCCAGTTCAGTTTGTTAGTTCAGCAAATCCTTACCATTAAACTTTTGCCCAATTGTAAGCCTTTTTTCATATCTCTTAAAGCATTACAGCTAAAAAGCTCTTAGTTTCTATCCAACATCCTTCTAAGATTCCTTAATTTTACAATATTTCTGTAAATAGTCTTTAAATTTCTTCCAGTCTTCTTTCACCGACTCTTCTCCCTGGTCTCGGATTCTGCCAGTCATTTCCGCCAGTTCCATGTAGTCAATCACCTTCATCTGCCATTCTTCCAGAGTGGGTAGATCTTGTGTCTTCCAATACTTTGCAATGAGTATTCTTGCTGCTGTTGTAGCATACATAAAAAAGGTTCTGTCCTTCTTTGGCACCAATTGGCCGACAATGCCCAGAAGAAAGGCCTCTGGTTTCTTCAGAAAGGTATATTTAAATACCTTTTTTATTTCATTATAAATCATCTCCCAGAAAGCTTTAATCCTTGGGTTATTTATAGAACCAAAGGGTCATCTAGTCCTACCCCCTGCAGTGCAGGAATTGCAACTCAAGAATCCCTGGCAGGGACGTCACTTCTTCCTTCGCGGTCGGAGGAGGAGAAGGCAAGATGATCCCGCCGGTGGAGGCTTCCCCGCAAGTTCGACAGGTATTCAGCACTGCTCATTGAGATAGTCCGTGGAAAGAAAAGATAGGACTATTTGAAGCCTATTGCTGAGGAGGAAAGGAGAACAGAAGCAGAGGAGAAGAAGAAGCGTCAGGAAAAGGAACGAACTGCAAAAGCTCTGGCAGAAGCTAAGGACGATTCAGTGCTGAAATAAACCTGCTTGATCTTGATCTTCACCTTTTAATATCCAATGTATGAAATTTTGAAGTAGTTGATCTCGAGTGTCAAACACAAACTTATTTACATCAATAAACAGTTGCTGGGGGGGGGGGAGAATCTGACTGTCAGAAAGTTCTTCCTGATGTTTAGTCAGAATCTCCTCTCTTGCAACTTGTTCCCTCCTCCATGGGACATCCCTTAAGATATTGGAAGGTGGCTCCCATATCTCCTCACAGCCTCCTCTTTTCCAGGCTAGACATCCCCAGCTCCTTCAACTGCTCCTCATAAGGCTTAGTTTCTAGACCCCTGATCATCTTGGTCACCTTCCTCTGCCCACATTCCAGCTTGTCAACATCCTCCTTAAATTGTGGCTCCCAGAACTGGACATAGGACTCCAGGTGTGGTCTGACCAAGGCAGAAGAGAGCCAGACTATTAGTTCCCTTGATCTGGACACTAGACTTCTGTTGAGGCAGCCTAGAATATCATTCGCCTTTTTTGCTGCTGCATCACACGGTGGACTCATGTGCAGCTTGTGGTCCACCAAGACCCCTAAGTCCTTTCCCCACGCAGACTGAGTGCGGTGGCAGACTGAGATGGCAGAGGGGGCCCATGCAAGCCCCCTGACTTGTTCAGAGTGGGGTGGATTCTCACAAAAGCAGGCTGCCCCCTCCGGTGGTCTGGATTTTGTCTTGGAGACAGACCACCATATGGAAGGAGTCAGCACAGCAGCTCTGCATTTCCCCCCTTTTGCCCGGACTGCCACTTTTGGGGGCTGAACTTCCACAGGGATACAACCTTACTCCTGCCACCAACCTGACCCCAGTACCAGAACCCAAAAGGAAAAACTAGCACTTTTTCAGGCGCCACATTATACCCCTTCCACACTGGTAAGAAACTGATTTTTCAGGGAGGCAGCAGCTACACTTTGGAACTCCCTGCCACTTGACATCAGGCAGCGGTCTTCGCTGGACTCTTTTTACCACATGCGAAATTTCAATGCAAAGGAAACACAAGGCAAATTGTGGGAATCATCAGTGGAAGAGACTGAGAAGGAAGTAGAATCATAGACTCATAGAATCATAGAGTTGGAAGAGACCACAAGGGCCATCGAGTCCAACCCCCTGCCAAGCAGGAAACACCATCAGAGCACTCCTGACATATGGTTGTCAAGCCTCTGCTTAAGACCTCCAAAGAAGGAGACTCCACCACACTCCTTGGCAGCAAATTCCACTGTCGAACAGCTCTTACTGTCAGGAAGTTCTTCCTAATGTTTAGGTGGAATCTTCTTTCTTGTAGTTTGGATCCATTGCTCCGTGTCCGCTTCTCTGGAGCAGCAGAAAACAACCTTTCTCCCTCCTCTATGTGACATCCTTTTATATATTTGAACATGGCTATCATATCACCCCTTAACCTCCTCTTCTCCAGGCTAAACATGCCCAGCTCCTTAGCCGTTCCTCATAAGGCATCGTTTCCAGGCCTTTGACCATTTTGGTTGCCCTCCTCTGGACACGTTCCAGTTTGTCAGTGTCCTTCTTGAACTGTGGTGCCCAGAACTGGACACAGTACTCCAGGTGAGGTCTGACCAGAGCAGAATACAGTGGCACTATTACTTCCCTTGATCTAGATGCTATACTCCTATTGATGCAGCCCAGAATTGCATTGGCTTTTTAGCTGCCGCGTCACACTGTTGGCTCATGTCAAGTTTGTGGTCAGCCAAGACTCCTAGATCCTTTTCACATGTACTGCTCTCAAGCCAGGTGTCACCCATCTTGTATTTGTGCCTCTCATTTTTTTGCCCAAGTGCAATACTTTACATTTCTCCCTGTTAAAATTCATCTTGTTTGTTTTGGCCCAGTTCTCTAATCTGTCAAGGTCGTTTTGAAGTGTGATCCTGTCCTCTGGGGTGTTAGCCACCCCTCCCAGTTTAATTGTCATCTGCAAATTTGATCAGGATGCCCTTGAGTCCATCATCCAAGTCGTTGATAAAGATGTTGAATAAGACCGGGCCCAAGACAGAACCCTGTGGCACCCCACTAGTCACTCTTCTCCAGGATGAAGAGGAACCATTGATGAGCACCCTTTGGGTTCGGTCGGTCAGTCAGCCAGTTACAAATCCACTGAGTGGTAGCATAGTCAAGACCGCATTTTACCAGCTTCTTTACAAGAATATCATGGGGCACCTTGTCAAATGCCTTGCTGAAATCAAGGTAGGCTACATCCACTGCGTCCCTTCATCTACCAGGCTTGTAATTCTGTCAAAAAACGAGATCAGGTTAGTCTGACATGACTTATTTTCAGAAATCCATGCTGACTATTGGTGATCACAGCATTCCTTTCTAGGTGCTCACAGACTGTTTGCTTAATGATCTGCTCCAGAATCTTCCCTGGTATTGATGTCAGACTGACTGGGCGGTAATTATTTGGGTCCTCTCTTTTCCCCTTTTTGAAAATAGGGACAACATTTGCCCTCCTCCAGTCTGCCGGGACTTCGCCTGTTCTCCAGGAATTCTCAAAGATGACTGCCAGTGGTTCTGAGATCACATCTGCCAGTTCTTTTAATACTCTTGGATGCAGTTCATCTGGCCCTGGAGACTTGAATACATCTAGACTAGCCAAGTATTCTTGTACTATCTCCTTAGTTATTCTGGGCTGTGTTTCCTCTGCTGAATCATTTGCTCCAAATTCTTCAGGTCGGGCATTGTTTTCTTTATCGGAGAAGACTGAGGCAAAGAAGGCATTGAGGAGTTCAGCCCTTTCTGTGTCCCCTGTTTGCATTTCACCATCTTCTCCTCTGAGTGACCCCACTGTTTCTTTGTTCTTCCTTTTGCTACGAACATACCCATAAAAGCCTTTTTGTTGCTTTTAACCTCTCTAGCAAGCCTGAGTTCATTCTGTGCTTTAGCTTTTCTGACTTTGTGTCTACACGTGCTGGCTATTTGTTTGAATTCCTCTTTGGTGGTTTCCCCCTTTTCCATTTTTGTACACATCCTTTTTAATCTTAACTCAGTTAAAAGTTCTTTAGATAGCCACCCTGGCTTCTTTAGGCACCTTCCATGTTTCCGTCTCATTGGTATTGCCTGACGTTGTGCTTTTACTATCTCCCTCTTAACAAACTCCCAGCCATCATGAACTCCCTTTCCTTTTAGTATTACTGTCCATGGGATCTCACCCAGCACTTCCCTAAGTTTTATGAAGTCGGCTTTCTTAAAGTCAAGAAATTGAGTCCTAGTATGCTTGGCTGCTCCTTTCCGCTGTATAGTAAACTTCAGAAGAGCATGATCACTCGCGCCTAATGATCCTTCCACTTCTACCCCACTAACCAGGTCATCAACATTGGTTAGGACCAGATCTAAAATGGCTGTTCCTCTTGTTGCTTCTCCCACTTTCTGGACAATGAAGTTGTCTGCAAGGCCAGTGAGGAATCTGTTTGACCTTATGCTCTTGGCTGAGTTTGACATCCAACAAATATCCGGGTAGTTGAAGTCCCCCATTACTACTATCTCCCTTCCTTTTGCATGCTTGGCCATCTGTTCCAGGAAGGCATCATCTATGTCCTCCGTTTGGCTTGGGGATCTATAGTAAACTCCCACAATGAGGTCACTGTTATTCTTCTCTCCCTTAATTTTGACCCAAATGGTCTCACTTTGGCTTTGAGGTTCTAAATCTTGGATCTCTTCACAGGTATACACATCCCTGACATATAACGCCACTCCTCCTCCTTTCTTGTCTGGTCTGTTTCTCTGAAATAGATTGTATCCCTCCATTGTTACATTCCAATTGTGGGACTTATCCCACCAGGTTTCAGTGATGCCTATTATGTCATATTTAGTTTGCTGTACCAAGAGCTCAAGCTCATCTTGTTTATTTCCCATGCTTTGCGCATTAGTGTACAGACATTGAAGTCCATTAATCGTTCCCCGTGTCTCTTATTTAAGGATTTTTTCCTCCCACCACTAGGTCTGTGTGCTGTTTGCTCCATTTCGTCTGTGACATTTGGATGATCATCTTCATCAATTGATAGACTCCTACCTTCAGGAGCACTGTCTCCCTCCCCCACATTAGTCAGTTTAAAGCCCTCCTGATGAGGTTTCTGAGATTTTTGGCAAAAACATTTCTCCCAACCGTTGTGAGGTGCAGCCCATCGCTTGCCAGAAGTCCATCTTCAAGAAACTGCAGTCCGTGATCTAAGAATCCAAACCGTTCCTGTTTACACCATTTGCGAAGCCAGCTGTTCACTTCCACTATTTTCCCCTCTCTCCCTGGGCCACGTCGTTCAACTGGGAGGACAGATGAGATGACAATTTGTGCATTTAATTGCTTCAATTTCCTGCCCAGAGCCTCGTAGTCTCTTTTGATCTTCTGGAGGCTATTGCTTGCAGTGTCATTGGTTCCCACATGAACCAAGAGGAAGGGGTATTTGTCAGTGGGTTTTATGATTCCTTGCAGTCGTTCAGTTACATCTTGGATCTTAGCCCCGGGAGACAGCACACTTCCCGAGACATCTTGTCAGGCCCACAGATCACTGCTTCTGTTCCCCTCAGTAGGGAATCCCCTATCACCACTACACGCCTCCTCTTAGGTTTGGTCGGGGTTCTTCCGTGAGCTGTGGCTTCTCCTTCCTTGTAGGTTTTTAAGCAGAGGTTGGCTGGCCACCGGTCAGGGATCCTTGGGCTGAGATGCCTGCACTGCAAGGGGGTGGCCTAGAGGACTCCACAGTCTGTGATTCTGTTAACAGTGACGTGTCATTTGCAGACCACAAACAGCAGGGAAGACCGGTTGTGTTTGATGGCGTGGTGTTTATTCTGCACAAATAGTATTGCCACAGGACGTGGGTGGCGTTGTGGGTTAAACCACAGAGCCTAGGACTTGCCGATCAGAAGGTCGGCGGTTCAAATCCCAGCAACGGGGTGAGCTCCAGTTGCTCAGTCCCTGCTCCTGCCAACCTAGCAGTTCAAAAGCATGTCAAGGTGCAAGTAGATCAATAGGTACGGCTCCGGCGGGAAGGTAAACGGTGTTTCCATGTACTGCTCTGGTTCGCCAGAAGCAGCTTAGTCATGTTGGCCACATGACCCGGAAGCTGTACGCCGGCTCCCTCAGCCAATAAAGCGAGATGAGCGCCGCAACCCCAGAGTCGTCCACGACTGGACCTAATGGTCAGGGGTCCCTTTACCTTTAAGCAGGAACGCTAGGAAAGGGTTAAAAGAGAATTTGTGGAAGGAGGGGCTAGGGAGGGCTAACAGCCCAATGCTCTGCCCTCCATCCTGGAAAAAGTGACAAATTGGGGGGGGGTGAAAGTTCTGTCCTGGGTCCATTGTTGTTCAACGTCTTTATAAATGATTTGGATGAAGGAATTGAGGAGATGCTCATCAAATTTGCCAAAAAAAGGTGAATGCTTTTCTCTGCTGCATCAACAGAGGTCTTGTGTGTGGGTCAAGCGAGGTCATAGTCCGTCCTCCCTCTTCTGCCCTGGTCAGAACACGCCTGGAATCCTGTGTCCAGTTCTGGGCACCACAATTTAAGAAGGATGTTGACAAGCTGGAAGGTGGGTGAGGGAGGGCAACCAAGATGATGAAGGGTCTGGAAACTAAGCCTGATAAGGAACGGTTGAAGGAGCTGAGGATGTTTACCTTGGAAAAGAGGAGACTGAGAGGAGACAGGAGAGCCACCTTCCCATATCTCAAGGGCTGCCACATGGCAGATGGAGCAAGCTTGTTTTCTGCTCCAGAGGGTAGGACTCGAACCCATGGCTTCAAGTTACAAGAAAGGAGATTCCGACTCAACACTAGTAAGAACGGTCTCCCTTGGCAGGGGGTGGACCCTCCTCCCTCGAGGGTTTTTAAGCAGAGGTTGGATTCATTTCACGCAGATTCCTGCTTTCCAGGGAGTTGGGACAGCAATAAGTAACCAAACAAACCCCTGTGTTGCAAAGAGAACGCCAGCAACGTCTATGCAACACAATGACCATGTACATACGCAATAGAGAATCTTTATAGAGTTCCTTCAAACCATAAATTCCTTCAAACCAGTAAATTCCTTCCAACGAGGGGTTGGGCTAGATGATTCTTGGGGTCCCTTCCAGCTCTACAATCCCACTCCCACAAAAGGTGTGACAGACACCCCCTCAGAAGGCTTTGCCTGAAGGGGCCAAGGGCTTTGCGCCAAAGTGCGTCACTTGTCACGTATTTGATTGATGGGTTGCATTTATATCTCGCTTTTCCTCCAAGGAGCATACCTAGTAATCCTCCTCCCCATCTTATCCCACACCAACTCCATGAAAGAGGCAAGGCTGAGGCCTTACTGGCCCCCAAGGCCACCCACTGATCTTCATGGCTGAGCGGGAGGATTTGAACCTTGCCCTCCCAGGTCCTGGCCTGACTCTCCAACCACTACACCCCATAAAATTGCATTTGCCCTTTGGGTGACCATTCGCTCGGTTTGGAGAGGTCTCTTGGGAACTCCCACAGACCCTCTTAGTTTTGCACCCCACCCCAAATAGTTTGGCATTGTCAGGAAACCCCCGCCTTAAAAGGGGGTCCCCATATCAGGGGTGAATCTACTCTGAAATAAATGGAGCTTCAGCTTCAGGGCTCCAGAAGCAACTTGAGTCCACGTTTCTCAACAATTTGGGGTCAGGAAGAACCAGTTGGAGTCACACAACTCAAACCGAGAGTTTGCGAGTCAGTTCAAGCTTCAGGGGCCCCCTATCTACAGGACTGCCAGTTTGGAGGTCCCAGGTCGCAAGGAGGTTAGATTGGTCTCAAAAGGGCCAGGGCCTTTTCAGTACTGGCCCCGACTTGGTGGAACGCTCTCCCACAAGAGACTAGGGCCCTGCAGGACTTGACATCTTTCCACAGGGCCTGCAAGACGGAGCTGTTCCACCTGGCCTTTGGTTTGGACTCAGTCTGACCCTTATGTTTCCCTCCCTTATGGTTTTGCACTATGGGCTACTATTAAAATGAGGCTGAATTTTAAACTGCATTTTAACTTGTATTTTAAATTGGTTCCCCCATTATGTTTTTACTGTAATTTTATTGGTGTTAGCCGCCCTGAGCCCAGCTCTGGCCGGGGAGGGTGGGGTATAAATAAAATTTATTATTATTATTATTATTATTATTATTATTATTATTATTATTTAAATGTAGGTCAGCCACTGCCCCATAGGGATTCTTCTGGGAGATTATTGAGCGCCCCCTGGAGTCTGATGTAGGGACTGCCCAGATGGATTGCAAGACTCTCTTCTGAGAGTTAAAATCCATCGTCTGCTTGGGAAAGACTCTGAGGTGGACTCTTCTGCGAACTTGGCAAACAGGAGAAGGAGGAGACAGGAAAGGGATTTCGCTCCCCCCTTCCAGATGTGTGAAGCTGGTGAAGAAAACCACTGGAGTCACCGTGAGACTTTTAATTAAATAGTTATCAGGATGGATCCAAGAAGTTAAACCGTGGGACTCCCTGCGGCAGGAGACTGTGGGGGCTGGATGGCTTTAAAAGGGGTCAGACCAATTCATGGAGGGCTCTGCTCTGCCCTCCACACTCAGAGGCAGCAACGCTTCTGAACAGCAGTCGCCGGAAGCCACAAGAGGGAGAGGGTCTTGAGTTCGAAACCTGCTAGTGGGCTTCCCTTTGGGAGAACTGAGTGCAGGACGAGATGGGCCATGGGCCTCATCCAGCAGATGCTCTTCTCATGCTCTTAGTCAACTAGTTATTTTATAACCTTTACATATAACTAAGTGGACATTTGGAGCAGGAAAACTCACTTGAGTCCAGCGTCCAGTGCTTTGGGGAGCCTCACAAGCTGGGCCTGTGGGCATAGGCCCTCCTCCCTGCTGTGTCCCCAGAGGACAGTGCTCAGTGGTAGACGCTCTTGGCACATGGAGGTTCTACTTAGCTCCTGTGAGTAATAACTGCTGGCACACCTGCTGCCGAGGAGGAGAGGTCAATGTCTGGGGTTGGGGTTTGAGGAGTGGAGAGGAAGGAGATGGGGCCAATCCTGCCTGGGGCTGGGCTACACCTGCCAGTAGGTGCCATTGTAGCTGAAGGGCTCCTGGGAGACGCAGGGCATGGGGTCGGCCGGGGTCCAACGCTGGACATGCACCCCAGACCTGCCCCCAGGCTCAGAGGGCGCACGATGACGGTGCGAAGCGAGGCCACAGAGGGGTCTTCGTCAAAGAAGTTGAAGGGTCGCAGGTAGAAGCCCACCACATTGCCCGGCGTGGACGTGTTGGGGATGTCCTCCGAGTGGGGGATGTGGAGGAAGCCCACCGTCACCCAGGCCACCAGGTCCTGCCGGAGGGAGAATCATAATCGTAATAATTTATTATTTATACCCTGCCCATCTGGCTGGGCTTCCCCAGACACTCTGGGTGGCTTCCAACAAAATATTAGAATACAGTAATGCAGCAAACATTAAAAGCTTCCCTAAACAGGGCTGCCTTCAGATGTCTTCTAAAAGATAGTTGTTCATCTGGTGGGAGGGTGTTCCACAGGGCGGGTGCCACCACCGAGAAGGCCCTCTGCCTGGTTCCCTGTAACTTGGCTTCTCGCAGTGAGGGAACCATCAGAAGACCCTCAGAGCTGGACGGGGGTGGTGGAGACGCTTCTTCAGGTATACTGGACCGAGGCCGTTGAGGGCTTTCAAGGTCAGCACCAACACTTTGAATTGTGCTCGGAAACGTCCTGGGAGCATCACGGAGCATGAATCTGCCTGCCCTGGCCCTGGCCTGGATCTCCGTGTGTGCTCCCCCCAAAACCCCAAGTGAGCCGCCCTGCTGCTCCTCTTCCTGCCCCCCACGCCCAGGCCGCCCTCACCTGGTTCTCCAGGCTCTCGTCGTTCTTGAGGAAGTTCTCAAAGCTGACCGTGGGGCTCCAGGGGTCGTTCTGGATGTAGAGGCTGCTGCTGGTGTCCTCGTTGTCGTGATGCTGGGTCACTGCTAAGGGGTACCTGCCGGAGGGACACGACCCCTCAGTCCCCGGGCATGGGTGCCCCTGTGCCCACCCCATCAAAGAGAGGCCAACCCACACCCAGGCGCCCAACACCTCCTGCCCGCTGGATCAGGGGTCAGCAAACTTTTCCAGCAGGGGGCTGGTCCACTGTTCCTCAGATCTTGTGGGGGGCTGGACTATACTGGGGGTGAAGGAATTCCTATGCCCCACAAATAACCCAGAGGTGCATTTTAAATGCAAGGACACATTCTACTCATGTAAAAACACGCTGATTCCTGGACCATCCGTGGGCTCCCTTCTCCCCATCAAGGAGGCTCCCTTCTCCCCATCTCCTTCCTTGGAGGATTTGAAGCAGATCTTTAATCAGGGATCCTTGAGCTCATGGAGGAGAGATCTAGTGCTGGCTCCCAGCCAGGGGGGCTCTCCTCTGCCCTCCACACTCAGAGGCAGAGACGATTCTGAAGGCCAGGAGGGGAGAGAGGCTCTCTGCAGGTTCCCCATTGGGGTATCTGGCCGGTGACAGTGAGAACAGGGGGCTGGAGCGGATGGGCCCCCCATGGCCTCATCCCGCAGGCTCTCCTTAGGTTCTTAAACCCACAGGCAAGCAGCAACTTCAGGGAAATGTAATTTGGGGGGGGGGGAATCAGACCACGCTGGATTTGGGGGTGTTAACCTGGAAGCCCCCACTTGCTGTGTTAATTACTCAGTTTGGGGGGGGGGAGTACAAAATGCAGAATTTCCGGTCCAAATGGGCACAAAACGAATACATACCTTTGGCACCAGTTTGGAGGAGATCCTAAATTTGGGGGTTACAGGTTAATGAAGCTCAATCCTGAATAGCCCCCTTGGTTAGAGAGAGGGGCTTATAATTCCAAGGTTGCAGGTTCCATCCTGATGTGGGGCAGCTGCCTATTCCTGCCTTGCTGGGGGTTGGACTAGTTGACCCTCAGGGTCCCTTCCAACCCTAGAGTTCCATGATTCCATGAAGCAGGAGCCCAGCGCCAGAGCAGCACCGTCCCCACGGGGCTGTCCAGCAGCGGCTCCTCGCGAGCAATCCCTGCCTCCCACCTGCCACCCGTTTCCAGCCTTCTTTCTGGCCAGACCCCGACGGCGGGAGTGAAACCGTCCCGTCCACTCCGGAGAATCTCCAGGCGTGGGCGACCCGCCGCTCCCTTCGGCTGGGAAGTGGGGTGGGGGCTGCCCTCCCGCTCGGCGTCCCAGCTCACCTGCCTGCCTGCCGGGCTCACCTGCTCCAGGTGATGCCGCGCTCCTCCTGCCAGCCGCGGGGCAGGACGCGGTCGGCGTGCGAGCTGAGCTGCAGGCGGTAGCTGCGCCGGTGGCCCCAGCGGTTGGGCTTCGCCGGGTTGCCGAAGAGCAGGTAGCGGGGCCTCCGGCTTGCCGAAGGGGAAGGCGGCCTGGCGCTCGCGGAGCCGCGGCTGAGGCTCCAGGCGCGGCTGCACCAGCGGCTGGCTCGGCTCCCAGGGCAGAGAGATCTTCTCCAGAGCCACGTCCAGCGTCTCGAAGCTGTTCTCCAGGCCTGCAGGGGGAGGCAGGGGGACGGGGGTCAGGAGACCCGGCAGGGGAGGGGTGCGGGGGGGCTTGCTAAGGCCAAGGAGGGCGCCTGGCACGGCAAAAGGGGCCAGCCCCAGGGTTCCTCCTCTGCCCCGAGGGGCATGCAGTTTGTGTGGGATGTAAACACAGGAGCAGTCAATGACAACATTCCTAGAGTGTACATGTTAGAACACGGGAGGGATGTCAGTCCAGCAAGCAGGTAAACTTCCTGGGGATTAAGCAACCCCCCCTTCCCTCAGAGTTCACAGTGACCCAAGGCAGTGAAGAATTGTTTTGTATTTTGAGATTTTTGAGATTTTGATTTTAAAATTTTGAGAAATTTTGAAATTTTGAATAATTTTCAAATTTTGGATTTTAAGATGGCTAGAGCAGGTTTTGATAGTGATGCAAAGCTAGGAATGCCTGTGCTGAATGAACACAATTTCATACACTGGAAGCAGCGCTTGATAGCATGTTTAGATTATAAGCACATTTTGGAAGCTTTAAATTCTCAACCTACGGGATCATCTGAGGAAGCTTTAGCCAAGATAAGTGCTTGGAAACGCATGAACAGCGAAGCTAGACACATAATTTTGAGTGGACTTCATGATGAGCAGCTATCATTAATAAATAGTACAGATGATGCATCTCAAATCTTAAGAGATATTGAGCGCGTGTATGGAGAATCTAGCATAAACTGCTTCAGAAACTTGGTGTGTAAATTAACCAGATGAACCGGAGGATGAATTCAAAAGAGGAATTCACAGAGCACATCAACAAGTTTACTGATATTATTCAAAGAATTGATCTGACTCCCAAAGCTTTTGATGAAGATACAAAGATAGCATTTTTGTTATCATCACTTGGACCACGCTTTAGCGCATTTGTAAGTTTGATGGATCATAGACAAGGTCTGACTTTTAAAGACTTGACTGGTTATTTAAAAGAAGAATGCAGAGATAGAGCTGAATCTCCAGTGAGAAATGCTAAAATCAAGGACAGCAGTTATGCATCTAGGCAATTTACAAAGTCCAAAGAGATGCCTAAGAAAGTGATTTGTTTCAATTGTAACAAAGAAGGACACATTGCAAAGAATTGCAGGGCTTCTAAAGCAAAGAAACCCACCCCTTTCAGCCAAAAGTGGAAAAGAAGGGAAATGTGAATGCACATGGCTACTGCAAGAAAGGAATTTAACTGTCCAGAATCGTGTAAATAAACGTAATAAATGGATTTTAGATTCAGGTGCCAGTTCGCATTTTCATATAAAAGGACTGTTTTAATGAGATAAATGAGATAAATGATGAAGAAGGATCTGAAATTGAGATTGCAGATGGCAACATTGTTAAAGCAAAAGGTGCAGGTTCCATGAGTCTGAAATGCAATATAAACAATGAATGCATTGAGAACACAATCTCTAGAGTTTTGTATGTTCCAGAGCTGAGCTGCAATTTAATCAGCGTGTCCACTTTGGACAAGAAAGGTTTCCAGATCACATTTGGAAATGGAGAATGTAAAGTGACTAGAAATGGCAAAGTGTTTGCTCAAGCAAAGCTAATAAATGGTGTATATGAGCTTGATCTTTCAGAGAACCAGTCTGCAAAAGTGGCACATTCCAGCCAGAAGGATGAGGCAGATCTGGACCTGTGGCACAGAAGGCTTGGACACAGGGACACTAATGTCATTCTGGATCTACAGAAAAGAGATCTTGCAAGAGGTTTGCAGGTAAAGCAGAGCAACAAAGCTCCAGCAAAGTGCATAAGCTGTATTACTGAGAAGGCTGTAAAACTCCAGAGAAGCGGACACGAAGCAATGGATCCAAACTACAAGAAAGAAGATTCCACCTAAACATTAGGAAGAACTTCCTGACAGTAAGAGCTGTTTGACAGTGGAATTTGCTGCCAAGGAGTGTGGTGGAATCTCCTTCTTTGGAGGTCTTTAAGCAGAGGCTTGACAACCATATGTCAGGAGTGCTCTGATGGTGTTTTCTGCTTGGCAGGGGGTTGGACTCGATGGCCCTTGTGGTCTCTTCCAATTCTATGATTCTATGATTCTATGATTCTATGAAAACCTTCATTTCCACGTTGTGCAGAACAAAGAAGCAACAAAGTGCTTGACATAGTGCACACTGACATATGTGGACCCATGAATGTTCCCTCACTGGGAAAGAATAGATATATTTTAATATTTCTGGATGACTTTTCAAGATTTTGTGTTGTATATTTCCTCAAAGAGAAGAGTGAAACAGTGGAGAAGCTCCAGGAATACATTGCCATGGTCAAGAATAAATTCCATGGACTATATGGAGTTGGGTGAGATGACTGGCAGAATCCGAGACCAGGGAGAGGGTCGGTGGAAGAAGACTGGAAAAAATTTAAAATATATCTTCAAAAATGTTGTAATATTAAAGACTGTTAGAAAGATGTCGGAAAAAGAAAATTTAGGCAGTTTTGGTAGATATGACATAAAGGATTAAGCAAAAATGAGTTGATGAAATTGATGAAACAGAGGATGTTTAATTATAATATTTTAAATTAAAATACGTAAATGAAAATAAGGTTGGAAGGATTTGCTGAAAAAAATGATCTGAACTAGAATACAAAATTGGGAGGTGAGAGGAGGTCAAGGAAATAAGTAAAGGGAAAAGTTATGTAAAGGTTTAATTTGTTTTTGTTTTAATTTAATTTAATGTATTTTTTATATCTTTTGTCTTGCTTATTGTTCTCTTTTTTGTATTTTGTACTGTTTTTTTCCTCTTTTTGTAATCTTAAATTCGGAATAAATATCATTTTAAAAAAAATTAAAAATAAATAAATTCCAGAGAGCTCCAGCTGTGTTAATGAGCGACAATGGAGGTGAGTACTGCTCAAATGAAATGCAGGCTCTCCTGGCCAAGGAAGGAATTGCACACGTAACCACAATTCCTTACACACCACAGCAGAATGCCATAGCTGAAAGGAAGTTTAGGTCCATTATGGGCATGACAAGATGCATGCTAAAGGATGCATGTTTGCCACAGAAGCTGTGGGCCGAAGGAGTATACACGTCGGTCTATTTGCAGAATAGACTGCCAACTAAAGGAGCAGAGCGCACACCATTTGAACTTTGGCATGGGAAAGCTCCCAATCTGTCGCACATACGTGTGTTTGGAAGTCCGTGTTACTTCCACGTGCCCAAGGAACACAGACACAAGCTTGACTCCAGGGCAAAAGCAGGTATCCTTGTGGGATATGCTTCTGGAGGCAAAGGATACAGAATTATGGACTTACAAACTGGTAAGACAAATGCATACCATGCGGTTTATGTTGATGAATATGGAAAAGTAGACACTAAGAACACTGTTGTGGATTCTTCAGATGAGTCAGAAAGGACTCAAGAGTTTGTATATTTCCCTTTTGAGACCCCACAAAGTACTAATCTGCCTTCGAGTGTTACAGCGCCCCCTACAGGCGACGCACCAGAAGACGCAGAGGACCAGAACCCTGGCGGCACCAGAGACGAAGATGAGGACTCAGATGGGGACATGCCTGCGTTGGAGGAGGATGAGGAAGCTGATGCGGTCGCAGAACCAGAGGTCAGGCGCTCGTCCAGAACCAACAGAGGTGTCCCACCATTACGGTTGTCCTACTTTGCAGGGTCGGCGTTTCCACAGGAACCTTCCACTTGGGAAGAGATACAGGAGATGCCAGCTGCAGAAGCCAGTCTCTGGAGGAAGGCCGCGCAGGAGGAGATGGATGCACTGCATCAGAACAAGACCTGGACACTCACTGAGCTGCCTCCCGGTAAGAAGGCCATTGGCAGTAAATGGGTTTTCAAGGTTAAGAAGGGGTCAGAAGGAGAAGTGCAGCGCTACAAAGCTAGACTTGTAGCACAGGGATTTTCACAGCGTTTTGGTGAAGACTATGATGAAGTTTTTGCACCAACTGTGAGGTACAGCAGCGTAAGAATGCTTTTAAGCATTGCAGCCTCCAAGAAAATGAGAGTAAAACACATAGACATTGCTACCGCTTTTCTACATGGGCAGATTTCTGAGGAAATTTATATGAAACAGCCTAAAGGTTTTGTAAAACCACATGAAGCACATTTAGTGTGCAAACTCCAGAAAGGACTTTATGGACTTAAACAGGCTGCTAGAGCCTGGAACCAGAAGTTGCATAAAATGCTGACGCAACTTGGGTACAAGCAAGGCGACGCTGACAAGTGCTTGTACAGTAAGTCAAATAATGGACAATTCTCATATATTTTAGCTTTTGTTGATGACCTGATTATTGCCACAGCAAGTGAGAGAGACTATACACAGATAGTAAAACACCTTAGCAAAGAGGTGGAGGTCAAGGAGCTAGGAGATGTCCAGTACTACCTCGGGATCCAGGTGGAAAGAGAAGAGGACGGCTCATTTCTTCTCAGCCAAAGACAGAAGATCCACGAGCTAATTGAGCACATGCAGATGCAAGACGCACATCCAGTTGCTACACCGATGGCTACTGACTTCCTGAAGAATCAGCAGGATTCGAAGCAGTTGCCAGACAACAATGACTACAGGTCGGCGATTGGTAAACTTTTGTATTTAGTTACCACATGTAGACCTGACTTAGCTAATGCTGTGGGGATTCTTAGCAGAAAAGTGAATTCTCCCACTGAGCATGATTGGGCAGGTGTAAAGAGGGTGGTGCGATATTTGAAGGGTACCATGAATTGTAAATTAAGGTTACCAGCCGTCAGAGACCCTAAGTTGGTTGGGTATACTGATGCGGATTGGGCTGGGGATAATGCTGACTATAAATCAACAAGTGGTCATGTTTTTATGTTTGGGAATGGACCTGTTGCATGGGGCAGTTATAAACAGAGCTGTGTAGCATTATCTTCCACAGAATCAGAATACGTTGCAGCAACAGAAGCCTGCAGAGAGATCGCCTGGCTTGATCAACTCATAAAGGACTTTGGGTTGGTGAGAAAAGGGCCTGTCAGCTTGCTAGAGGACAATCAAAGTTGCCTGAAGCTGACGCAGAGTGAGAAGTTCCTGGCCAGAACAAAACACATTGGGGTTAAATACCACTACATACGCCAGATGATCCAGGATGGACTTGTGGAGCTATCCTACTGCAGCACCCAAGAGATGACTGCTGACATCCTGACGAAACCCCTACCAAGAGAGAGTTTCCAGAATCTACGTGTCAAGCTGGGACTCTGGGTGGTTGAATAAAGTTGTTTATGTTTTGTGTATGTTGTATTGCCTGAGAAGGGGTATGTGGGATGTAAACACAGGAGCAGTCAATGACAACATTCCTAGAGTGTACATGTTAGAACATGGGGAGGGATGTCTGTCCAGCAAGCAGGTAAACTTCCTGGGGACGGACTTCCTCCGCATGTGACCAGAGGTGGGTGTGGCCTCACCTGTGCAGGTAATGACAAAAGCACAGGGCAGGCAGCCATCTCTCTCTCTCTGCCATTTTCCTTCGATGAGGAAACATCTAAGGATGCCCTCTTGGCTCCCAGCCAAGAGAGGAGATAAGGACTATCTTGCTACAAGATAGATTCTGAATGTATGTAACCTTTTTAAGCTGTCTGCCTTCTGGGATCATATTGTGAACAGAACGTGAGTAAACTCTTTTATACTTTTATAAAGACTGTGTCGTGTCTTGTATTTTAAGAGGGAACAAAAGGGAAATTACCAGAGTAATTATTATAGAGGTTCTAGCGAACCTGTGCACACGTTACCGTTGCGAACTTAAAGGGGAATGTTTATAAACTCTGCTGATATTTTGGGAACTTGTTAGCACAAGTTGGATAAGGATATAATTAGTCAATATATCCTCTCCTGCACCCCAGAACATTCCCACACTTCAGACGTGACCCTGATGGCAAGGGATGCTCGACAGCAGAACGGACACCCTTGGGAGGCGGCGGGCTCTCCTTCGTGGGAGACTACCTGCGGAGGGTTCTGTGATTCCTGCATTGCAGGGGGGTCGGACTACATGACCCTGGGGGTCCCTTCCGCCTCTACGATGCTATAAAAGCAGCCACAGCTGCAAACAGGGGCAATTCCTCGGAGCTCGGCCGGTTCCGTAACTGGAAAGGGGAAGGGGGGAGACTGAGGATGGACTGGGCTTAGGGCCTCCCCGACTCCCCCCACGCCCCTTCCCACGAGCGAGCGAGGGCCCCACCTGCGACGTCCAGGTCGACCTTGTAGTGCACCAGGTGCGTGTGGATGTTGCCCAGCAGGTGTTCGTGCAGGCGGTTCCCGTAGCGGAGCCCCTCGGGCGTGTAGAAGGAGGCGTGCACGTAGCCCGTGGCGTGCACCTTGGTCTCCAGCACCCCGTTGGGGTAGAGCAGGAAGTCCCAGATGTAGTCGTAGTTGTAGACGGTGGAGATGGTGCGCAGGACCAGCGCGGCGCCCTCGAGGCCCGCGTAGAAGTGGGAGCCGCCGCGGAAGTCGCTGTCGAAGTGGCGGCGCAGAGGGACCCCCGTGGGCAGCTCGAAGACGCAGAGGGCGCGCGGGAGCGCACGGGGCCCGGGCGTCGTACAGGTGGTAGGCTTCCAGGAAGGTGGCCCCCTCGGGGCAGTCGACGCCGGGCGCCAGCTCGTGCGTCACGGGCCCATGCCCCAGCCCACGTCGATGTACTTGGTCTGCATGGCGGCCGGCGTGTTCCCCCGTAGATGGCGATGGCTTCCTGCACGCTCACCTCGTAGGCCACGCGCTCCCGTTGAAGCGCACGTCGAAGAGCTGCAGCCCCGTGGACGTGCGCAGGCGGAAGGCCAGGCTCCAGCCGCTGTACTCCACCAGGTTGCCTTCCACCCAGTAGCGGTGGCCCTGCGGCTCGCACACCTTGGCGCCGTGCGCGTCCGTCGGGGGCCCCGCCAGAAGCGCCCCGCGGCACGAAGGTGGAGAAGAGGCTCTCGTCCGGGTGCGGCGGCAGAGGCACGACGGGCACGGCGCCCGAGGCGTGGAGCTGGGCCAGCTCCTCAGCGCTGCTGAAGTAGCGCCCGTTGTACCACAGCTTCTGCACCTGCCAGAGGCTCGGGTCGAGCTCCCGGTGGTCGAGCAGGACCTCCAGCCCCACCGGGTGCAGGAAGAAGCCCTCCACGGCGCTGGAGCATCAGCCAGGTGCGGCGCTCGCCCGAGGCCAGGCCCCGCGGGCCACCTCCGTCAGGGTCAGGCACCGGTCGCCGCAGTTCCCGAAGCCGAAGCCTGAGGCGTCCAGCAGGAACTGCTGCAGCGGAGCCAAGCTCTCCGCCAGCCGCTGCGAGAGCAGCCCAAACTCCAGCTGTGACATCGGCCGCGCCGCGAAGGGCGCCGGCTTCCCAGGGCTGGTAGGAGGTGGGCTCGGGCAGGGGCCACACCACGTACTCGGTGACATTGGGCTGCGCCTCGGCCCCGAAGAGACCACGGCTCTGGCCTGGCGTCGGGGCGGCGCTCCCGGACTCCAGGTACTGCAAGGCGCGCCCTTTCTTCGGGGTCAAGAGCTCCACCAGGAACAGGCTGTTCTTGGCCAGGGAGGGTTCTGGATCCGCCTGGAGGCCCAGCTCGGGCCGGCTCAGCAGAAAGTCGCGGACGGCCCGCAGCTCCGCCGGAGTCAAGTCGGAGAAGATGGAGACCCCCTCGTGGCGCAGCGGGGGTTGGCCGGAGGCGGCCGCGGCCAGGAGGCCGAAGATGGCCAAAGCAGAGGACAACATCTCGCCCTGCGGGAGAAAGAGGGAGGCGTCAAAAAGGGGGGTCGGGGCAGGATCCGGGGCCCCAGTCTTTCTCCAGAGTCTGACTCTGGGTGTGGTCTAGTGGTTAAGAGCGGTAGCCTCGTAATCTGGGGAACCGGGTTCGCTTCCCGCTCCTCCACCTGCAGCTGCTGGGTGACCTTGGGCCAGTCACACTTCTCTGAAGTCTCTCAGCCCCACTCACCTCACAGAGTGTTTGTTGTGGGGGAGGAAGGGAGAGGAGAATGTGAGCCGCTTTGAGACTCCTGAAGGGGAGTGAAAGGCGGGATATCAAATCCAAACTCTTCTTCTTCCTCTTAGTCTTGGCAACACTGAGTGGCAGCCGCAGCTCTCGGGGTCTCAAGTGTGGGAGATGGCAGTCCAGCAAGGATGTTCTTGCTACTTAGCAGAGACTCAGACTATAGAAAACGTAATTGGTAGAGTCGGGTACAGGAAAAGGGAGAGCCAGCTCGCATCCTAGCCGGCTAAATAGACGGCTCCACAACCTTCTTCAATTCTGCTGCTAAGGGGGGGGGTGTTTACCGCTACTCAGCCCACAAATGTGGGTGCCTGGAGGGATAAATCGAATTAGTATATCGTCTCCTACCTATTAAAACCTGCCCCGCATCAAGCAAGGGTCTTGCTCATCCCAAGTTGGAGATGCCCTTGCCGAGTGAACCCGGGATCTTCTTTCCGCGTGGAAGGCAGGGCCCTGTCCCACGTGAAGTCCTCAAGAGCCAGCAGAAAACTCTGGTTTTAATTAGGGTGAAGTTTCCGATCCAGTTTGGACATGGAAACCTCCCTACAAGTAGCTATCGTACGAATGGGGGTTTTGGCGGGGGCGGGGAGCAGCGCCCACAGAGGGTGGGCTAGAGAGTCTTTAACCCTTCGGACTTCCGGGGTGGCGCCATCGGTAATGGCGGACTCCCTCTGATCCGGAGGGACTGGCTCCACAGAAAACGGGTCTTTCCTGCTACGGCGAAGCGGGGACCCTTTCAAAAATCACAGGCGGATGAAGCCTGTGACCATGGGACTCGGCGGGCACCTTTAGCGCCCACCCCAACCCGCAAAGGAACCCACTAACGGGCTCCGAAGCGAAGAGGGGTAAGTGGCGCGGTGCTGAGAGTCAACTGCTTCTTCCGTGGAGCGAAGCCGCACAGCCGTTGCCGGAGATTGCTGTCTTTTTCCTGGGACAATTTGGCTACTAAAACAATTACCCGTGAGTAGCTTAATTTTGGACAATTGGACTTTAAATAATGACCTGCGAGTAGAAAGGAAAATTGGACTAAGAAATTCTTCTCAATTTGGCACTGAAACGGGAAGGTCTAAACAGGAAGTCAGCCTTCCGTTTCTTTTAGATAGATTAAAGCAAAGACATGGCAAACTAGAGTTCAGAAAATCGATTAACTTTCATCATTTAAAATTGTTGAACCCCCTTCGGAAGCAGGAGAAGAGGGGGGATTTTTTCCGGACTGTTTAAACCTGCAGAAGAGAGTGTAAAGAAAAGTAATTTTCCACCGTCTTGAACCTGGGAGCGGGGTGTCAGGACTGACGTTCTTTGGGAAGCTCATTGACCATAGACAAACGTCTTTGACAGACAGTTAAAAGAAGAGAAACATAGTGATTCCATTGTTCTCCTTCGCATTTTAAAGGAACAAATATTGACAAAATATCTGAAAAGGAAACTTTGTTGTTAGATCTGCCTTTAAAAGAAAAGAACAAATAGAAGTTCTTCCCCTAGAGGAAGCCTGTGAAACTGTTACTAAATCTGAATCGGGGAGCTCTGCAGCTGCAACAGATTACGATCGTGGGAACAGACTTCTGACCTTGCATAACAATGTATTCAGAAGCTCTGGTGCGTGCTTTCTGCAAAACAAGGGCCCTATTGGAACAGTTACATGAGAAGATGGACTTGATGACTGTTGCGATCAGAAATTTTGGACAGGTAGTGGGTAACTATATAGAACCCACCCAGGAATGAAATCAGGAGTGTGCTCTGACAGATCAGATGAGGGAAGAGGATGTTGCTGGACCTCGGCTGCCAGAGATGGAGGGAGCTGTGGCCCAGCAGGAACATGAGTTGTTGGATCTGACAAATGAACTTGGAAAAAGCCAGATTTGGAGAGATAGAGGTTTGTTTGGTTTGGAAATAGGGGTTGGATAGACCCCTATGCAGGGATGTTTGGACTTTTCAAGTCTGGCAATGGGCCGTGAGATGTTTGGGGTTGTGGGGCTCTTAATTCTGGAGGGACTTTGAAACATGTTTTTAAATACCACATGGAGTTTAGTGTGGACTATGGAAAAGGGGCTGATTTGTCGAGAAGGGTCAAAAACACTGTCAAGTTGGAGTTTCCACGAGTGAAAGGAGTAGGAGACAAAGTAAAGTACAGATATAAATATGAAGAAGAGTTGCGGAAGGGACATGGAAGAGACTTAAGGGCCTCGGACATAAGATTACCAGGTTAATGAGCTAGATTGATGGGATAGAAAGGACTGACAAAACCCGGGACCAGGAGGAAGAGATGCTGGATGAAGATTGAAAGAAAGTTTTTTAAAAACATCTTATTAGGATTGTTTTATAAAATTGATGAATGTTAGAAAAATGTTGGAACGAAATTATTTGGCTTTAGCAAAAATGTTAAAAGAATTATGTAAGAATATGTTATGGTTATGAGAAATTGGTATAAATAAGATCTAAGTTTTAAGTTTTAGGGTCTTTTATAGTAAGATAAGGTTAAAATAGATTAAGGTAATTTAATGACAGAATACCATGAAAAATGGAAAGGATTTGCTGTGATAATTAACAACTAGGATACAAAAAAGGGAGGAGTGAGGAGGTCGATGAAATAAGGCAATGACAGCTAAGGATTCGGGAATATTGGATTTGTTGTTATTTTTTGATTTTGATTTTTATCAATTTGTATTGTTTGATTGTGGTTTGTTTTTCTTTTGTTTTTTCTTTTTCTTTTTCTTTTTGTTCTTCCTGTAATTTTAAAATTCTTAATAAATATCATTTAAAAAAAGAGAGAGAGAGAGAGAGTCTTTAACCCTTCCCTGCCGTGCATGCTGCCATCCCAAGTCTGGATCAGCCCCACCCCCGCTACTTGCGGTGGGAGAAATTCTCCCACTGGTGGCACCGCGAAGCAGAGCTGAGCAGTTCGGCCAGGGAAGCTCAGCTTTGGGCCGCCCCGACGGAGCCGAGCGCAAGGCTTTGCAAGACCTCCTCTCCCGCTTTGCTGAATGTGAACTGCCTGGCAGCGCCGCCTGATCAGAGCTGAGCCGCTGCGGCCGGAATCTTTACTTTGATAGCGGGTGAAACGGAGTTCTTGGGGAGGGTCGTAATGGGAAGAGGAGGCCTGGAGGGGCTCAGGGAATCATAGAGTCGGAAGGGACCCCAAGGGCCATCTAGCTCACCCCCGGCGACGCAATGCCTCGCCTCTCCTCTTCCAACCTTGTAGAGAATCCGCTCTGACTGCAGGGTCGCCACTTTGCAACGAGCCACGAAATATTTTTGGAGGGCCTGCCTGGCTCTTCGCTTTTTGCGGAACTCTGAAATGCTATAGAAATAACAAATATATCTAGGAAGGGGTCCCCCCCCCCCGAGCACGTGCAGAGTGCCTTTTCCTCAGCCCTGAGTAATAGCTGCAAGTCTTTGAACCAGAAAACCCGTCTGCTTGCATCTCAGGAATGAGCCCCCTCTGGGACAGAAAACCACCAAACTCCCGTGCCATGTGGGGCATCAGGGGCAGGAGGGAAGGTGCCCTCGTTCCTGGTCTCCTTCCTGAGGAAACCAGGCAAATGCCCTCCCTGGAGCTTTGACCCTCTGTGCTGCCCGGGGGGGGGCTGTGCCTAAGGGGGGCACCCCTGGAGCTGGGGTGCAGCCCTGGCTCTGAGTTGGATCCCTGGCGCCCCCTCCCTAGAGGTGCCCCTTACCTGTCCAGCTCCTGGGCTCTGCTCTCCTCTCAGGGCTGCTTAGGCTGGGTACTCCTGCGGGCAGCCCTGAGTTCTCATACCTGGGAGGAGGCAGGGGAGAGGGGCTGGCCGAGAGAGGCAGCGATTGGCTGCTGCTGGGCAGTGGGTGGGGCTGAGTAGCAGGTGCCTGGAGGTCGGGGGGGGGGCTGCTCCCAGAGCTCCTGGGAGCTGGCAGGGTGCAGGGCGGGCACCCAGGCATGGCAAAAGGTCAGAGAGCCAGGGCGGGCACACAGCCCTGGCAAAAAGGCTGCTCAAAAGTTCTTTTCAATGCCTCCTGTGATCCAGGGCTCAGGATCCACCCTGGAAAAATGTTTTGGACCTGAAGGTGGGTCAGCGGCGGCGGCGGCAGCAGCAGCAAGAGGGTTGCCTCCCAGGGCAGCTGGGTCTCCTCTCTCCCACGATTTGGATCTTGCCCAGGACGGTGGAGGGTCCCCTTCCCCAGGGGGCTCCTAGGAAAGGGCAGACCCCAGGGAATAAGAGCATCATAGGGTCATAGAACCAAAGGGTCATCTAGTCCAACCCCCTGCAGTGCAGGAATCGCAACTCAAGAATCCCTGGCAGGGATGTCACTTCTTCCTTCGCGGTCGGAGGAGGAGAAGGCAAGTGGAGGCTTCCCCGCAAGTTCGGCAGGTATTCTGCACTGCTCATTGGGATAGTCTGTGGAAAGAAAAGATAGGACTATTTGAAGCCTATTGCTGAGAAGGAAAGGAGAACAGAAGGAGAGGAGAAGAAGAAGCGTGAGGAAAAGGAACGAACTGCAAAAGCACTGGCAGAAGCTAAGGACGATTCAGTGCTGAAATAAACCTGCTGATCTTGATCTTCACCTTTTAATATCCAATGTATGAAATTTTGAAGTAGTTGATCTCGAGTGTCAAACACAAACTTATTTACATCAATAAACAGTTGCTGGGGGGGGGGGATCCCTGGCAGAGGCCCACTCAACCTGTGCTTTAAAATCTCCAGGGAAGGAGAGCCCACAACCTCCCAAAGGAGACTGTTCCACTGCCCAAAAG